TCACATTTGCCCCCAGGCCTTATTCTTACTGAAATTAGCTTCTTTCGAGGTCTTTGCTCAGATGTCACCTTCTAAGTGAGGCCTTCTGAGATCTTATTTAAAATGCCCTTGCTTCTTTCCATAGCTCTTATCACCATCTGGCCTTCCTCAGTTTATTTATTAATTGTATTTATTGTCTGTTTCCCTTTAATGGAATGTAAATTCCATGAGGGGAGAGATTGTGTCTTATTCACTCTCTAGCCTTATTGAGTAGAATAGTGCCTGGAGCATAGCAACCACACAGTGAATACTTGTGAGTGAATGAATGGATGAAGCCCAGTTCAGGCTTCTTCCAGCTCTTTCCTGGCCTATGGCCATTGGCTGCCAACTAGAGTGTGGATCTGAGGTTCCCCCCTTCTAGACTAGTCTTCATGTTACTGCCAGAAAGACTTTCTCTGGCCTCTGTCCTGCTCAGAGGCTGTCAGTGGCTTCCCAGTGCCAAGTCAGGCTTTGGGTTCTCTGGAGACCTGGCCCCTCCCTCCAGGCCCTGGACAGATGCCCTCCCCTGCAAGCACCATTCCTGCTTCTCTCCTCCAAATTCCCCAGCAGGAGAGTGTGAGGAGTTAAACAACCCTCAGGGTGCTCTGAAGGGGAAAGAAAGGGCAAATGTTAAAGCTCTTCATGAAGCCTAACATCTTTACAGATGACCTTTATTGCTATTCCATCATCGTCATGTGGTTATGTCTTTTCAATGAAATGCTGTGTATCCTAAACAATAAGGTAGGACTAAACAATCCAGCCAGTTTACCAATAACAAAGCTGATCCTGTGACACAGATTGCAGTGGTGTGTTGGTCCAGTTTGCCCAGCTAATAAAAAAATCAAAGGTTAAATATTCCGGAACTTTCCAACCTTCAAACGCTCCCCCTCACCTATTTGACCCTTGTGCTTAATTCTGGCTCGTAGTTCAGAGGGGACAGAGATGTTCCCAGTTACCAGGAAACACCACTCGGTGGGAGGATCTGGGAGAGAGGAGAGAGCAGTTTGGGGAGGGAGGAGAAGGAGTTCTGTCTTAGGAATTTTGAGTAAGGGGAACCTGAATGGGCCTGGCACTCAAGAGAGAGGAATGGGTTGAAGATAGAGATTTAAAATCACCTGAGAACTGGAGGACTTCCTCCCAGGAGTCATTGCTGACCCCTAATCCCTCCAACCAATAGCCAGCAGCACAGTCATCAGGGCCTGTCACTCTCACTGCAGGCTCTGTTCAGTCTTTCATGACCCCATGCCCAGACTATTACAATTGTCTCTTAGTATCTTCCCTTTTCTCTCTCCCTCCTCTGATTCATCTCATTCATTACCATCTGGATAATTTTACTATGGCACCATTTTATCACATCCTGCCTTTGCTGTATCACCCACAGCAGCTCCTGATTCATTGCAAGTAAAATTCCAGCTCTCCTATTAAAATTTCCAAATGCTTCCTTGAGATATCTTCCCTTTCTCACGTCCATGCCTGGATCTCTCACGCTTTCACCTGCCATCGTGTGCACAACTGGAGTTTACGAAATCCTTTTGAATGAAGACCAGAAGTCACATACAAGCTGCCACTTCCATTAATTCTCTCACTCTTGCTATCATTTTTCACCTTGTAGACGAAGGTGAAACCCCAAGATACCACTAAAATATAGAATTTTCTTGTATTTATTAGCATTGAGGATATATAGCTACAGATTCCTTCTCAATGGCAAAAGGAACAATTTAAAGATTTTTTTTAGACATATCTACAATGGAATGTTACTCAGCCCCCCTTCCCCCGCCCCCCCCCCAAAAAAAAGAATGAAATTTTACCATTGGCAACAGCATGGATGGGCCTAGAGGGTATTCTGCTAAGTGAAACAAGCCAGACAGAGGAAGGAAAATACCATATGATTTCACTTATATGTGGAATCTGAAAATCAAAACAAACCAAAAACAAACTCATAGATACAGAGAACAAACAGACAGTTGCCAGAAGGGGAAGGGGCTGGGGGCTGGGTGAAAAAGGTGAAGGGACTCAGGAAAGTACAAATTGGTAGTTACAGAACAGTCACGGGAATGCACAGCACAGCACAGGGAATATAGTCCATCACATTGTAATAACGGTGTGGTGTCAGGAGGGTACTAGACTCTTAGGGGAGTCACTTCCTAAAGTACGTAAATATCAAACCACTGTGCTGTACACCTGAAACTAATATAATACCGAATGTCAACTGTAATTGGAAAAAAATGTTTTTAAATAAAATAGAACAACTACCCTAGTGTGTATGCATAAAAAGAAACTACCAGTTTTCCCAAGGAGGCAACTTTGAGCTGCAGAAGGCACTTGCTGCCAAGAACCAAACACAGCTGCTCAGGCAGCAGAGGAAGCTGGTGCTCAGTGAAAAAACCAAACCAAACCGGACTCTGCCCGCACAGTCAAGGATGGCAAAGGTCCCAGATGCACAGCTTGAAATATGTAGAGGATACGCGTTATTTCATATAAAAGAAAAGCAAGCTGCCGGAAGCAGACGTTTTCTCTCTCAAACGGACTTCTCCCAATGCGTGTCCACAGGACAACAGGACTCCCAGGGATAAAGCAGTGTGTGTGGGTGGGAAGAGGCCCACTTCTCCAGTGAACCTCTCCCTTCCTCCCTGCCCCCACACACGCACTCCATAAAGCTCTCTAAAATTGTCATGTGGGTACCAAGTGTTGCCCCAAATAGGAAAACAAGTCAACATTGAGCTAAGAAGAGCAGCCGGGACCAGGTGTGCTCTCGGTTTCCTGGTGGCTGTCATCACCCACCCAAGGAATGAGTACTGGGTGTGTCTGCCAGCGTATGGGTGAAGGAGAGGGCAGACTCTGGACCCACAGTGGGCCAGGCAGATATGTTCATCCTATTTTTAAAATATATTTTTATTGATTTCAGAGAGAAAGGGAGAGAGAGAGATAGAAACATCAATGATGAGAGAGAATCATTGATCAGCTGCCTCCAGTATGCCCCCTACTGGGGATCAAGCCTGCAAGCCAGGCATGTGCCCTTGATCAGAATCAAACCCGGGACCAGTAAGTCCGCAGCTGATGCTCTATCCACTGAGCCAAACCAGCTAGGGAGGTTAAGGAAAAAATAAAAATAAAAAGCTAGAGTATGGAACCAGCTGCTCCTGTCACAGAAATGAACCATGAACTGAAAAGACCCTGACAATATCATCAATAGGCGATCAAGTCCTCCTCTCTCCAGCCTTGCAGGTTCCCTCTAGTGCCCCCTACAGGCAGAGCCTAGAAGAAAGGTAGAGCTGGAGCTAAGAGACAATCAAGAGCCTCATAAGCAGAGAGGCATCATCATCACGTTTTAAATTTTTGTGGGAAATATTTTCAATAGCAGTGATTCAAAGCAAATTAAGTAAGACATTGACTGGCATGACATTTTGATGATTTATAATTTTATAATACATAGAGACGTGATTTCAGATCAAACTGGGACTTCTTTTAATACAAAATATCAGATCACTACCAGCTGATGTTAATTTAAAGTGCTTCCTCTGTGCCTAAAACTCAGCTCAGCAGGCGAAGGAGGTGAGATTTGTACCCACCACCAGATGTCAGAGCCCGAGCTCTTAGTCGGTTCTCTGTGCCAGGTCTCCATCCCACTTAGATGGCACACAGGTTCTTCCTCTGGCCACACTGTGGGGATGAACACAACAACCCCAGCTCTTGCAGAATCTTCTGCTTGCTCCATGATGCAGGGCCACTTGGTAGGGCAGAATCTGGACGCACAGTGGGCCGGGCAGGTATGTTCATCCTATCTTCTTCTGTGAAGCTTTTAGCATCAGTAACCAAAGGCCTAAGGAACAGCGAGGGCCAGAATGGACTCATCCCCAGGTTTTAATCATTAGCAAGCAGTCATAGCATACTGGAACCACAGAGCTACCTTAAAAGTCCTCATTAGACATGTGAACCCCTTCTGTAACACTTCCTATATGATACCATTTCCTTGCTCTGTGACTTTGAGCGGGTTGTTCAGCCCGACGGGAATGTGAGTACCAACCCGACAGGTGTGGATTCAGTCAGCTGAGGCTTGTCAGTACTGGCCTTTGCCACACAGAGATGCTCAGGAAATGAGTTCTCTCAAGTGTATCAATGAAAGATGCTAATTTCATCTGCACATAAAGTTATGAAAACATCTCTTTATGGTAGTAATTATCATTAAAAAATCATCTCATTTCATCCCAAAGGATCCATTTTGGGGCGCCTATAATAGGCTATTCTCCAGATAAGCTTTTAGTACACTGAAAAATCTGAAGTAGATAGCATGTGAAGTCTGAAGACCCAATTCAAGATCTGGTTTTGCCACCTACTCTGTGATCTTGAGCAAATTGTTTGAATCTTGGTGTGTTTTTTTTCACTTATAAAATGCATAAGCATAGTTAAAATGCCCACCATGAAATACTATGGAGCAATTATAAACAATGATTAGAACACAGAACAACATGAATGGATCTGAAAACATAGTTTGTTTTTAATATGTTTATTGATTTCAGAGAGAGAAAAGGGAAGAGGGAGAGAGAGATAGAAACATCAGTGTGAGAGGACATCAATCAGCTGTGTCCTGCACATTCCCTACTGGGGACTGAGTCTGCAACCGAGGCATGTGCCCTGACTGGTAATGAAACTGGTGACCTCTTGGTGCATGGGTTGACGCTCAATCCACTGAGCAACATCAGCCTGGCCAAAAGCATAGTTTCGAGTGAAATAAGGGATCAGCAGAATGAGAGATATAACAATGCCATTTATGTGAAATCAAAACAACCACATATAATGTATTATAACAGCCATGTGAACTCTATAAATCCCAGGTATTGCAATGATTGTCTATGAAAGGAAGAGAATGCAAGCAAGTTGGGAGATAAAAAGAAATAAAAAATAAAGACAAGAAAGGTCTCAACACATAAACAAACACACAAATAAGTAAATAAAATTGGAAAATTATATTTCCCTACCCTTCTCATAAGATCTGATGAGATTATACATAACATAGGAAAGCAAAAATTAATTCCTGTTTCTATTATGATCTCTACATTGGACAATGAGCTGAAGCGAGGCAGAAATTCCCCGTCACTCTTCGGCAGGAAGAATATCACCAGGGAGGGGCCCAGGGACCTTGCCCTGGCTTCAGAGCCTGCTGGTGAGATGACATCAGAGCTCTTCTGAAGGAGGGGTAGGCTCTTCCTCACTGCTGGAGACACCACCTTTAGACACAGCTGGAGCAGCAGCAGCCTCCTTCCCATGGACTCACTGAGAATGGCTCACTTGGGCCCTCGGAAGAAGAGACCCAGGCAAATGGGTGCCTCGATGGCTTCTCCTCCTCAGGACATCAAGTTCCGAGATTTGGTCCTCTTCATTTTGGAGAAGAAAATGGGAACCACCCGCAGAGCCTTCCTCATGGAGCTTGCTCGAAGGAAAGGATTCAGGGTGGAGAATGAGCTCAGGTAGGACACCACTGATTCATTTGTGAGTCAGTTTTGTGAGTGGCTCTCTTGAATCCCAAGAACCCTGAGTTTCCTCCCAGGTAGGGAAGAGGTGATGAAACCAAGGAATAGATCTGAGACAATTAGTTAGGGGAAATAAGATGAGTGGTGACTGAATATAATCATATTGAAAATAATTAGCATCCAAAAATAAGGTACAATTTTTTTTTTTTGCCTTTCACTTTGATGAGATGAGGTGTCTAAGGATAATAAACAGAAACCTAGTTGGAAAATTCAAGGTTGAAGCTACTCAAGTTCATTCTTGACCAATTTGAACAAAACACCACTGAGTTCAATCAAAAAATTTCAGCTACTTTGAGGTAAAAACAATGCTTTGGCTGCCTGGCTCTTGAGCTAACCATTTGGCTGTGCTGAGCGACCAGTGTCTGTGACAGGCTAGGGATGAACCATAGCTGGCTCCTGTAGGAACCCCAGTGTGGCCTTGATTTTACTTTTCCAACGAACCGTGTGAGTGGGGTTTGTAGAGAGAAGGATGCTCATTAGAGATTCAGGGACAACTCTGAAGCTGAGAGTGATAATAATGCTCAAAAGAACTGAGACAAGAAGGCAACTGAAGCAGCCATTGGGCTCCTTAGACTGGTTCACTCACAAACCCAGTCGCATCCTTGCAATTAGCCTTATTGCTTTCCTCACTGTTATGTAAGCTTTTCACCTGTCTCAAAGAGATGGAAGAGAAAACAAACAATCCAGAAATGAGTGGTGTTAGAACCTTGACAAAAATAGTTCCAAACAGAACCACCAAGGGACTTGCAGTGAATAAAGAATGGTGATTAAAACAATTGGCTGGCTTTGCTGGTCAAGGGATAGAATGACTGATTTTCTTTTTTTCTTCAGGAAAAACAATAAGAATTCTATGAGAAAATAGACTTGCATTTTAAAAAGTAGTCTTTGATATTTAAAAATAAAACTGACAAGCCTTTCATGCTGAGAAATGTCAGTTTCAAATTGCTTGAGAGACAGACATATGTAAAAAGTTGATAATCAGATGTGATCATTTTTATGAGACCCATTATTCATCTGAAAACACCATGACACAGAAACATTTTATTTTTTTATCAAAGCGCCCACTCAGAAACTCCTGAGTCTTCCATGGCCTCTTTCTCGTCTGATTTCTCTTTATATGGTCTCCTTCGCCCCTCTCTGCTTCTTTTTTCTCTTTAACCCCTATCTCATTTGTGATGTTAAACCCAAAATATTGAATTAAGAGGAGGGGAAAGATGACATAGGCAAAGAGGCAGAGAAAGAGCAATATTTAAAAAAAACAAACAAACAAACAAACAAACAAAAAACAAAAAACAACACACCAAAACACCAGAAATTAAAAGCCTTACCAAATATGGAACTGCTTTTTTGTGGTAAAGAAAATTGGTGAGGGCCGGGCTGGGAGGTTAGAGCCAGATGGACAAGGTGGCACTTACACAGAGAGCTCTCTGTTGAATGGCCCATATCTCCACCAGGGGCTGGCTGTGAGGGTACAGGCACAGCTACAGACACGTACCTGGTGGCTGAGGCAGGTACTTGGGCAGATTATGGAGGCAAGTTTCTTCTGGCCAGAGAGCTCTAGAGGCCGCGCTGTGCCCAGATGCCCGCGGCCGGGGGCCAAGCCCAGCTGCTCAGGCGGCAGAGGAAACTGGTGCCTGGTGAGCAACCTGCTGCTGTGCGTGCGATGGTGGCAGAGTTCCCAGGCTGGCAGCTCAGCAGACACGTTACATACAAACGTGTTCAATGGCACAGAAATAAACCACAGGAAGTAGTAGTCCTAGCTCGCAAACGGAATTTGTGTGCTTAGACATGCACACTTCCACTGGAAAGGACTGCAGACAGGATGGTAGGGGGAAATCTCTAGATAAGAAATCTAGAGACCTCAGATTCTGGCCCTGACTCTTTCCAGCCACGGCATGTGAGGTGAGACTCCCTCTCTGTTCTCTGACCTTGGTTTCTAGGTAAATGGTGTAGTCTGATGTGACCGCCCAATGTGATGCTGGATGCTTTGATAAATTAAAAGTTATGCAAACATAAAGTGTGATTGTTTTATTGTTAATTAGCTGGATCCATTGGCCTTTACAACAAAACCCTGAGGAGAGGGTTCTTTCTCCATAATATGAACTAGTTCAAATGATATAAACAAGTAGAACAAAGACAGGAAGGAAATCAACATGTTATAAGTGGTTATTTTTTTGTGGGGGGGGGGTAGTAATGAGGGATTATGGATAGTTTTATTCTCTGTTTTCCAAATTGTTTACCATATGCATATATTTTTAAAATAAAAATAAAAGTTGATTTTGATGCTTCTCAATAGTGAAGGCTAGCTCTGCCTGTCTTCACTAGTCTAAGATTCAGAGAAGGCGGAGCTAAAGGGGGGAAGGGATGTTCTGAAAATAGGCAACCACCTTCTTAGTTCCTAGCACATTCTTTGGATTCCAGGAGGATTACATTTGAGGGGAAATCTGATTCTTCCTTTACCTGGGCCTGAGCACAGCTTGGAAATGGCACACCTGCATGCCCTGAGCTGTACATTGTCTGGAGCTGTTATATTCCCCAGCACATATGCACATGCCCTTCCATGTTGAAGAAGGAAGAGCTGTGGCTGGAAGGATGGCTCTCCGGGGTTGTGTCACCGGCAGTGTAACCCTTCCTGAGTTCCACTGTTCAAGCAGTAGAAGTTCATCCTGCCTAGACCTCAATAACTTGTCTACAAGAGTTCCTTTGGAAGGCATTGTCTTCAATAGAAGCAAGACAGGCCATTGTGGCATCACAAGTAAAGGGTTCTGTTCATAGCCGTTCTGCACAATATTTGTATGGTCCTGGACATGCAGGCTAGAGGACATGAGCCTTGCCAGCGAGGACTTTATAATGAGACAGGGGAGTTGGGGATTTGTAGCTTAGTTATCATCTAGAATTAAGAGACCATACTATAGTTTCCAAGTGTGTACTAGTCTCTTCTTCCTCCTCCTCCTCCTTTTCCTCACCCTCTTCTTCCTCCTCTTCCTCCTCCTCCTCCTCCTTCTCCTTCTTTTCCTTCTTCTTCTAAATTAGCATTTTCCTTCCCTGATGCCTTTACTTTCCATTCATTTCAATGACCAGAGAGTTAGCCCTTAAGCAAACATTCAGGAGAGAACCCCCAATTTCATTCTCCATGGGAAGTAAAGGCTGTAATATGCACCGATGCTTCCTGTCATAATGATTTAAGTAATGTGTTTCTCCTCTGAATAAGTGCCAACTAGCAAATCCAGGTAGCCGGCCACATGGACCAAAACCCCTACTCAGTGCCTTTCCCCTAACACACCTCAGCCCTTAGAAGGTCTCCTGCCTCGTTTCCTTGAGTTGAACTACCCTCGTGCTAGACGCTCTTTCCTATTGCCGTAGTTATTACTAAATAAAATCTATCCTTGCCGCCCTCACTAGGGTCCGGCTTTGTTTATCTTTGACAGTGTCTTATCACTTCAAATTTGTGGTGTCGGAGATAAAAATATTAAAGATCATTGCCAAACAAACTGAACACCAGATGAAAAAAATGCTACCAGCTCTAGAAAATACAATGTTTAACTAGTCCATCTCTAGGCCCCTTCCAGGCCCAGTATCCAAACACATTTTTCTTTATATTTTTTTCTTACTTTCCCCCATGACCTTGAACCCCTCCTCCCTATGCCCCTCTTTGTCTAAGATCTACGACCCCTGGAAGCCCTCTTAGAGGAGAGAACTTCCTCCATGGAGCATAGAAGATCCATGACTTCCCACTGGCTTTGCTCCTCATCTCATCCAGTTAGTTACTCCTCCTTGACTCCAGGGCAAGGGCGTCACCAGGGCCATCACACCCTCCTCACTCTCAGACCTCTGACCGTTTTCTTGCACACAGTAGGCTTCAGGAAATACTTGCTCAAAAGAATGATTTGCCTGGTGAATACAGAACCAGCCAGAAGAAACTGTGATTTGCAAGATTAATTTTTTGTAATTAATTTTTTTCTACAATGCACCAGTATGACTTTTGTAGGCAGCAAATTGATACTTTATTTTTATAAATTTGTGAGCATGCAATGTGAACTCTAGTTCAGCTCTGGTCCAAATTACTTTGTATTTCAAAATGTGTGGAATCTAAGTTAATGAAGATGCTCACCATATCATTTCAGATGGGCCAAAAAATTAAGGCAAGATCCTCTCGGTCTTACTAAGTCTATCAGGGCTGGAAATGGAACCCTGTCTTGACTGCTTCAATTTTTCTGTTTCAGGGATTTGGAAACAGATCAGTTGCTAAGGAGAATTGTCGGGAGGGTTTTTAAACTGCAAACAGCTGAGCTTAACTGTAAATTACTGTTTAAAGGCATTACTTGAAAAAACAAATCCTATATCAGATGGGAAGGATCAGGAATGACCTTTCCAGGGAAAGAAAACAGTTTTAAAGACAAAGATAAAAGCAGGTGATCGTCCACAAAAACTGTGGAAGTCAGATTGGGGCTCGGTCTCCAGGCAAAAGGAATGGCTGTCTCTTTCTTCATGGAGAGTTTTTCTAATTATACGGAGAGGCAGAACCAACGAGGGAAAGAAAGACAGGAAGAGCCGGGATACAGATATCGGAGGGAAAAGTCAGAACTAAGATTTATAAGATAATCCATAACCCAGGGCTTTCCAGACATCTGAGTGCCACATTAGGGTTCTTATATCTTTCACCACATGTGCTATCATACACGTAATGTGTTTCCTTTCATTGTTCCTAAACTGAGTTGTTAAACATAATTTAGCTTTGCCCTAAGGTATAATATGAAACCCATTCAACCATGCCTGATAAGTATCATTTAAAAATGTAGATATAAATAAACACATATGCGTTTTAAATGTTCAGTTGTGCCTGCTAAAATTATCTCTTGTACCTGCAGAGAAATGCATACCATGTTGGAAAACATTGCTGTAATTGAGCACAACATCCAGTTAAAAAAAAAAAAGATCCTTCTTTACAGACATGTTTCTCAAAGTGGAGTTTGTGGGCTATGGCGGGGGGGGGGGGGGGGGGGGGGCAGCGGGTTTAAAATATAGGCACTCCTTGCCTCAACTGGTTTGGCTCAGTGGATAGAGCATCAGCCTGTAGACTCAAGGGTCCCAGGTTCGATTCCAGTCAAGGGCATGTACCTTGGTTGCGGGCACATCCCCAGTGGGGAGTGTGCAGGAGGCAGCTGATCTATATTTCTCTCTCATCGATGTTTCTGACTCTCCATCTCCCTTCCTCTCTGTAAAAATCAATAAAATGTATTTTAAAAAATAAAATAAAATATGGGCACTCCCGTGAAGAGGCAGGCACGATTCCCCTTTCCTTGCATCTGGGAGGGCTTGTGACTGCTTCAACCAATAGAGTGACATAATGTGACTTTTGAGGCAGGGTCTTAAGAGGCCCTGTGGCCTCTACTATTCCTGGATCCCAGAACTTCCTGCAAGGAGTTTGTGGGCCCTGAGAGAGGCCACACAAAGGTGTCAGGTTGACATCTGGACCATCGCACCTCCGTGGGGACCACACCAAACAGAAGGATCACTAGCCAAGCTGCCTGAATTCCTGACCCACAAAAGTGCAGATATAGTGAAATCATCACGTGTGTGAAGCCATTACATTTTGGGGCAGTTGGTACATAGCAATAGATAACTAGGACTGACTGACTACGTCAGAATCATGGAGGGAGTTTGTAAAAAAATGCATGTTTCTGGGCTCTAGGTAAGATTTACTGAATCTGAATCTCTGGTAATAGGGCCTGGCATCTGAATTTTAACCCAGCTTTCTGGGTGTCTTGGAGAAACACTAGAGTTTAAGAAACATTCCTGCCCTGACAGTGTGACTCAGTTGATTGGATGTCATCCCATGCACTGAAAAGTCACCGGTTCAATTCCTGGTCAGGGCACATGCCCAGGTTTCAAGTTCCATCCTGGTAGGGAGTATGCCAATTGATGGTTTGCGCTCACATCAATGTTTCTCTCTTTCACCTGCTCCCTTCCTTTCTCTCTAAAAACCAATTTTAAAAAATCTTTTAAAAAAGAGAAATCTTTCTTTGGAGCCATTGATTAATCAATTCATTTATTTATTCTACCAATGGTCTACCTATTGACCATTACTATGAATCTGGCCATGTGGTGGGCATCAGGCCTGGTTATAACGCGGACTGTAGCCAAGCAGATCATAACACTGTCCGAGCCTTCAGGACGCCAAGGAGCATGAGCAGCACATTTCTAGTTGCAGAAGAGCCAGCGCATTTGCCCTGTGGGAAGCTGAGGGACACATTCTATCTCATAGCTGCTTTGGTTGGTTCAGGCCTCCCAAACCTAGTCTGACACATTACTTAGTCCTGGCGGAGAAACTAGGAGCATTTCAGGAATTGGATCCACTGACATCTCAGGAATAGCCATCTCGGCAGTGCCTTGGGGTCTTTGGAAAGTTGAAGACCGCTTTGTGAGGCTGCCGGCCACCTTTTATTATAAGAAGAAAGCCCGGGGCAAGGCAGATACACCTCAGCCCACTCCCGGTCTTTTTGTCCTTAAAAATGACAGTCATGTGTATTTTTTTTCCTCCTAAGGAGAAAAAATGCTGATAGGTGGTTCATGACAGAAAACACATGAAAATACCAAAACAAAACCTCACCCAGGACGCTAACCACAGAGTAGTAGAACGTTAAGAGATTGCTTGAGTCATGCACACCTGGGTCTGAATCCTGGCTTCACGTAGCCTCCGTAAGCCTCAGTTTTCTCATCTAAAATTATATTGTCCTCCCGCCTCTTAAGACTCTGAGGGCATCAAGTAAGAATATACTGTTGGGCCTTTGTTTCCACTGGTTCTCCATCCACAGATCCAACCAATCGTAGATGGGAAATAAGCTTTAAAATTCCAGGAAGTTGATCCCTTAACAGGACAGTATACTAACTATTTACAGCACTTACATTGTATAGGTGCTGTAGGTAATCTAAAGTGGATTTAAAGTACGTGAGAGGCTGTGCGTAGGTTATAGGCAAATACTATACCATTTTATGTAAGGGACTAGGGCAGTGGTTCTCAACCTTTCTAATGCTGCGACCCTTTAATACAGTTCCTCATGTTGTGGTGACCCCCAACCATAAAATTATTTTTGTTGCTATTTCATAACTGTAATTTTGCTACTGTTAATGAATCATAATGTAAATATCTGTGTTTTCCGATGATTGAGAACCGCTGCTGTAGAGCCCAAGACCATCGGAAAACCCAGATATTCACATTAGGATTCATAACAGTAGCAAAATTACAGTTATGAAGTAGCAATGAAAATAATTTTATGGTTGGGAGGTCACCACAACATGAAGAACTGTATTAAAGGGTCGTGGCATCAGAAAGGTTGAGAACCACTGGACTAGAGCATCCGAGGATTTTGGTATCCATGGGGGTCTTGGAACCAATCCCCTGTGGATACCGAGGGACAGCTGCATACTAGTACATGTGTGTATGTGGTTATCATTTTTTTTCTAATATTCTGGAGTACTTCTCTCTAGCCTTTGTCTTCTGTATATGCGAGTTTGCTATATTGTCACCCTTTTCCCGACATTTCCAGGCATCCGATGTCTCTGTGAGAGGCAGAGCTGTGTCCTCAGTGAGGAGACAGTGGTGGTGGAGCCAGCAGGGTGGGAAGAGTGGATGGTGAGGGCATGGGTTTGGAAGATGAGCCCCAGGGCTACTCCCTCCCGGGTGGAGGCACAGCCCAGAGCTCACAGAACCTGGCAGCCGCCTTGTGGCTTCTCCATGTTGGTGTGTAACTATGGCAACTGTCCTTTCAGGCTTTCTGGGACAATTCTGTTTGTCTCACAGTTTGTTGTCGTTCCTATGACATTGGACATAAAATACCAAAGCATTCGTTCTCCGTGGCAGTAGCAGGGACAGTGGGCTAATGGCATTCCGTAGGAGGTGTTACTGTGTCTCTGCTGCTGCCCTTTGACGGGGTGCTCTGAGGACCCTGGGGAGAAGGGAGAGCTTCTGGTTCTGAAAGTGCCCCCAGCTGGTGGTTTGTCTTGCCTTCTGCAGTGATGCCGTCACCCACATTGTGGCAGAAAACAACTCAGGTCCCGAGGTCCTGGAGTGGCTTCAGGAGCAGAATGCGAGAGCCAGCTCGGAGCCAGAACTCCTCGACGTCTCCTGGCTGATAGAGTGCATGCGCGCCGGAAAGCCCGTGGAGACGACAGGACAACACCAGCTCGTCGTGAGTGTCCTGGCTGTGGTTCACACTGCCCTTGGCTTGATGGTTAGGAACATGGGCTACAGAACCAACAGGCCTGGGCTCTCTGCTCACACCCAGTCTGGCCTTGGGCAAGTCACTTAGTTTTTCTGAACTCCAGGCCCCTCCTTTATAATATGGGATAACAGCAGCCCCCACTTCAAAAGATGGGTCTGAGGCTTAGCATAACATATCAATACATGCAAAACACTGAACACCAAGCCTGACCTTAATAAATGAAGGGGTCTACACACCAATTCAAAACATTGAAGACTTGATGTTCTGGGGCCAGAAAAGTGGAGGGTTTCTATTTTTTTCTTGCTATGACCATTCATAAAGCAAAAGGTTAAGAAAGTTAAGCTCTTAATGCAAAATCCTTCACTCACACACTAGAACCCTCAGGAAGAAGATTCATTTCCTTTTCATAGGAAAGGAAAATGGTATTGCACTGATGGTCGTTTTTCATGTGTGTGTGTGTGTGTGTGTGTGTGTCTGTGTCTGGTTTTCCCTGTTTGGAAAAATAATGCATGTTAATTATAACAAATTCAAATATTAGAGATTTATACAATATAAAATTTGACTCCCCTGAAATCTTAACCTCTTTCCAGAGATAATTGTCATCAAACTTCTCCCAATTTTTTCTTCGTGCATGTCTATTATTATTACTATTGATGGTTATTCAACATAAATGCTCATGCATTTGTTTAGGTGAGAAGAGACTATTCGAGTGGCCCCAACCCAGAGCCCCAGGAGACTCCACCACTTGCTGGAAGAAAGATCTCTCCGTACGCGTGTCAGAGAAGAACCACTTTAAACAACCGCAACCACATATTCACGGTAATGGGGCTTCCCAAAGGCCAGGGCCGATGAGGCCTGCAGGTCCTTCCCAGGAGTCTACAGATTGTAAATTCTGAAAAGATAGGAAAGTTTTTCCCACACTCACCCCGCCCCCACCCCCAACCCTGATCTCTGGTTTTTCTTTCTATCAAGAATGGGCCTACTTGTATCATGGAAATGGACAAATCTATTTGGATTATACTCTTTAGAGATGGTAGATTACTATTTATTAAGAGTCATCATTATTGGGCATCACACTTGTCAAAGGCAAATATTCGGAAAAAGCAGCTATGGTGGTCAGTGCAATTGCATGAGCAGAGCAATAAGGCATCAACGGCCTGAGCTGGGAAACCAAAAGCGCCTCTCGCTCCTCGGATGTTAATGAGCTTGGGGAGTCAGTTCCTCCCTTGGAGCCCCAGTTTCTTCTCCACTCAATAGAAATGAGCTGGATTATCTCTAAAGCCCCATCCAGCCCTGACATTTGGCAATTGAGGTCCAAAGGAGCCTAGCAAGCCCACCACTGCTTGTCCCCCAGCACCGAGTCGGTTGTCAGGTGGGGAAAGCATGCAGCCCTGTAGTGACTAGAAGACTTCTGTGCGAGGAGGACCAGGAAATGGGTGCCATGTGCGGGATGCCACACAGCTGCAGCTGCTTCCTCCTCTGCCAGAAGCGCAAACCCACACTCTCCACCTCAAATGACCCCAACCTCGAGCCTGTGCCACCTGTGATTACACCCGTCATCGACCAGCCCGTGCTAGAGCACAGCGTGCTGACTGCTTTATAGACAAGCCAAGAGACGGGGGCACCCAGTGGTCAAGGCAGAATCCTGGCTACAGGCTGGTGGGAAGGTCAGTAAGCAAAGCAGGAAGGATCAGTAACACCACGTAATGACTGGTAGGATGCAGTGAGCATGGGCTCAAGCTTTAGTTAGATCACTTCTGAGTATCTAACGGCAGTGAACTCAGAGTTTCCTTCCAAAACACGCTGAGTCCCATCTTCGTATCAAACAGGAGAGCGAGGAGTGGAAAGGTAGTGAAGACCCAATCCTGACCTCAGGGACGAGGCCAGGCAGGGTTCTCCAATCCGGTAAAGGAGAGCAGGAGACATTTGTGAGTGACTGTGGGGCTGGGGAACAAGGCTGTGTTCTACTCACCTGGTTTCATCCTTCAGGATGCCTTTGAGGTCCTGGCTGAGAACTGTGAGTTTAGAGAAAACGAAGGCTCCTGTCTGGCATTCATGAGAGCGGCTTCTGTCCTTAAGTCGCTGCCATTCACCATCATCAGTATGAAGGACACAGAAGGAATTCCCTGCTTGGGGGACAAAGTGAAAAGTGTCATAGAGGTGAGGGTGAAATGTGATTTGTCACACCTCTGACAGGTAAGTAGGTAAGCAGGGAGGAAGAGAGAGAGAATAGATGTTCCTGTCAACTATATAGATACACTCATGATTTATTTTACTTTCTCTAGATAGATTAGATGGATGATAGATAGATAGATAGATAGATAGATAGATAGATGATAGATACATAGACTCTATAACCAATATTATGACAGCTGGAGCTATGTGAGGCCAACTAAGTGGAAAGAAGGGCTCTCCTGTATTATTATTAGTCACAGTGAAAGAATAGAGTGACGTCAAAGCTCCACAGCAGGGGGTGGTCTGACCTCAGACACAGGCTGGGTGAAGGACCTCAGGTCCATCAGGGACCTCACCCTCCAGGATGGGGGTGGGTGTCACAGGCAGTGGAGTTGGTTCTGCATCTCTGGGTGTAGTTTTCGGACAGAGAGCCAGGGGTGGGTGCCTATTTATCATTAAATTATGTGGAAGGATTCCCCAGCAAGGCGGGTTGGTCACCCAGAAGTAGGTTTCAGTAGAGTCAAGTGCAAGGTCAATTATTTAAGATAAATAATCTTAACTCTATCTGGAGGAGGATGGGTGGCTCTGAGCCAGACATCATAAGGGCTTGAACTTCGGGTTGGCTTTTCAATGGGTCCGAACCTAATCCACTCAGATAAAAAAAATAATAATAATAAAATAAAATAAATATCTTTGTTTCAGAAAGTTCGTATCCATTGAGAAGAAGATTATCACAAATATTTAGACACCTTTGGTCAGTGAATATTCTGGTTAGGTGCTCCATAGATTTGGACCCGAATCATTCTGTACCTTTGTTCCTGAGGATTGTAAAGTGACACTCAGAAATATATGACCTGGGATTTTCAAGATTTTAGGGAAATGTCTTGTTTTCTCTGGATAACGTAGGGGAACATCCTCCACGCAACGGGTGTGCCTTTTATGAAAAGTCAAGCGATTTCAGCACCTTAGACTGTGATTGTCCAACATCACTAATTTAAAATATCTTCCAAATGTCTATGCAGGAAATTATTGAAGATGGAGAAAGTTCTGAAGTTAAAGCTGTGTTAAATGATGAGCGGTATCAGTCCTTCAAAGTAAGTGGTTTTACACATATTTATCAAAAATGGTTTTTGGTAAATCCTATTACTTATTCTAGGTAGCTGTATGAGTCAGTTTGGACTGACAAGACCGGGTTTCAACCCGGGCTCTGCCACTCACCAGCTGTGCGATGGCAGAGAATTAGTACAACCTGCATACGCATCCCTGGCTAAAGTGTGAGGATAAATGTGCAGAGCATGCATGTGTGTGTGTGTGTGTGTCAGGGACCCTTGGCAAAGGGAAATGCCGACAGGGGTAGCTGTTGTCACAGGTGGACAGCACAGGCCACGCCATGATCCAATTACTGGGGAGCCCTGTGCAGATGCCAGAACCTGCCTCCTTGTGTCTGTTTCATTTATCAGGAGAGGACCCCCCTGACACAAACATTTCTCTAAAAAGTTACTATTACCCACTTGTCATATCGAGGAGAAGCTGGGTCAGAGATTTGTTGACACTTTTTCTTAACCTCTTGACCTTGAAACGTATCTTTTGTTGTCATGACTATTTTAGAAAAGAAGGCTGCCTCTCCTTCCCTTTCAGCTCTTCACTTCCGTATTTGGAGTGGGACTGAAGACATCGGAGAAATGGTTTCGGATGGGTTTCAGAACCCTGAGTAAAATAAGGTCGGACAAAAGCCTCAAATTCACACGAATGCAGAAAGCAGGTAAGTCATGTCTCCTGAAACCCTCCCGCCGTTACCCTGGGCTGGGCAGGTGGAGGTAGAGCTCTACGTCAGCTGCATCTCAGCTCTAATTCCCGTGGCCTGAGGTGCTCGTGTGGCCTCTTTTCCTGCTTTGGTTAAAAGCAAACACTTTTGGAATCAGACAGCCCCGGATCCAAATCCTGGCTCCAGCAATCTCCAGCTGTGTGATCTCACATAAGCATTAAAATCTCTGAGCTTAAGTTACTTCTATAAAAGGGGGTGGGAGATAAGTCAGATAATGCAGGCAAAGTCATTAGCCCGGCACAGAGCAAATATGCCCTTCTTGCAGTGGTTGCCATTCATCTATGTCCAGATGTCAAACCAGGTTGCTCTGTTCATCTGTTTCTTACTGAACTGACCCTTCTATCCTTTGGGTCCCGGTTGGGTAAGAGGCATTGGCGAGGAGTCGAGGGTAGAAAGCTGACATGGAGGATTAACAAGCAAAGAATATGTGAACAAACTAGAGTTGTCTGCCACAATATAGATCTGTTTCAGGAACTGGAGAACACCAGGACATAGAATGGAAATGGTGGCAATTCAGACATAGGGTTGATCTGGTTTATCCAACCAGACTCATTAATCTGGGAAGGGAAGACCGCGCTGACACAGGCATCCTAACAGCCTGGAGGGCTTCCCAGAGGCTGAAAGTGGCTGGGTCACTGCCATTTAGGGAGGGTCCTGCTAAGTCTTTTATAAATGAAGAAATTCCAATGCATGGTAAAAACAAACAAAAAACAAAACAAAACAAAAAAACAACTTTATTCCAACCCTGAACCTTCCCACCCCAAATCTTTATGCATGGTCTTCTTGAGCAGTAGGGTGTGGCTTATGGATCAAGAGGGCTGGTTCTTCAATAGGAAGTCAGAGTTGAACCTCTTGGTTTCTATGGGGATATGCAAGATTGTTTCTTTCTGAGAACAATGGGAGCCTCTCAGTCAGAAAGCAAAGAGCCATTGTTACCATGAAAAACTCACAACTGAGAGAACAAATGGCATGCGCGTAGCCACGTTAGCTGTACGTGGAGCAGAATCCCTTTGCTTTGAGGGCTGGTCATGTCACCTGAGACGTGTCACTCTCTCCACTGACCTGTCCAATCCTCCCAGGATTCCTCTATTACGAAGACCTGGCCAGCTGTGTGACCAAGGCCGAGGCGGAGGCTGTGGGCGTGCTGGTGAAAGAGGCCGTCCGGGCATTTCTCCCGGATGCCTTCGTCACCCTGACAGGGGGGTTCCGAAGGTAAACAACAAGGGTTGCTTTTGCTTCCCCTGCTCTGACGCATTCTGTGGCTCCCGAGGTTCAGAAATCCAGGCTTCTGAGCCTGGCACACCAGGTCTTTGGTGCTGTGGCCCCAGCCTCTTTCTGCAGCCTCGTTTCCTGCACCTCACGTCCCACCCCAGCAATCCCCCGTGGCTCGTCATCCTCTGCACACGCAGGGCCGTTTCTTGCCTCTGGGGCTTTGCTCAGCTGCATCTTCTGCTTGTCCTGGCTTTCCTCAAATCACCGGGCAAGTGTCTTCTCACCCTTTAAGATTCCATTCGAATGCCACCTCCTCCAGAAAGCCTTCCCTGAGTCCCTCCTCCCTACGCTAGGCATCCCTTCTCAGTGCTTCCTGGATTGCTGCCAGGTAATTCGTTTGCATTTGTGCGTTTCCCACTAAGACTTTAGAACTCAGTGCTTGGCGAGAACCAGTGCACGGTGCCTGGCACAAAGTAGGCATTCAAAATTAATGGTTGAGCCAATGAATGAATGAATGAATGAACAGGGTTGTGTGCAGGAAAAAGCCTCCATTTGCAGAAAGAGATTCCTTCCCGTCACTCCCTCCCCTGACTCTCTCTGTGGCTATCTTACACGGTGCTGTTGACCCTCCTGGCAAGCTGAGCGGTTAATCTCTGTCTTAATTCCAAGAGCCCCATCTTATATTATGCGAATGTAGTTCTTAGTTTGCTGTTATCATGCTTGTCTGTATGTGTGGGGTGGGGGGTGCAGGGGGATGCACTCACGTGTAAGTGTGCAGAAGAAATCATCTGTCATCTTTTTACCCACACATACATGATTATATACATGTGTGATTTTTAAAAAAAATTTTTGTGTCATACATTTATCTTACAAGGCGTGAGGTTGTGTAACCAAGGATATTTTGTTTACACAAATGTCAGGAGTATTTTGTGTTGCAAACCTTAAGCCTAAGGCATAAAAGCAAGGACTGTTAAAGACTGAGAGCTAGAAATCTAATTCCTTCCATTTTCTCCTGGTTATTTTTCACCAGGGGTAAAAAGATTGGGCATGACGTAGATTTTTTAATCACCAGCCCAGGATTAACAGAGGAAGAAGAACAACAACTTTTACCTAAAGTGATCAACTTATGGGAGAGGAAGGTAAGAAGAAAGGTCAGAAGTGGATGTTGGGGCACTCAAGCCCTGTGTTAACGCCATTGCACTTTAGACACTACCTCACGGTCATATAATGACTAATCGGTCCTCAGTTATTTGCAACAGCTGATACAATGCTGCATGCCATGCCAGAGAGGTACCGCATACACACAGCCTGGTTTTTGTTGTTGTTCATGGTCGGTTTGTTCTTAAAGGGGAAGGCGAGTTGCTGAGCGCTGGCCTGCGATCAGAAATGGGTGTAGATTCTCTGGCAGCTCTGCTGTGAACAGGCCTTGGCTGGGCCTCTCCAGCCGCCAAAGCCCTCCGCTGCAGAGGGCGGATAAGACACCCCTGCCCCGGCTTCGTCTCTGAGATGGCCAGGTGGGCTCACAGCGCCAGGACAAACTACACCACGTTCTGCTGGAATCTGTAAGGCGTCCTTTAAGAACACTCATTAACAGCCTGGTATAAGCCCAGCTGGAGTGGTAGAGCGTGGACCCTTGAACCAAGACGTCACTGGTTCCTGATCAGGCTGCAGGCTCCACCCCCAGTAGGGGGCATGCAAGAGGCAGCAGCCTATACTGTTTCTATCTCTCTCCCTTCCTCTCTTCCTAAAAAAAAAAAATCAATAGAAACATTATTTAAAAAAAAAAAAAAGAAAGAAAGAAAGAAAGAAAGAGAAAGAAAGAAAAGAAAAGAAAAAAGAACCTGGTGCCACCCAGCCAGCATGGCTCAGTGATTGAGCATCAGCCTAAGAACCAGAAGGTCATGGTTTGATTCCCAGTCAGGGCACATGCCCAGTAGGGGGCATGGAGGAGGCAGCTGGTGGATGTTCCTCTCACATTGATGTTCCTCTCTCTCCCTCTCCTCTTCTCTCTGAAAACAATACAAAAATAAAAATTAAAAAAACAATAGTGATAAATAAAGATTTTAAAAGAGACTGGTATAAAATCGGGGGCCCTGTCCATCGAGGACTCTTCCTGATTTATGTCTTTCCATCTGTTTCCAGGGGCTACTTTTATACTACGACCTTATAGAGTCAACATTTGAAAAGTTCAGGTTGCCTAGCAGGAAGGTGGATGCATTAGATCATTTCCAAAAGTGCTTTCTGATTTTGAAATTGCACCGGCAGAGAGTAGACAGCGGCAAGGCCAGCCAGCAGGAAGGGAAACCCTGGAAGGCCATCCGTGTGGACCTGGTCATGTGCCCCTACGAGCGCCGTGCCTTCGCGCTGCTGGGCTGGACCGGCTCGCGGGTAAGCACTGCCGGGGCCCCCGGGACTGTGGCCCAGAGCAGTGGCAATGGTAGTGGGGGCGGGGGGCGGGGGCGGTGATAGGAGGGGGCAGTGCCCAGAAAGCTCTGCTTCCGGCATTCCACCTGCACATGGTCAAGTGAGGCAGATAGACTTAGAAGTTGTTCTCAAAGTGTGGTCTCTCAGCCAGCGGCATCAGCCTTACCTGGGAACAGGTGAGAGACGTAAATTCTCCACCCCATCCAGGCCTACTGAATCCGAAACTCTGGGGATGGAGCCCAGCAGTTTGTAGTTGAGAAAGCTCCCCAGGTGGTTCCAGTGCAGGTGAGGGGTGAGAACCACTGAAGCCGAGAACGCAGCGTGGTGGCTCAGAGCACAGGTCTGGCCTCCCCAGACCTGGTCACAAGTCTCTCTTAGCAGCTGGGTGATGTAGGACGAGTTCCCTATGTCCCTTAAGTCTTAGTTTTCCTGTCAGGAAAGTGAGGGCGGTGACCTCAGCTCCCTCCCTGGTTCACAGGATTTGGTGACATGAAGCTGGCAAAGCCCTCGGCACACCCCTCCCACCTCTGGCACATGACCAGGCTGGCCAGGCAGCAGCTCCCTGCTCCAGGCATTTTATAGTCACAGAGATGGAGCCCCTGATCTGAGTCTCATTAGCACGTGCTCCATACTCTGAACTAAGTCCGCCTACTGTTTCACCCATGTCTCAAAGCATCTGGCTGTTCCTCAGAGAAATGAGTCCTTGGAGGTTTTTATACGGAAGATGAATGACATAACACGAATGAATTGTCCTCAACCTCGAGTTAAATGTCAGGTGTCTTTGCTTTGGGGCTGGAATTATTCCAAAGACCCAGAACATACCTGGCACATAATAGATGATCAACCACCGTTATCATTTCTAACAGTGTGTGGGAAAATGCTCCTGACATTTTAGCACAGGAGTCCAGGAATGTCTCACCACCCAGAAGTGAGGAGCCAAGCGCAGCCTCTCAGTGCCCCCACCCCTCATCTCCGGACCTCCCCTCACAGTGTGAGCAGCCGCTGTTCTGTGTGGTAGACAGCAGGAGCCTGACCCCGGGCTGAGAGGAAGCTCTGTGCTAAGCAACACCCCACAGACCAGCAGCTACAGCACCCAGAATCTGCTTTTCCCCACAATCCTGGCTTCCCCTCTGCTGCATTACAAAGGCCGCCTGGTTGGAAAATCTGTCTTCTCACACACCCAAGTGGTGGGCTAGCAGAGCAGTTCCAGCTTCAACCTGCTTTACTGTGTTAAAAAAATGCCACTAGAGGGCGCAATTATCCCACAACTTTCACTGGATTCCATCATGGAAAGAACAGTATTTCTAGATTTACGCTTCTCGGAAAAATTAATTTCAATGGGAATTTAATTGATTGTCCTCCTATTCCATGCTGTTCCTGTCCGCTAGCTCAGGCTTCAGGCTTTGCTCCCTGTGACTTCAGAGTCCATCCCTGATCATAGACGATGCTGCTCTGGGGCAGATGGCTGACCATCAGCTCTAAAGAATCTCATAAGAGAGGGTGTTAGAACCAGAGGTGACCTCCCTCACGCACCTCTTCCATCATCCTGTCTGAGCAGACAAGATTCAGAGAGGCTGGGTGACTTGTCAAGAGATATACAGCCAGATAGATAGGACAAAATTCAGGTTGGAATTTAGGTCTCCTGATTCTTCATTCTCTTTTGAACATTAAAAAAAAACAAATCCCCCCAAATTACTCTGAACCAGATATTATTCTGTACACAATCCTCACAATGTCCATTTGTTCACCCAACAAGCATTTGCCTTACATCGATGTGCCAGGCATGTTTGAAGAGGAATATAGTTAAGAACAAGAGAAATTGAGTTCCTGTGTCCACAGAGCTTACATTCTAGTGTGAACACGTGAGCACAGAGCTCTGTCATAGCAGAGCTTTGTGCTGGGGGGAAAATCGCTTTGAAAATGTTTAGCAGAGTTTAATTCCATTTTGTGGAATGTTTTGTGTTGAGATAGATATTCTATTGTAGGGATGTAGATGCCTCTAAAAATGCATAATACTGAAGAGAGTCTAGACTTGATAGTAACTTATTTTACTTATCTCTTGTCCAGCAATTTGAGAGAGACCTCCGGCGCTATGCCACACACGAGCGGAAAATGATGCTGGATAACCATGCTCTGTATGACAAGACCAAGGTAGAGTTGATCCCCTGACATGGGCTGCTTTGACCCTCCTCCCAAAGGCTGGCTTCCTGAGCCCTTTTCCTGAACTTTAGTGTCCAGTTTCAGTTTCCTTTGCCCAGAATGTCCTGTTCCCACCGGTCATAGCTGAGGGCGGCTGGGAAGATCCTAATGGGAGCACAGCCTCTCACCTGGCCCAGAATGCACCTCGGGGGCATTGGGCTCAAAGATGATGAGCTCATGGGTCCCCAGAACCAGTCTAGCAATGAATATTCATTGAGTTTAGTATATCCTTGGTGTTTGTGATGAGTAACTCCAAAGAAAACCAAAGATCCCTCAATATCACAAATACCACTCAAGTACTCCTCAAATGCAGCAGGCAGTAGCATTGTGAGTGACCCCTTAGGTCATTAATGAGAGTCAACTGCAAGGAGGGAAGCATCAGAGCTGCCCTGGGCTGTTGCTGAGCAGTCCATTAGGCTCACTCACCAAGGCTTGGCAATGTCACAATTCAAACCCATGCAGCAGCAACATGATAAATTACTGTATCAGTTATAGAGACTTAAAAAAAATGTTCCACTGTTAGTCCACAAGTACTGAGGGCTACTGTTCTTACAGTGGTCAGGGACACAAAACTAAGCTCCGAGAGGAAAGGAGACAAAAAATAACTGAAAGTAATCATATTTGCCCTCTAATTTGTAGTCTAAATAAGGTGTATTTGGTTAGAGCTGTCTTGGTTACAAGTGTCAGAAACCCAACCTAAAATGGCACAAAAGAGGAATTTGGCTTCTCTACTTCAGCATCTGGGTAATATTGACTTCAGGTGTGGCTGCATCTAGGCGCACACACAGGTGTCCCTCAGTGCTGGCTTCATTCTTAGGCAGGGTTTTCCCAGGAGTCCCAGCCTTCCAGCTTAGCTACCCCAACAGAGAAGAACCTGTTTCCTGGTAGTTCCAGCAAGAGCCTGAGCTGATGCTTATTGGCCAGGCCTGGGCCCCGTGCCCATCCTGAATCCATTACGGTGGCTCTGATTGGCCAGACTGGGATTGTGTCTCCCTCTTTGGAGGTGAGATCAGCCTCACCTGATCCTCGGAGTCTGAGGGTGGGGCGTGGGGTGTTCCCCCCCCCAAAATCAAGGTGCTCTTGTCAGAACAGAGGGCCTTGGATGTGGCAGGATGTTGACTGTGTGTGTTGAGGCAGATTCACATAACCCTATTTAGGAATGCTTGCAAATTTACATATAAAAATGGTTTCACATAATCGAGTGTCTCCTATGTACCCAACACTACAGGACGGAGGATAAGTGGTGTTTGGTCTTAAAGAGAACAGGAGTGGAAGCCCAGTGGGGGTAAGGACAGGTATGGAGGGCCAGGGGGAGAACAGAACACACAGGAGTATCCACTTCTTGTCACTCCTCACCCAGAGCTTTTAAATAGATTGATTGCAAGAACTCTTCTGGAATTCTGATTTCATTAGACTGAGCTCAAGTTTCAATATATATATTTTTAAAACTTCTTCAGATGGTTTTGATAAACAACCGTAGTTAAGAACCATAGGGAAAAAATACCAAGTGCCTTTAACTGATATAGGAGGCTGTCATCATTTTACCTTAATTTGTTAAGCGCCATGTTTTGTCGTTGGAAAAATTACAAAATTCCATTAAGATGACTTTTAATGCTCAGGAGCAGGGAATTCTGTTTTGGCAGTAATTCATTTTGTCAAGACAGTTTTGCAAGTAATGCTTTCATTATGTTAGCGCTGAGATGCTGAACAAAAATATCTGAATGCCCGTATTTCTTGTTATGCTTTCAGAGGACATTTCTCGAAGCAGAAAGTGAAGAAGAAATTTTTGCACACCTGGGATTGGATTACATCGATCCATGGGAAAGAAATGCCTAGAAAAATTTTGTTGACATTTTAAAAAAAAAGTCTCCGGTTAAATAAATATGCTTCATATTCTAGTTAATGATGCTTTCGGAAAGTTGGGGATTCTTAAGCCTTACTGAAATGCAGATTGTTTCCATCAGGAAATCATTTTGGAAACACGATAAAGCACCACCTGTTAATGGATTATGCTTGCCAGTGGTCGGCAAACTGCGGCTCGAGAGCCACATGCAGCTCTTTGGCTGCTTGAGTTTTTAGAAAAGGCCAGCTTAGGGGTACTTTAATTAAGTTAATAACAATGTACCTACCTATATAATTTAAGTTTAAAAAATTTGGCTCTCAAAAGAAATTTCAGTCGTCGTACTGTTGATATTTGGCGCTGTTGACTAATGAGTTTGCCGACCATTGTAATAGGCCTTTTGTATGACCGTTGCTTAGCGTTCACCATGCATTTTGCCATAGAAACAGCGTTGTCATGGGTGGCTCCTTTCATAGAAGCCCCCTTCCCCGCAGTGTAGCTGAAATACTGTGTATTTCCAATAAAAATAAGAGGACACAAGATGGTGGAGTCTTCTTCCTTTTTTCCACTCAAATATTAAAAAAGATTTTTAAACAAAAATACAAAATGAAAGAGTTTAAGGTTTATTGCAAGTGGAGAAACAGGTTTCATTGGGCCAGACATTCCGAGGCAGGAATCGTGGAACAAGGAGGTCTGGAAGGGCAATGTCAGAGAGAAATGGCTGATCAGCACAACAGTAAGAGGGCTGCCACCTGAAGGGGAAGGTGGACATTACAGACTGTGGGTCAGGAGGACAGGAGGAGGAGGGATCCCAGTAGGCTTGAAGTAATGAAAGGATTTGGATCCACACCGTTTTTTTGTTTTGTTTTGTTGTTTTGTTTTGTTGTGTGTGTGTGTGTGTTGTTTTTTTTGGTTTTTTTTTTTTTGCTGTATAATGGAATTTCATCAATTAGGGCAGTGACTAGTTTGTGGAATTCAGGTGTCCTCAGTGTCTTTGGCTTTGGGGACAGTGCACCCTCTGGTGGTGAACTGAAGAACCTTGGAAGGCAAGCATGACATGACCATGGACTGCACTCTGTGGAGGACTGAACATCTCCATCACCAGCCAGCAGAGAGAGTGCCAGCCCCAGGAGTTTCCCTGGGATAGCCTTAATTCCAACCCCAGGGCCAATAGCATACTTTAATATAGGCAAAGAAAAACTGCAGATGTTTCATAAGTCCATAAGAACCACTATTTCACTTTTCGCTTTATTCCACAACTAGAGGCCCAGTGCAAGAATTCATGCACGGGTGGTGTCCGACTGGCCTGCCCTAATTGGGACCAATCAGGCCAGGCCAGCTAATGGATGTCCCCAATTGGGATGGCAGGATGGTGAATCATGCTGGCCTTGGCCAACCCTCCCATAAAAGCCAGGTAAAATGATTTTTTGTGAAATGGTATGTAAAAAAAAAAAAAAAAAAAAAAAAAAGTAAGAAGGCAAGACACTCAGAAATCAAGCCCCCTTTCTAAAATCACACACACACACACACACACACACACATTTCCACTGGGGTCAGGAACAGGGCCCAAGGGCTCCTTCTGGATGCACAGTGATGTCACGTGGTTGTTTGCTGTTTCTTAAACCACAAGATCTGAGAGCTGGAATGAACCTTGTCAGAGCTGTCCTCAAAGAAACAAGTCAATCCAAAAGTTTTCCAGATTTGTTCATGACATTTGGATTGGTTAAGAAGCTTAGCATCTCTCCTCACTCCGCGCTCAGATCCCTGGGTCTCCAGCTCTGTTCCAACTCCAGAAGGCAGTTGGAATGATCGACGTCATTCCAGGCTCAGTCTGGGCACAAGCCACCACAATCCCCTCCTTCTCTCCATTTCCACGGTAGGACGATAAGTGTCGTGCATGATCTCCTCGCTTCCTGAGACAGTCTGCACGTATATGTGAGCTTCCTCTGCTCCCACCACATTCTTCTCACCTGTGGGTGCTCTCCTAGGATTCTTGAGGAAACAAACAGATTTTTAAAAACACAGCAGAGACTTCTGCTTCTGGCCAAGTTGGAGTAACAACAACAACCAGATTTACCCTCCCACCTGCAAGAACCAAAATTCAGACAAACGGTCTAAATAGTTTTAGAGACACAGGACATCAGCAAGGATGGACAGGGATTCTTAAAAGTCAGAAAACAAATAATTGCCTGAGCTTGCTGCCTTGGGAGGGGTTTCAGGCCATTCAGCATTCTCTTGCTTCATGTTAGCATCGTGTCTGTTGTTCTATTCTTTACTTTTAATCTACTAGTGTCTTTAAATTTAAAGTAAGTTTTAATAGGCAATATGTAGTTGTATCTTGCTTTTATATCCAATCTTAATATCTCTGCAAGGGAGGGCATTTGGGGGCAATCAGGCCGGCTGGAGAAGGCAGTTGGGAGGGACTGGGCTGTCAGGGTAGGGCAGTTGCGGGAGGAACCAGGCCTGAAAGGGAGAACAGTTGGGGGCGATCAGGCTGGCTGGGGAGGGCAATTAGGGGCCACCAGGCTGGCAGGGGAGGGCAGTTAGGTGTGAACAGGCCAGCAGGGGAGGGCATTTAGGGGCAATCAGGCTGACAGGGGAGCAATTAGGCGTCTATCAGGCTGGTAAGGAAGTGGCTATTGTTCATAACTGTATTTCTCCTGTGATGCAAAAGGCTTTAAAACCCTTGCTTCAGTAGGTTTGTTTACTGTATGATAATATACAGGGATTACAATCAAGATTTCTTACCTCAGCTATCTTGGAATTTTCATCAATTTCATCAATTTCATATGGCCTCTCACTTTCCTAAGTTGAAAAGAGAGGAAGGGAAGGAAGGGAAGGGAAGAGAAGGGAAGGGAAGAGAAGGGAAGGGAAGGGAAGGAAGGGAAGGGAAGGGAAGGAAGGGAAGGGAAGGGAAGGGAAGGGAAGGGAAGGGAAGGGAAGAAGGGAAGGGAAGGGAAGGGAAGGGAAGAAGGGAAGGGAAGGGAAGGGAAGGGAAGAAGGGAAGGGAAGAAGGGAAGGGAAGGGAAGGGAAGGGAAGGGAAGGGAAGGGAAGGGAAAGGAAGGGAAAGGAAGGGAAGAAATAAAGTCACACCATTTGCCCATGATCTTGATTGTGGTACTTAAACTTAGGTGCATATTACAATCACCGGAGAACTTTGAAAACAAAACAAAATAAGCAAATAGATACTAACTCTCCCTTTCCAAAAGACAAATAAGAAATTCCATTGTGATTTACTTCAAAAATAATCCAGCATTGACAGTGTGGAAAAGTGGGTGAGAGTAAAGATGAAATATTATTAGGCAGGAATTGATAATTAGGTTTATCATATAATTCTCTTTACTTCAGTATATGTTTAAATATATCCATACATTTTTAAAAGTTGTGCTTCTTAAAGACTAGTGCCACAACTCGATTATCCCATGATGATACTGATTTAACTAGCTTTGGCGGCTGGTATTTTTGTAGCCTCCTAGATGATTTTAAAATGCACCGAAGGTTGAGAAACTACCACTTAATTAACACCACCAGCAAGCACAATACTTCTGAATGGTTCAAGTGTACAGCTTGCCAACACATCTTTACCTCCATGATCTCCTTTGGTCCCTGTGAATTTGCCTGCCTCCGAGAATAGGCAGGCTAGTTTTATGACTCCGATTAAGTTGAACTAATGAAGGCACAGAAAAGGTTAAGTCACTAGTCCCGGGTCATGTAAGTGATAAAGTGGCAGAGCCCGGGTAGGAGCCTCAGTTTCCTTCCTCCCTGAGAATGCTGAGCTCTGCGAGAACAGCAGGCCTGTTCACAGAGGATGGGATTAGAATCCCGAGGCCACACGACACAGTTGCATCACAACCTGGACCCATGCTGGATATTGGCGAGGGGGCCTTTGCATTCTGAGCTTGGTGCCCAGAGCAACCTGGCACCCGGAAGGGGCAGCGTCGGTAGATTCCCTTGTGACTGAAGTGTGTTCAGATGTGGGAAAGGGCAAAGACAATAGAGCCTCGAACTCTGGACATATACCTACCAATGACGCCTCACCACCCGTTTCTCCTCTATCTTTCCTAAGATCATCTCCTTTTTTAGGACATTTGTGCCATCCTATTTCTCGACTTTAAAAAAACATTTCCACTGTACAGACACGTTACCATGGCAATGAAGTTCCTCTTAACTGCTACTTTTTGCCACCCCAAATACCATCTTTGTGGCCACGGATTTCCTCACGTGAGCTGAGGTTTATGACAAACCAGCCCATGAGTCTGAGAAATCGAGGTGTGGGAATGCCCATAGTCTTGTCCTCAGAAAACAGATAAAAGTCTAAACACACTCTGCCCAAAAGCCAGTTCCCTCCAATACTGACTTCCTGCCAACACCTTCAGACCCAAGGACGCTGCTAATCACCTCAGTGGACTCACTGCTGCTGCTTCTTCTTCGGTGAATCAGAGTAAACAGTAAAGCTACCAGCAGGGCTGTGACCACCAGAGACGGGATGCCGGCCGCTAATCCAATAGAGGGCCCACAGTCCTGACAAAGAGAGAAAGCAGAGTCAGAGTCTCTAAGAACAAAGAAACTTCAATCAATAAAAGAAAGAGTTCTGGCTGGTGTGGTTCAGTGGGTTGAGCATCATCCCATGTACCAAGAGGCTGCTGGTTCAATTCTCTATCAGGCCACATGCCTAGCTTATGAGTTCAATCCCCAGTAGGGGGTGTGCAGGAGGCAGTTTATCAATGCTCCTCTCTCTCTCTCTCTCTCTCTCTCTCTCTCTCACTTTCTCTCTCTTTCAAATCAATAAAAACATATTTTGAAATAATAATAATAATAATAATAATAATTAAAAAGCCTTCAGGGACTCTGAGTGTTATACAAAAATCAAACAGGTAATGAAATATTGTAAATATATATATATATATATTTGCTATGTACAGTATGTGGCAAATGGCTCATTTTCATAGGATTTAATTTGCATAATTTAAGTCAATTAGAAAAAGGTAATAATCCAGTAGAAAAATGACAAAGAATATGAACAGCACATTCTTAGAAACAAAAATACAAATATCTCATCAACTGAGATCTGATTCAAAGCAACAAATAGGTATCATTTTTATCTATTAGTTTGGCAAAAAGTGAAAGGTTTTATTATATCCCATCCCATTTTGATGTGAGATTTTAAATTTTTATTTACACTAAATGCATTAACCAATTAATTTTCAAATTCCCACTTTGGTTTGATCCGAGTGGAAATAGCCATATAAATTTTCAGATTTTCTGGAATTATCAAAGATAATCCGCAGCCCAAGCTGGTTTGGCTCAGTGGTAGAGCATTGGTCTGCAGACTTAAGGTTCCCAGGTTCAATTCTGATCAAGGGCATATGCCGGGTTTCTAGCTGATCCCCAGTAGGGGATGTGCAGGAGGCAGTTGATCAATGATTCTCTCTCATCATTGATGTTTCTATCTCCCTCTTCCTCTACCTTCCTCTCTGAAATCTATATTTTAAAGATAAACTTCAGAATCTGTGTAAATGTGTGGTTCCCACATATAACGTAAATTCAGAAGAGTACATCAATCATAAATATATAGATGGATGACTTTTCACATAAGGAGCCCAGCACCCAGATGAAGAAACAGAACATTGCCAGCACCCAGAAGCCCTCTTTTGTCACCCGTGTGTAAGACTATCTTGAAATCTATCACCATAGATTTGGCTGTTTTTTCAACCCCATATAGATTCACATAGGCAGTATGCACAGAGGTTCCTGGGACGCGGTGAAACCACATACAATGAAACCGGTTTTTACCAAGGACTGATTAATAGAAATAAGAGTTCCAGCCCTACAGCATCTGGCCAATGCTATAATGAAACAGTGTTGAACAAAACATTCTTCCAGAACCTGCAACTCTTTTGTGTCTAACTTCTTTTGCTCAACACATTGTGAAATCCATCTGTGATTTGCATTCTCTCCCCCACTTCTGAGCCGAGTTGGTCATAAGAATAATAGTTGAGCCAGATTCTGTGCTTGGTAACAGTTCACATATCAAATTTATCTACTCCTTAAAAGAAATGCACAAGATGGGTACAGCATCATTATTCCTGTTTTATAAATGATCAAACCAAGGCTCCAAAATGTAAGGGGCATACTCACCACTTCTTTCCTACTTGTAACAACTGGAGAGGTAGTCTGTGTGGAAAAAGAACATGTATCTTAAGAAAACAAATGAATATTATTTGTGGAATGAATATTATACAAGACAGTCTGTCAAGTGTGAACTGCCTAAAATTCTATCATGTTTAACATTCACCCCTTTGCTAAAAATTCTATTAAAACAATAGAAACAATTGTGACTGCTGAATCCATCTGTGGCTAGGGCTCAAGGTCTGGAGAATGGGCTGCGCACAAACGGATATACTATTATAGAAAAGAAATATAAATGTAGAAGGCATGGGGGAGCCAGGCAGAGGCCTTACTCTAGTGGAGAAGCTCCCTAAATCTTCGGACCCATAACTTTTATTTACTAGAATACACATTTTCCCTTTAGCAAAGCCAACAGGCATCAAAGGTAAAGTTTGGTAAACAATAAAAGGATTACCAGGTTAGGGGACTGCCTTCAGCCATTCAGCCACAAGCAGGGCAATAATATGCTGATTTTCAGCCCTTGCTGAATATCCAAGTCCATTAGCCTTCCGGAGGACTTCTCGAATAATTATGCTAACTGCTTGTTGGTCTTAGCCTCTGGCAACAATGACTGCCCAACAGACCCTTACTTGACTGCTTTCCAGGTTAGAAGACATGAGATTCTTCTACAAAGAGACAGAATTCAGAAACTAAGAAGAGGTGTTTGTTATGTACCCCAGAGTTTTGCTGTAACACCCTTTACAACTCAAGAAGGCTTTCTCCAGTCCCTAGTCCCCACATCCTTCCTAGCACTCTTTGGGCTTACCTGTCCCCACTGCTAGAGGGAAAAGGTAAAGACTGGTGGAAGCTAGTGAAGGACACCTTATTGTTTTCAAACATGCAATGAAGCAAGTGGCTGCGGGGGATCTGAAATTGTGAACTGTCCATGTTTCTGGGTTAGTTCCATACTCGATGAATGCTTTGCATGTTTCCAGCTCACATCTCCACTCAAGGAGAGGCACTGGATCTCCCCTGTTTATGAGCTATTTCAGGTGATAGTCTTACCTGCATCAACAACTCTCAGGGAACCAACATCTACATGAGCAACCAGCCGCTGTCAATTATGCTGAGTGGTCCAGTGTGGGGTTAAGAGGGTAGGTCCAGGGCTCCCTCCCTGGAGTGGAATGGCAATGTCTCCACTCACAGGTAAGGGGTCAGATTTCTTCATCTGTAAAATAGGTTGCCAGTATGCCTGGCTCTGATGTTGGGCATGGGCACTTAGCGGCACCAAAGGGAGTGGTTATATGGTAAATGCTTAACTTCGAGGTAGGGTGACCGTCCTGGTTTTCCGGGAGGTTGCCTAGGTTACATAGGCTGCAGCACAGTTGGCGTTAAAAGCAGATGTCCCAGGCCGATCAGGATGGTGGGCCACCTGACACAGGTTCACAAGGTGAGGGGACCGTTCCCAGAGAAATGGGCTGTTAACCAAGAAAGCACTCCGGAAAGTGGGGACCAGCATCACAAGGACCTCCCCTCACACACTCACCTCTCCCCCTCTCCCTCCGCCCCCAAGTAACAGCTTCTTGCTCCCCTGAGTGACCTTCATAAGGTGGCCACGCCAGGATAGGACAAAACCTGGGGTCGCTACAGACCCGCTGAGTCTAAGCAGCTCTGGGGAACGTTTCAGCCCCGACCATATTAACAGGCTTTGACAGCTCAGGGGAGGGAGGGGGTTTTGTCTGCCGACAGGGAGCTGAGCAAGTCAGGGAGGCTCAGAAGGCAGGGTGCCACCAGGAGGGTGCGCAGGTGCCAAAGGAGTCCGGGCAGATGCCCAGGGCAGCCAGTAGGGGCACCAGGGGGTCGGCACCTTTCCTGCTGGGACTTGAACCCTGGCTCAGGTGTCCACTTCTGAGGTAGACCCAATTTATTCTCTTCGAATAACCAGACGACTTCATCAGAAACATTTGGCACTTCAAAACCCACTAACAGTCTGGGCCGGGAAGATGCCTAGCTCCATCTCAGCAGCACTACTGGCCAGAAAATGGCCTGGATGTTGTTTCTTTTCAAATGGCGCATTTACAATGTTCAGCCTTGGAAAAATGTCATCAGCCCCAGCTCCTCACCGGGCCTTTGAAAAGCGGGTGTGTGCGGGTGAGGTGTACGTGCTGTGCTCTGCGGACTCGGGGAGGGTCTGCGGTGACGCCTGGTGCGTGGGCCGCTGGACTTACCGTGTTGGCCGGCAGCGTGAAGTTCAGTGAAAAACTCTGCAAAAGAGAAGGAAACACCAAAGCTCTCAGGAATGGCCAGCAAGGCTCCCGACCTCTCCCCCTGTCACTGACCCTGCGATTCTAAGAGCACTTATGTCGGTCGTGTCCCTCCCAATCTCAGCCCAAAAAGAGGGCAGGGGAGCAGATGAGTCTGAGCATCAAGTCAGTCCTCAGCTAGGGCCAGACCAAGGGGCCAGCCTGCAGGACTATTGCCTGAGGGACCCCAATCCGGGAGGCCAGTAAGAACATTACTAGAAACTCCACAAAGGGCTGAAAATAGTCCTCCCCACCCCAGAATTATTTTCAGGGAGGGGACTGTGAGAATTTAGAAAGACTTGGTACTTGCTGCTGGGTTAGGAAGTACCGTATTTTCCGGCGTATAAGACGACCCCCTAATTTTACAGTTAAAACATAGGTTTAGGCCTATATTTGCTGTATAAGACTACCCCCCACTTCCGAGGCAACACCAGTTCTTTTTTTAATAGACCGCATCTCTGACTCTGGCCAATCTGAGCAGGCTTTTTACTAGAACACAGTGTTGTCTTATACACTGGAAAATACGGTAAGCCCTCCCCAGGGCGGTGCCAACAAGAACTTCTGCTCCCTAACCCCTCCCTCACAATCCTCGCCCCCCTACCCCCGGGGCCAGAGCCTGAGAAGGACAAGGCTTCCATGTTTGATGAGTCCACGGAGGAGGTTCTGGGCTGGGGCTGAGTTGGTCAGGACCACAGAGGAGAAGCTAAAGCTAACCCTTCTCTCCCCTCCCTCACTCAGCACCCAGCTGCCCCTCTGCCCCTAATACGGAGTCGGTGGTTTTCTTTTTTAAATATATGTTTATTGATTTTAGAGAGAGATAGAAACATCAATGATGAGAGAGAATCATTGATCTGCTGCCTCATGCACGCCCCCCACTGGGGATAAAGCCCACAACCTGGGAATGTGTCCTGACCAGAAATCGAACTGTGACCTCCTGGTACATAGGTTAATGCTCAACCACTGAGCCAAGCCAGCTGGACTGAAGTCAATGTTTAAAGTTCATGGGCTCCATGGGGCATCAAACTGTTCACCTGCCCAGATGCCCACTTATCTGGGTCAGGCCCTGTCGAGGGCTCCACGGGCCCTTCCTCCTCCCATCTTCCTCTTCTGTCACCATCGATTGGGCTGGTCAATGCCAGTCGTTCTGGAATACTCTTTACTGAGACCAAGGCAGACATTATTCCAGGATATTAGGGCAAGAGGGACTCTGGGCCACTACAGGTCAGAGTCTTCTTCCTCAAGGGACCTCACCAATACCCTCAGTTGCTAGCACCAACCAAGCCACAGAAATTGCAAGGACACTTGCTGGTCACTGCACAGAACACAGCTGCCCAGAGCCTTATCTCATCAGTGAGCACTGGGTACTGATGTCAGCAGGCCCAGGACAAAGCTTCCTTTGGGTGGACAGCAGACGGGAGGAGCAGCAACAAGTGAGCCATTGCATGTGCTGTTTATCAATATCTGGATGACGAAGGTTTTGGCCAATTTCAGAAAGACGTCTATGTTTTGTAGAAACACACTACAGTGCTCTCACGGAGAGAAAAACATCGCGTAAAATTGGGTGGAGAAGAATCTGACACAGTGTTCTTTAAAGAGGCAGTTGGGTGGGGTGAGACAACCCTCCTCTGGATCTGAGTCCAGACTCCACCACTTAGAGCTATGTGGCCTTGGAAAACTGACTCAAACTCTCTGATCTCCATTTCCTCACACAGATCTCCCAGGCTCAGATTTTCCATCCTCAGAATGGGGATACAATCAACTTGCCCTGTCCATCGTACAGGATACGTCCAAAGGAAATAACGTCGGGAGCAGCTCGATCCAAACTGTAAAACACTATAGGTGTATGAGGGTCCACGTGGCGCTATACTCTCCATGGCCCGGCACAGAGCAAGGCACAGGGAAAACAATTGGGAAGGTTTTTTTGGATGGAATCCCACACATACATCAGCAATATTCAAAGTACTCGAATTTGGTGTAGAACCCCTGTTGCTAAAATGCACTTAGTGTAAGTCTAAGCACAATAGGATGTCTACACGATGGTTCTGAAGACCCTTTAGGATCTCAGCAGCCAAGTGGCACTTGGTATAAGTTTGCTGTTGTTGAGGGGAAGTGGAGAGAGTCGGATAATTACTCCCTGCTATTGGGGGTGTTCTGAGGGTCAGATGCTGCGCTCACCACCACCCCTCTATCTCCTCTGTGAAGAGCCTGTTCTCATCCCTACATCCCGGGTGAGAACTGAGATCAAAATAGGCCCCCGATGTCACCAGCTGGTGAATGGCAGGGGCTGGGTTGGATTGTTGATCCCCCAAACTACAAAGCCCAAATTCCACTCCTTTCAATGATCTCTTTAATGAAGAATCACGGAAACCTCTTCTGTTTTCCCTTTTAACATAGTAAACCTCATTTGAGCCACAACCAGATATGTGGTGCAAGTCAATAAAAGAGGTGGAAAGTTTCTGATGCAACCTATGAATATCTATATTGCTGGCCAGGTCGTAGAAGGCAGACTGAACAATAAGGGATAAAGGCATTGATCAGACCCATTGTTTCACCTGGGAAGTGAATTTAGCTGAGACATCTACTTTGTACCCTTGCCGTATGTGAGGTTATAAACAAAGCCTTAAATGAAAAATGAGTCCGGCAATTATTTGACAAGAACTTTACAAACATGATTAGTATTTTGCACATAGAAAAGTAATTTAAAACCAAGCCCCTTGACTTCATTGTACGAAAGAAACAATTCTATTAGAATTAGAGATGTGAGTCTTAAAAGCCTGGGTATTGATGATAATCAGAGAGAATGAAGGTTAGGCCGAGGGGAAGACGCTAGCTGTCACTCACCATTCCGACAGCCTCCCAAGAACCTTCTCCAAACACTGTCCTCTGCAGGCTCCTTTCTCTCTGGAGTTCTTGGCTTGTGTCTTGCATTTGCAGGGACATCCAACTGGGAGAGCAAGGGTGACAGGGCTAGAGGTGGCTCCGAGAGGGCCCTGGCCAAGCCATTTATGGTCAGGGGAGTAGCCGAGTCCTCGGCCCATCCCTCGAGGAAGACGGTCCCCTGCTCCATAGCCCCTGTGTGTCCAGGCTCCACAGAAAGCCAGGTGACCTTCATCAACATCAATCATCTCAGGTTCCTGCTCCACCCTCGTTGCCTTTATTTCTTGTCCTTCTGACGTTTCAAGTCCCTTCCTCCGTTACACTTCCTACTCAGCGAAGAACCCACAGCTGGGCGAGAGCTCAGCGGCTCCTGCAGCTGGAAACTCTCTAGAAACAATGGGTCCCACCAGCTGAGGCTGGCCCAGCTGCTAGACATCGGCATCCCAGCGAGGATGGAGTCAGCCCGGTACCAGCATCGCCGTGGAGGCTGCCTCACCCCTTTCTGTACTCACACGTTGAATGGGGGGGGGGGGGGGGGGGGCGCACTCCTGGAGCTGGAGGAGGCTGTTGACATGAGCTGCTTTTTATTTCTTATGCGTTCTCTATTAGGAGTTTGCTTTTTTAAAATAGTGAAGGCATTGGCGTGCCATTGCCAACAAAACAACGGATTTAAGACCAATAAATTTGATCATTTAAATAAGTGCATTTCTTAATTTACTTAACAAATATTTTTGCACCTTCTGCTGGTTGAGTATTATTTGGGCACCGCTCTCAGAATGGGTGATGAAGACAAAGGAGGCCCCAGCTCGTGGGGAATGTACACTCCAGCGAGGGCAGGAATTGCTGTGGAGGAGCAGGTGAGCAGAGTGACCCAGAGGCAGCTGAGAGGACATGTGAGTTGATGTGCAAGAGGAGAAGAGGGTCCCAGGCAGAGTGGGCAGCAAAGGTAAAACCCTGGGGCTGAAGCAATCTGGCACCCTCACACACTGGACAGTGTCCAGTGCACCTAGTGCAGGGGTTGGCAAACTCATTAGTCAACAGCGCCAAATATCAACAGTACAACGATTGAAATTTCTTTTGTGAGCTGAAAATCGACTTCTGCACATGGGCCGAGAAGTTTCAATCGTACTGTGTATGCACGCCTGCACGTGATAATTTGTGGAAGAGCCACACTCAAGGGGCCAAAGAGCCGCATGTGGCTTGTGAGCCGTGGTTTGCCAACCACTGACCTAGAACAACAGAGACCAGACAGTGACCCCGGAAGGAGTTAAAGACTGAGTTAGGGACCTATGGTGCGAGGCGGCAGGGCAGGTAAGATTTCTACTGTAGAGCGATGGGGAAGCCTTGCCAGGGTTTTAAGTGGGACAGGAGCCTGTGCTAATTGATGTTAAAGAAGATCACCTGGCCTCACTGCAGAGCCTGATTTCAGGGGACAAGAGTGTAAATGCAGACACTGGTTCGCAGAGTCCGGTGAAGAACGATGGTGGCTGCCCTGGGTTGGGGCAGTGGGAATGGAGAGCAGTGAGTCAGTGACTCATTGTGGGGGCAGTGGCAATGAGATTTGATGATGGAGGGGGCCGGGGAAGAAATGTGGGGCAGGGGAGGGGAGAGAAGGCGAGGGAAGGAGTAGAATGAAGCCAACTCCTGGCTTTGGAACTTGACTCACAGAGGGGATGGCGGCTCCATTTGTTTAGTCAGGTGGTATTGGAAAAATGGATTTAGGGTGTGGGGTCCAGGCAGTGGGGATACTAACCTGAACAAAACCAATGTGGTCTTTGCCTCATGGGGTTTTCAGTTCCCAAGATGATCCCTAAACCGAGTCTATTAGTGCCTGAGCATCACGGAGTCATCGTCCAGGGAAGTCTGTAGCGAAAGTCCAAGCGGCCCTTCTGGAAGCTGTGTGGTTTTAGGTGAGTGAAGTAGCTCCTTCCAGCCTCAGTCCCACGCTATACAATGGGGAGGACACCGTGGCAATGACTGGACTCCTTCCATTACACAAGTGGTACAAAGCATGCTTCCTTCCAACTTTGCTTGGTGGGCGTAGGATCACACCTGGACCAGATAGCTGGACCCCGGAACTCCAGCTCATGGTTCCAGGCCCCTCTGGTTAGGCTGTCTGTGGATGGGCAAGGCCAGTGAGGTCCTTTTTGATTCTTTTTGTTTGCTGTGTATCTGCTGACCACCAACTCTCCCTCCAAAGGACATGTTAGTCCTTTAGCAGAATTGGTAAGACCTCTCTTGTCTGTGGTGCTAGGTCACAAGCATCAAAAAGGACTCCGATTATTCTAAGAAGGGGGCTTATTGGTAGGGTATAGTGGAGCTCATAGGATGAAGAGAGGGCCAGGGAGCTGTCATCAATCAGATAGTTTCTATCCTTGAGTTATAAATGACTCTCTGCCAGTCAGGGTCCCCACAGGGAATTAGTGACATACTCAATTTGAAGCATTTGAAGGGCGATTATTAAAAGGAGTATTTATAAAGGTCCCTGTAGCGGACAGATAATGCGATACCCCGGGTTAGGCCAGCAGCGTGTCATTAGCACCCCTAGACCTGGAGGAGCGAGTGGAAGGAGTGGCTGCCAGAAGCCAGAGAGAAAAGGCCACCTTATAGGAGCCATGGCCTTCAGCTTTAGATGTCAGATCTGGCCCTTGGGCACAAAACCGCGTAGACACGAGTAGAGAGACTTGCTGAAGGACAAATGGAAGATGTCTACCACATTTATATCCTTGGGGAACAACCATCTCCACCATCAAGATGTTGTCAGATTTCCAGAAAAGAGGACAATTTTGAGGCCGCCTTTAGCTTTGCTCATGACTTTCTGGGTCTAATAGAGACTCTATTCTGGAGTTGGGCCCTGGGTACTCACCAGAGAGCAGAGGGCTATGGAGGAGGACCCTCTTTTTCTATGCTCCCCACATTCTTATGGCATTGGGGAAAATCATCACCATCAGGACCAATCCTATCGGAACTGGTAATATGCACCCAGGACACAGCAATCCATCCACATTCTTTAATAAAACAATTATTTCTAGACCATATGGTTGCTCCTCTCCAGTTTCTCTTTGAAACTGACACTTCATGAAATGGAAAATTACACAAAATAAAAAATACAATATATTTATAGATAACACTCTAAACAGTTTTTCTTTCTTTTTCTTTTTCTTTTTCTTTTTCTTTCTTTCTTTCTTTTTTTTTTTTTTTTTTTTTTTTTAAAGAAACCTTTTAGGCATTTGGGATTATTTCTCAGAAGTTCAATCTACAGAGGAAACTTGAAAGACATCTGCTGGAGCCATGGGAAGATCTGTTCACAAACTGAACAGTATCAATACCACGAATCACTTGAGACTTAGCAAAGGGACCAGATCAATGGCAAATCCCAGTGCAAACTTGCCAGTTAATAAGATTTTACAGGTGATTTGGCATGAGTCATAGGAAACTTTCCTTGACAAGAAATGAAGTTCAAGTGAACCAACCCACAGCCTCGCTTTCTCTGTTTGGATGAGTTCCATAGGTTAAAGTGAACTCTAGACGCTTACCCTGCCCTGGGACCCTGCTAGGCCAGAGGACACTGGAATCTGACCAGGCTGAAGACCCAGGCCCTAAATAGTCATCAGGTCATCAAGCTAATTCTCTGAACTGAAGTTAGGCTTGAGCCCTGTGACAACCCCGAGGCCCAGCACCGATTAAAGGACAAAGCTGGCTGGAGCAATGTCCTGGCTCCCTCCTCTCCATTCGGGGGGGAGGGAGGGTATGTGGGAAGGTCACTGAGCACCTGGAAGCACCACAGCAAGGGGCCTGGGCCTTTCTGCGGAATGGGCTTTTCTCCGTGGAGCCAGTGTGCAGACACGTCAGCACCCGCCTCGTGTGGCAATCCCAGGCCAGTCCCCGCTGAATCAGAGCTTGTCTTTTCTGGGAATATGTCACTCCCAGAAGGCCCAGCAAAGGTTTTCATAAGCGTCCCATTGTTTCTAATTGGCCACAGGTTGATAATTGTTGAAGTCGTGTGCTTTTGAAAATACTCGTACTACAGAGATAAAAATGAGTCCTATTGTTTCCCACGGGAGGATGGGTGTGGGGGGACATATACTGAGGCAAAGCTGCCTGATTCGGACTCCCTCCCACTTCTCCAGGGAATTCATTACTCTTATTTACACTTCTACAGATGGAAACCATAGAATTTTCATGACCTTGGAGAAAGACTCTTAACAGCCACTTAGATACCCCGATTTCAGCTGTACCTTGGACAGAGAAGCTGAGACAAAATAAATCCCAGAGGATAGAAAAGCCAGAGAGATGGAATCCACCCTCACAGGCAGATGAGACCTGAACCACAAGACAAGCTGCTGCATTTGCCGCATCAAAGATCGGCTGGGCAGGGTCTGCGATGCATCACGGCGTGAGAACATAGGCTGAGCCTCCAGCCTCAGAGAGGCAGAGGGAGGGCTTGGTAAGGGGAAACAGCGCGTAGATGCAGGCCGGTCAGGAGGGCCTGCTCAGGAAAGCTATGGACCCGGGTCGGCATTTGTCTCACTGCAGGGATTAAGGCTCTGACAGCTAATCTTTTACAGACACACATATATACAGACATATATTATTATTCATAATAATACTTTGATTTTTTTTTCTGTTTTAAGGAAAAATATTTCCATGCATTTTTTTAGTATTATTCTTTCTTTTTCTTTTTTCTTTTCTTTCTTTCTTTCTTTCTTTTTTTTTTTTTTTTTTTTTTACTCCCAACAATCATTCAAATTAGACATAGTCTTCTGGGGGCATACTTTGATCTTTTAGAAATATAACCTTTAACCTTTTGCAAACACTTTTGTTTAAAATAATGTTGTTCTCCCCCAAAGGAATTCTGTGCTTGGGAGCTGTCTGCACTCTCACTGAAAACACTGGTGCTCCGTCCGGTGTTCAGTACCAACCAGACAGGATGTACAGCTATGTAAACATTATTTAAAATTATTCCAACATAAATACTCTTTTAAAGCTACATACCACAGCTTTTAGCTCATAATGTCCATAGATGCCTTAATGAAATGCCATTCAAAACTACCTCACTGTTTAAAGTTTACCTGGAGGTTCTAAAATTGTGTAAACAACATCCTCCACACTTCTCTAGAACAAGTGCCAAGTGTGGTGAATTCCTATTGCAAGTTGGAGATTGGAGACTGACTAGTCTGAGCCAAATCACCAATGCGCTCTTTAACCTGATCAGTTACAGAAAGCTAGTCACAGGTTGACTTGTTCCACAAAGTGTTGATTCTTACATAACTTATGATTAACCAGTTTTCAACAGTGTTCACCCATGAGGGACCTAAACTGGTCCCTTGTAAGATGTCTTTGCACATCTTTGCAAACACAGTTTGCATTGGTTGTCAAGGAGTCAAGGTCGACCACAGATGGTACCCCCAAAGCTGAAGGAGCAAAGGTTCTGAGCCCATGGAATCCCACAGTGCATAGGTGGAGTCTTCTCAAGGAGCCAAGGAGCATCGACATGAGCCAGGATGTTTTCTTCTCAGCAACCTGGGGACCCTTACACACCAATGTAATGCTGGAATTCACAGCAGGTGCCTTAGTCCCCTGATGCAATGAGGGATGAGGGGGAAACCTAGGGAGCAGGGAGAGCTGATGACACAGAAGAAAGGCTTGAGGACTCCTAACTTGGTGATCATGACGCTCAGTACTCGAGCTCCCTCTGTGTACTGCTCACTGTGACGCCTGTTTCAGTCCTGATGTCCACATGCTTGAGTTTCCTGGTTAACCTGTCTCTGGTAGAGTCTCTGCCCAAAGCTGTGAGGGACAAACCAGCCTTGGCCAAGCTCTCATCCTCATTGCCCAGTGCAATGGAAGACAGCCGGAGTCTCCAGCACATGGTCAGGTTACTGGCACCTACGGAAGCATGTCCAGAAACGGAGGAATGACCAACCCGAAGACTGGCCTCTTGCCCCATAGGAGTAAGGGACAAGGAGAATGGATAATGACAGGCATAGCTTGAATGACTAGTGGCTTCAAACCTTAATCTTTGAAAGTCCATAACTGATCATGCTGCAACCGGAATCAAAGGAACATCCCTCTTCCTTGTTGGCCAAACTTCATCAACTACACACCTCCAAGACTAGATTTTGAGGTTTTGTTTGAGAAAAATACTGTACATTGTTTTTTTAGGGAAGATTCGCAAGGTGCTATTTTTACAATATTTTAAAAAAAACCTTCTCAGTTGCTGTCTTCCAAGAACATGGATGTTATTTCTTCATGTGCAGGGCGTCCTGGAACTTGGTGCTGGTGTATCGGGCCTGGAAGCCTTTCTTGTTGATGGTGTCATCCGTGTGGAAGCGAATCATCAGAGAATCCCCTGCAGAGTAGATTTCTTCCAATGGCTGAGGAAAGGAGAGAGGAAAACAGGGTACTTTAAGTCACACTACTGTGGATGGAGTTTAAAATCAGGACAAACCAGGACCTTACACAGTCATTGGATGGCAGATGGTGCCATTAGGTATCCCTGGGACCAGAGACCCTGAAGAGCACCAAAACCAGCACCCCTTTTGAAGGAGCTCATTGCAAATTCTGCTCCAGAAGCTCCCAGAATTTGCAATGAGCTCCTTGCTGCTACCTGCCAGATATTAATGGAACCAAAATGGACTTTCCACAAAAAATGATGATGATCTTGATGATAACCAAAGATGGCAATTTGTAATTTCCATAGGCATTTAGTTTTGAGTAGAGACCTGCTTTTCAAAGACAACTGTGGACACAGCTCGCATAGAATTTATTCAGTGCACAGACTGGCCAGGCACTGGTCTACGCACTTATCTCATGTAAATGTTACTACACTTTACAAAGCAGGTGCGAGCTCCATCTTATGCTTGAAGAAACTGAGACTCAAGTGCACACAGGTAGGCAGACCCCAACTCCGGTCTTTCTGGTGGTCAAGTGTGTACCATGAATCACCCAGCACTAGAGGCCCCATGCTGATTGGTTTGATTAATCTGATTTGATTTGATTGATCTGATTTGATTTGATTGATATGATTTGATTGCTTTGATTAAAAGGTGATACTAAAATTTTCCAGCTTTAAACATATATTTGGGTAGCCTTACTCCTAAAGCAATTAAGTTTTGACAAGGGTCGAACACAAAATTAACAAGGAAGTATAAAAGAAGGAATATAGGTTGCTGCTACCTGCCACATACAAGTGAAACCAAACCAGACTTCCCACATACTTCACTGCTCAGGACGCCCCAAGGTTTTCCTCTGCCTGTGGACCCTCATTTTGAAAGATGTTATCTATGGTGGGCGCTGCACTGGTTACGTCATACATTCACCTTTTCTTTTGGGGAGGTACAGGAAGATGAAGGGAAATTATCCAAAGACCTATACCTGCCAGGTTGAGGTTCTGCTTAGCCCCAGGAGCACAAGTGACTCCCAAATGATTGGCTATGTGTCCAGCCAATAGCAAAGAAGCTCGAGTGATGAGCCTCAGGGCCGAGGGCTGAGGGCCTGGTGTGGGCAGTGCCCCTCATGGTACAGCCGGAGTGGGGCCAGGACGCTGTTCTGCTGGTCCACACACCTTTACTGAGCACCCACTAACCGGTGGGCTATGTCAGGTGCTGGGGAAGTGGTGAGCAAAAGGGGTCTCCCTGTCCTGAGGTGGCCCAGGAAAGAGGTGATAGTGAGAAAAATGATGGCGATCTGGATGATAACCAAAGATGGCGATTTGTAATTTACATAGGCATTTAGTTTTGCTTGGGGAGAGAACTGTAAATATACAAAAGTACAATCGAAAATGTAAAAAGCCTAAGGCCAAATAAAAATGGGGGTTTGGGGGTAGGTACTTTGCAAAAATAGGAAACCGTCTTCCGTGGAAAATGCTCCTCAGTAGCCGACCTCAGTCCAAGGCCTTTAGGACTTGGTCCCTGGCTCCCTCCCAACCTCCTCTCTGATTATCCTCCCCATTTCCCACTGTTTCCCAGAGGAACGGGCCTCCCGGTGGCGATCATAAGTGGGTGTCTGACTCCCCTACTCCTGCTCTTCATCACCGAGCTCTGTGCCCCGGGCCCAGCGAACGGGGACTCACGCCAGAGCCACAGAAGCGGCCGAGCCTGGGCGCCGTGCTGTCGTAGCCGTCGTAGGCCTCCATGTAGTCGTAGCCACAGTCCGCCTCCTCCTCCACCTCGAAGGTGCGGAACACCAGCTCCACGCCGTAGCCGTCCTCCGCCACGATCACCCAGTCGCAGCGGGCCTGACTCGGGTAGTTGTTGTCCCCGAACTGGGCGTGGGAATAGAGCTCTTTGGTCTGCACCTCGGCCTTCAGCCTGCCCCCGCACTCTGGAGAGAAGAGAGAACCACGATGCCCCCTCAGCACAGAGAACCCATGTGCCACCCCCACTGCCCATGTCCCCGTCTGGGACTTCTCTCTGCACACACCCTCATTCCAGGCCACTTTTGTCTGCCAAGCCTGCGCGTGCCCTGTGAGAGAGGCCAAACAAGGGGCATCATCCTGTTTTACAGAGGAGTAAACAGAGGCCTATGACTCTGCGATTCAGGGCTCATTGCGGGATCCAAATTGGGCCTGAGAGCCAAGATCCTATGTCCCCAGGCTGAGCCACCTAAGGCCTCCAGGAGTACCTGAGCATACTGCTGAAACAGCTGGCCGCCTGCATCTTGGCCACTTAACTCCCTGGAAGTGCTTAGACCCACCTGCCAAGGGCTCACACCCTTGACTTGCTGTAATTTGTAACTTTCGCCAACAGAGGGCACCAAAAGCCCATCAGATCTGCTGGTGAGGTCTGAAACCTGGAAGCTTCAGAACAGACTTGACAGGCTCCTGCATTTCAGAACACACCACAGGCACCCATGAGGCCGCTGTGCTTGTCACCAGTGAGCTTACCTCATCCTTTGTATTCTGTAATCTTGGCTTTTGGGGTTTTTACTAAAACTAACTCTGGTTGGCCTGCGTCCCATGCTACCTTGTGTCGAGGCCACTGCAGGCCACAAAATATAAATGGATAAGTGACAGTGATCAGAGATTAGGAAACACCAGGAACTTTGGAAGCAAACTCCTTGCTGTCTGTCCTCAGTGTGTTCCATGCTTCCGAGGGGCCCAGAGCTTCCTGGGGCGTGCCTTCTGCCTCATCCAAGCCCAGCGGGCCCCAGTCCTGTCTGACTGCAACTCCCCGGCCCATCTGTGCTCTGGTTTGAATTCCTTCTAGGTGTGAGCCTTTGGAAAACCTCACATCCCTGAGATGTTGCCGGCAATGAAATGGGCATAGAGCAGGGCAAGGTGACGTCTCTCCCTCCTGCCAGATTCCTCTCCATCCCCGGAGGCTGATCTCCAGGTCCACATGACTGGGCCCCCTGCCCTCTGCCTCTGGTTGGGTTCAGCCAAGGGAAGGACCAGCGGGTGAGAGGAGGGAGGAGATAGGTCAAGGAATTTAGTCCCAAACTCCTTCCTGCCTGGTCAACTAAGGCTGCGTTCTTCACCTAAAAGTCACTGCTCCTGTCCAGGTACCCTCTGCTTACCCCCCATTCTGTAGCCAGGCTCCAGAACCTACTCCCTCATCTGGGCTGTTACTACCCTCCGATAGTTCTTAGTCCTGGTCGCTGCACCATCCCCATGGTGTCCCCACACCCTGTCTGCCACTTTGTATATAGTCCCTTATTAAATTCTCCTGAAATAATGGCTCTCTGAGTGTACCCCCATTTCTTGCTGGGACCCTGACCCGCCTCAAGCACCTATGCTCTGTCTGTAGGGACAAGGGAGTGGAGTCATTAGTCCACGGCTTTCACATTTCCTGCGGGGAAGCTAGAACCTGAGGAGCTGAGAGGGGGCAGATACCGGCATGCTTTCTAGAAGGCAAGGACAGCTAAGCGCCTGAGGGTGCTGGTTGTCCTTTGGTGTTACCTGATTCATATTTTCTGGCTCTGAAAGCAAAAAACGCTGAGGGCTGGGGCTGTTCAAGGGACCAGAGACCCTCACAGGGTCCCCTGATCTCAGACTCTGAGTGGGTCTCGGGCAGCCGCCCCTTAGCCAAAGGGCCACAATCTACCACCAGAGTCAGAATAACACTGCTTCCCGGGTTCCACCCCCGGCGGAGACACTTTAATGGCTAAAGAGCAGAGCCAATCTGCTTACTGACACCCTTCTACGTAACAAAGCAGATGTCAGTGATAAGCATGTATATTCCTCCAAAGGACTAAATAAAGCGGCCACTTAGGTGAGGGATAAACACTGGGGGGGCAGAACTATTTTCCCTTTTCCGGGCCGGTCCTTAGACAGGGCTGCTCCCCAGCCCTCAGCCCCGGACTTCTGGGTCGCACAGACCAGCAACATCACAAATCACTTTCTACAAGAGAGGACGGGAGGAAGGAGGGGGCGGAGGAAACGTGGCCCCGATACCATACCGTCCACTTTACACGTCCTCAGTGAAGGACATTAAAAGAAAGCAACCTTCCCCCACTGTCACCCATGTTGCGTTTTAAACGGGTCGTGCTAGCACACACGCAGCCATGTGAAGAGGCAGCCCGTCCCCGCCTGCCCCCGTCCATCTCCCGTCCCCGGCGGGGGCCGCGCACCGGTGCTGTGCTCCGCCTGGAAGCCCCTCCTCTGCACAGAGGCGTCCGAGTAGAACCGCAGGAACAGGCTGCTGCCCGAGGCCACCACGGGGTCGGGCGTCCTGCTGCCGCAGAACCGGCCGACGATGGGCGCCAGGGCGTCGGGGCCGTCGTACACCTCCAGGTGGTCGTAGGCACACTCCTGGTGCTGCTCGATCTCAAACTCACTGAACGTCTGCAGAGGGGAGAGCACAGCGTGAGGCGGGGGCCCGGCACTCCGCGGGGTGGGGAGAGGACCTGGCCAGCGGCTGCAGAGGGGACAGGGAGCCGCGGCAATCGCGGCGACATCGGCGGAGAGGCCTGGACCCCCGGCTCCTCTCTCAGGCGGTGCGGACGTGGCCCTGCCACGGGGACCACTTTGCCGATGAGACGGGGCTGGGCCTGGGATGCCTGTGCTCCTCCCGTCACTTCTCGCAGCTTCTCCAGTGCAGCGGCCACGTGCCCCTGGGCCGGGAACAGCCTTAAGAGCTTTACAAATATCAATCCTCACGATCCTGTGATGTGTCTCCCATGTTGGCCCCCACTTTACAGGCAAGGAAACTGAGGCACGGAGCTGTCAGAGGACTTGCCCAAGGTCCCCACCTGCATGACCACGCCCTTACCCTCCTCACTACACCGCGCAGCCCTGCGGCACAGCAACGCGCATGAGCTTTATGCGGGCAACTGCTCCCTGTCGGGACTGACGTCAGCTGAGAGCCCTCATTGTCTCTCAATCCCGCTCATGCTGGCAGGGAACAACTGCTATTATGCCCAAGGTGCAGAAGGGGAAACTGAGGCTTAGAGCAGTTAAGAGGTTTGCCTGAGCTTAAACAGCTAGAGGACGGAGCTGGACTTGACTTCAAGCCACACTTCTAACTATCATCAGGCCATTCTGCCTCCCTCCTCCCTGTCTCTTCCCTCCTTCCCCCCTCCCCCGTCCCCCAACATGTGGGATTTCTCAGGCTTTGGGCAGTTGACCGACTGATGGCCTACCTACGGGACAGGTGAGAGGGGACAGTGTTTAATACAGACTTGGATGGAAAGACAGAGTGGGGAGAGAGGATAATAGTCGGGGAGGGGGAGGTCTCAATTCGCAAGAAAGGGACTGGGGCAGTGGTCGGCAAACTCATTAGTCAACAGAGTCAAATATCAATAGTACGTCTATTGCAATTTCTCTTGAGGGCCAAATTTTTTAAACTTAAACTTCTCTTAATCCCACTTCTTCAAAATAGACTCGCCCAGGTCGTGGTATTTTGTGGGAGGGCCGCACTCAAGGGGCCAAAGAGCCGCATGTGGCTTGCGAGCCGTGGTTTGCCGACCACTGGCCTGGGGAGGCAGAGCAGCGATGGGAGTGGAGAGGGGCCATTACCAGGGAGGGCATTCATAGGAATGACAGAACATTTGAAATGGGCAAAGCTCTTCCCGCCTTAGAGAAAGGGGCTGGAGGAGGCTGGAGGACAGTGGGCAGGAGCCGGGGGTTGGGGGGGGGGGGGGGGGAGACCGGTGGCACCAGGCTGGGTAAGGCACTGGAGGGAGACAGTGAGCCAGAGAGGCGGGCGCTCCCCACAGGCCCCTGGAACCCCTGTGGCTGTCCCCATGCGGCGGAACACCAGCTACTCAGAAGCATTCAACTCCTGTCCTATGGTCAATAAACCCCGCTTCCCAGGGAAGTTCTTCTAGAAAACTAGCACACATATGTTCCGTCCTCAGATAAATGTGAGGTCTGGCCTCACTGTGGCCACTGTGATCAGTTGTTTTAGGTCTTTCGTACCTTCAAGAACAGGAGAAGACATTTACAGACAACTACTTGGACAAGAAGCTCCTGTCCAGTTGTGCAGATTGCGAGTCCCTAACCACAGGGGGCGCCATCCCCCCGCTGTGATCAGCTATTTATGTTGCCATTGGGGACAGTTCCCAGCAGATGGCAGTCTGGGGAAGGATGCCTTCCTCTAAGGCTCTTTTTAATCAGATGCCAGGCTGTTCTGATCCACTCAGAAGAGCAGCCCCCGGAAGCTTTTCTCCCAGGGAGCACCCTGTGGTCAGGGACCCTGCCTTCTCCACCCCTCGACTCCCCAGGCCTGGCACAGAGACACCAGCACCCGCGCTCCAGCCCTCCGCCCACCTGTCCTCACTGTTCTCGCCGGCAGCACCTAGCGAACCCCAGGGCCAGGGCCTATTTATTATCGTGTCCTCCTGTTCCCTCCCGTTCTCCCTGTGTTATTGTCCGTAATTCACACATCCATGTGCCTTCTAAAGAGCTCACTCCTCCCCGGAGTCCAAACAAACCCAGTTAAAAACTGTTTGTCTCCAGTACAGCAACTTCTCCAGCTGGCAGGACAGGCTGGTTAGGCTCCATTCCCTTGGGAATCCCTCGGGGCTGAGAGAGAGAGATTTGTAGGAAAGACGCCTTTATCTCTGAAATAACTGGGCGTGGTGTGCAGGCCACAGTCTCATGCAGGGGTGGGCCTTTAAGGAAAGGTTTTGGAGATACATGTTTTAAACTCAAGAGTGAATGTATTAATTTGTAAACAAATAAAAGTAAAAAAATTACCACAGGAAACAAATCTCAAACAGCGCCGTGTGGCATGTTCTACCTCGTCCTGGTGCCACGGTGCACAGTGCTATTCACAGGGCTTGCCTCACCTGCCCCCCTGAGCAAAGGGCTTTGTGTGAATCCCCTCTATTAATATCTATGTATATTTTATTGATTTTTTTTACGGGAGAGGGATAGAGAGCTAGAAACATCGATGAGAGAGAAACATCGACCAGCTGCCTCTTGCACACCTCCTGCTGGGGATGTGCCCGCAAACAAGGTACGTGCCCTTGACCGGAATCGAACTCGGGACCCTTCAGTCAGCAGGCCAACGCTCTACCCACTGAGCCAAACCGGTTCTGGCGCATCCTCTTTGCCCTGCACAGCAGCCCCATGAGGAGGCACGCCCGTTTTCCAGATGGTGAACCTGAGGCCCGGGAATGCAGAGTAGCTTCCCCAGGTCTCAGAGCGGAGAAGGGGAAGAGGGGAGGCTCCCGCCACGTCCCTCTGTCCCCGGTGTCCGTGAAGGACGACGAGGACTCACCAGCTTCACCCGGTGGCCCGCGGTGGAGGAGATGTTCCAGGAGCACTCCCGCCGGCTGGGGTACTTGTCAGGCCAGTTGGGGCTCGCCAGGGTGCCCTCTGCACTGCTGATCCTGTGCGCACAGCCAGCTGGGGTGGGGGGAGAGACAGGCAGAGAGACATGGGGGCATTGTAGGAGGCATTCTAACAAGCCCTGCTCCCCGCCCTCCATCGGTCACATGATCGTTGGGCAGCGTGGGAGCTGGCGTCAGCCTGAATCAACACCAGAATACCTGGCGTAGAGATGTGTCGCTTTATTTGGCTTAGCCGCCTTCCTGGTGGTGGCTCAGGAGCCAAGTGATCTTTCTTACAATTCCCAGCATGGTTATGGTAGGAATAGGGTAGAGTGCGTGGTTAAGAGCACAGGCCCCGGGGTCAGATGGGCCCTGACTCAAGTGCTGGTCCTGCTCCCTTCACGCTGGGACTTGGGGCACTTACCTAGATCTTGGGGTCCTCACCTGTCAAAGGGGTGCTGCCTCCCACCCAGGGAGGTTATGGGAAGTGAGTGAAATGCTTGTAAAAGGCTTGGCAAGTGCTAACCAAGATCTTGACCACTCTCTGCACTCCTTGTACTCATTCAGAGCAGATTCATTTGGACGCTACAGCTGTTGCCCCGGTTACCTGCTCAGTGAGCCGCATTTTGACCAATAGCCAGTGTTTGTCGCCCTCTGTGTTGGGTGCTATGCTAAGCATTCCGAACGCACCCTCTCATTTTATCCTCCCCACTTTCCAAGTGAGAAAAGCAAACGTTTAGAGCAAGTGGGTGGGCTGCCCGTAATGGCTGAGTCAGGACTCGAACTGGGCCCTGCCTTGGCTATCACTGACTAGGAAGCAGAGGGAACTGAGGAGGTCAGCTCGTCACCTGAGGGAGCTGGAGGGGGCAGTTAAGAGCAGGTGGGGGTGGGGGGTGCAGTGGCTGCAGGAGGCCCCTACTGCTCACCCCTGCCCTGCCCTAGGGGACCCCACAGGAAGGCAGCCACAGCTCAGCTGGCAGGACCTCCGTGGACTTTACATCTTATCCCCGGTGGCCTCCCCCACACCACATGAGGCACGCATTGTTCTGGCCAAGGCCCGCCTCACGGGGGGTTTGACAACAAGTTCCAGAAGGACAGCTCCTTCCAAGCTCTTCCAGCCCACCTCCCAGCCCAGCCCATGGCTGCCCCTGTCTGTGTCCCAGGGCCAGGCGTGGAGGGCGGCGGCGTCCTGCTTCTAAGGATGTCTTAGCTCACCCGTCGTCACAGTCTAGGAAGGGCCCGCGCAGACGGTGAGCCCAGCCAGATCTTTCTCTGAAATGTTTACCCGTCGCCCTCGATGTCCTTCGCGGGGCCCTGCGGCTGGGGCCGAGGCCTGGAGGCCTGGGTGTTTACCCGAGATGTTCACACTCCCTTCGCAGGGCGGGGCGCGAACACAAGAAGGCCTTTCCCAGAATGACTGGACAGGCAACGCCATCTGGTCCCGAGAACTCCCGGGAGTGAGTGAAGCAGGGAGCAAAGCCGTTAGCTTATTCCCAGTTCTATTTTACTCCTAGACCTGCACATGGTTAATGATATGACGACATAGATGGTAATGTTTCAAGGGCTTACTGCGCGCCAGACTGTCTGAAATACTTTCTAGGCATTCTCTCATGTAATCCTCAGAAAAACTTTAAGAAGGGGGCGGGTTTAGCCCCCTTTAAACAGAAGAGGAAAGTGAGGCTCAGAGAGGTTAAGTCACTTCCCCAAGGTCACACAGCTAGTACGTAGCAGAGCCAGGATGTAAACCTAGGAAGTCTGAGCCTGGAGTCTGGGGGGTTAAAATAATAACTTTGCACTAATACCTCCAGGAGAGCATTGCGGGCCCCACATGCCTCCTGAAGGAGTGAGCTGCCCTGAGAACATCAATCCTCAGCGAGAGGGCAGAGGGCAGGAGGGAGAGGCAGAGGCTCAGCTTCGTGGGGCTCACTCTAACCCCAGCACACGCCTGGCAGCCGAGGGTAGGTTTCCCGGGCCCCTCCTCCCGCCCCAGCCAGGGGCCCAGCCTCACCTTCTTTGCAGTCGTGTCCGTTCTCGTGCAGCCGGTAGCCGTTCCTGCACCGGCACAGGTAGCTCCCGAACGTGTTGACGCACTCGTGCTGGCACCAGCCGTTGTCCTTGGCGCACTCGTCCTTGTCTGGGGAGATCAACGGGCTCTCCTGAGGGGAGCTGCCGACTGGGGATGGTCGTGCTCAGCTCAGAACCCTGCTGGAAAGGGGCCTCCCTGCTCCATGACGGACACACACATGGCAAGCATGGGGCGGAGCTGGAAAGTGATGTCACACACATAAAAAGTAGTCTCCGCCGAAACCAGCTTGGCTCAGTGGATAGAGCGTCAGCCTGTGGACTGAAAGGTCCCGGGTTCGATTCCGGTCAAGGGCATGTACTGGGTTGTGGGCACATCCCCAGTAGGGCGTGTGCAAGAAGCAGCTGGTCAATGTTTCTCTCTCATCAGTGTTTCTAGCTCTCTATCCCTTTCCTTTCCTCTCTGTAAAAAATCAATAAAATATATTTTTTAAAAAGTAGCCTCCCTGACTGCTCCGACTCTGCTTATCCTTTTTCTGGGAGGAGGAGGGAGGCAGCATGTGCTGGTGTAACATGCCCCTGGAATATATGCAATTCCGCATGCTACTAAAGCATTTAAATATATATATATATATATTCTCCATCCCTACTCCCCACAGAAACAAGGAGCTCCTTGAAGGATGGGCTAACAGGAACAATAATAAAAATGCCACCCATATACTGAGTATTTACTAGGCGATGGGCACTCTCCCAAGCCCTTTCCATACGCATTTAAGTCAATTCTCACACACCTTAGGAGGAAGGTGCTTATGCTCCCATTTTACAGATAAGAACACTGAGGCTGAGGATGCTCATGTGCCGAAGGTCACTGAGTTAGCAAGTGGCCTATGTGACTGGAGGCCCGGGGTCATCGTTCCTGATCCCAGGCCACCTCCTGCCTGTGGAGTAGGTAAGTGTGGGGCCAAGTGCCAGCCTGCTCCACCAGTTAAAGCTGTTTGTGACCTCAGCCACCTTTGGCCTCCATGCTTCAATTGCCTCATCTTTAAAATGGAGTCAGTACTGGTTCCTGACCTCACAGGGCTATTGAGAGGAGGAAATAAATTATAATAGTTCAAGGAAAGCCCTTAGAACAGTGTGCAGCCTGGAATAAATTTATTTATTACTAGAGGCCTGGTGCATGAAAACCTGTGCACTTGGGGGGTCCCTCGGCCCAGCCTGCACCCTCTAGCAATCCGGGACCCCTCAGGGGATGTCCACCTGCCAGCTGAGGCCCGCTCCCCAGGGAATTGGGCCAAAGCTGGCAGCCAGACATCCCTCTGGCAGCCCAAGAGCCCTCGGAGGATGTCCAACTAATGGCTTAAGTGGTCAATTGGACATCCTTAGCACTGCAGAAGAGGCGGGAGAGGCTCCTGCCACCACCACTGAGCTCACAGCTGTGAGCCCGACTGGTGGCTAGGCACAGCTCTCCCTGTGGAGTGCACTGAGCGTCTGCCCCCTGGTGGTCAGTATGAATCATAGCACCGTATTTTCAGGCGTATAAGATGACCAGGCATATAAGACAACCTCCTAATTTTACAGTTAAAACATAGGTTTAGGCCTATATTCGCTGTATAAGACTACCCCCCACTTCCGAGGCAACACCAGTTCTTTTTTTAATAGACCACCTCTCTAACTCAGCCAATCCAAGCAGGCTTTTTATGCATGCAAATTATACATGTTCTGTACCCGCAGCTACACTGTGTTCTAGTAAAAAGCCTGCTCAGATTGGCCAGAGTCAGAGAGGCAGTCTATTAAAAAAAGAACTGGTGTTGCCTCGGAAGTGGGGGGTAGTTTTATACAGCGAATATAAGCCTAAACCTATGTTTTAACTGTAAAATTAGGGGGTTGTCTTATACGCCGGAAAATACGGTAACTGGTCATTCTGCCATTAGGGTCAATTTGCATATTACCCTTTATTATATAGGATTATGTTTAAACTCAAGTGTTAGGAGGTGTTAGTATTATGGTTCTTCTAGCTCAAGCCAGGGTAGTACACAGCCCTCTCCTGAGCCAACTTCTCCTGTAATAACAGAGGGCCAACCTCCCTCCTCTGCCCTGCCCCCCGTCAGGATAACTGCAGGGGTCAAAGGTCAAGGTGGCATCTCCTCTCTCTACCCTCTGCCCACTGCAGATAATGGGCCACTGAACACTGTATATCTTGTTCCATGAGGGCAGGTAAGAATCCTTGGACAACACTTGAAGAATAGATGAGGATCACCCAACACCAGCTCTAGAACCACTAGCCAGGGGGACCAGGAAGGAGCCTGCCCAGGGGCTGCCGAGAACATCGTCCTGCCCACTGCTTGGTTTCGGGCTTCTGCCCACAGAGCTGGGAGAGTCCGTTTCTTTTGTCCTAAGCCACCCAGTGGATGGCAAACGGTTATGGAACTACCGTGTGGCAGGGGCATCGGGCAGAGAGGGCTGGCCAGGTGCCCCGAGGCTGGGAGCTGGCAAGGCCAGGTGGCCCTCAGCCCCGCGGCCTCCCCTCCAGCCCCTGCACCTGAGAAGAAGTGGGCCCGGAAGCCACGTTTGGAGACCGTGTTGTCAGACTTGAACTCCACGCGCATGTTGTTGCTCTGCGAGGTGATGACCTCGGGCGTCTCGGAGCCGCAGAACCTGCCATGCAGCCTGGCGTCGGGGGACAGGCCGCTGCGCACCTCCACAAAGTCGTACTTACAGACCTGCAAGGAAGCGATGGAGGGAGCTGCCCGGGGCCCCCATGTCCGTGCCCTGGACCCCGGCTCTGAGGGATCCCCTCCCTGGGAGCTGCCCCCTGCCAGGGGGCCAGACAGGCTCAGCCAGGTCCAGCAGGAGGGTCCTCTCCACTCCCACTGGGGCCCCTCCAGCCCGAGGGACAGGCCTGGGCACTCCTGACTATACTCTGGCTGGAGGGCTCTGCTTGAACCCAGCTGGTTTGGCCATCCCATGACCACTGCCCAAAGGAGGGAACAGGCTGTTGATACTATCCTGGTCCCCAGCTGCACCTCACCCTCTCCACTCCCCTCCGCCAGACACGAACCCCGAGATTCCTTCCCCAGGGGACACGGCTGTCCAGACCACCTCCGCCTCCCTCATCCAAGACCACCTCCTCCACTCTCGTCCTGGTGCTCCTTGGACTTGTGAGCGATGAGAGGGCCCAAGCACTCTGCCTGCAGAGGATGGGCGGCTGACACTGCTGTGCAAGGATGCCCGGGAAGCCGCCTCCCTGCCGGCTGGGCCCCTCCTGAGTCACAGCCCGACACAACCCCCAATCGGTGAGAGCCCAGACACGTACGTCATTGCCTTCCAGTTCAAACACCTCAAACTGGAGGGAGATCTGGTACTGAGCGGGGGCCACCACCTGCCAGACACAGTTTTTGTTGGTCGGGTAGTCCTTGGGCCACCCAGGGCTGGTGATGGTGCCATTCAGCTTGGTGATGAAGCCGCCACAGGCCACTGCATGGGGGAAACAGAAGCACGATTGGTGTGGCGCTAGTTCCAAGTAACTGCGATTTCCCCGAAGCAGCGCTAGGCCCTGCTGTTCTTTGATGATGATAATAATAATAATAATAATAATAATAAAAAGTTAGACAATCTGAACCGATGAATGCAGCGTCCTTTCTTCTAGTCCATTTCATCGGAGGCCTTGGAGGGATAAAGTTGGGGACAAGTGTTTACTGCTTTGAGAAAGAAGGGCAATGCACCTGTGCTGGCCTGTCACCCAGTGGCGTAGTTGGGGACCTCACATGACTTGGACCAAAGGAGAGCTAAAGACGTTTGCACGAGGCCTGTGGTCGGCAAACTGCGGCTCCCGAGCCACATGCAGCTCTTTGGCCCCTTGAGCGTGGTCCTTCCACAAAATACCACGGCCTGGGCGAGTCTATTTTGAAGAAGTGGCGTTAGAAGCAGTTTAAGTTAAAAAAAAAATGTGGCTCTCCAAAGAAATGTCAATCGTTGTACTGTTGCTGTTGGGCTCTGTTGACTGAGTTTGCCGACCGACACACCAGGCTATATGCACTGTACCTGGTTTACGTAGACAAGCAGCCACGCAGGTGGGCAAGGAAGACAGAGCCTGAAGACAAAGACCAGTCAGGCAAAAGGGTGAATGGAATGCGCTCTTAGTTGAGCCACACCCAAGTGCTCATGGTTTTCCCTGGCTCTTATTTCCCACCTTAGTCATCATGTGAATCTTACGTGGTCACGGGAGCAAATAAGCGAAGGCTCCAGCCAGTTACAGTTTCTAGAACGGAGTCCATGTAATCTGGGCAGTCCTCACATTCACCACTCGATCCACTTGTGTCTCCCTCTGAGAAGGAGATGGGTCCTCCACCACAGCTGTCCGTGGTACCTCACAGTCAGCCAGCACCCACCCCTGCTCCGCTCCCCTAAGACATGTCCCCTATCCCTTCCCTCCGGCGTGGCAGGTCCAACACCCACCTTCACATGCCTTCTTGTCAACCGCCAGCTCGTAGCCAGGGTCGCACACACACCTGTAGCTGCCCAGCGTGTTGACGCAGCGCTGCTCACACCCGCCCCGGTCTGGCCAGGAGCACTCATCCACCTCTGTTGGGGCAAAGGGGACTCCGGTTAAATGATGACAAAGCTGCCTGGTCTGTTCCCCATCACAGTCCACATCCTGGGTCCCCAACATGTGTCCTCCAAGCACAGGAATGGCTCCTGGGGAGAGATCAGGCCTGAATACTCTCCTTCGTCGAAGGATTCAGTCAGCTGTCTTCATTCATGATTTCTAAAAAGCCCTCAAAGGTTCCATACCAAAGGCTGAACCTATTTCAATGTCACCAAATCCACACCCCCACCCCAGTCCCAAATATGGAATTTCCCAGAAACATTAAAGGGTGAGGAAAAGGGATGCTTTTCCAGATGAAGTTGCATATGTATTCTCTAGGGATAGAACAAGAACCTGCAATTCAGCATTTTCATAAATGACCTGAAGAGATGGGCACAGGGAGGTCTCCAACGTCGCAGAAAATGCCGGGATCTTAGGTGAGCCTTTGCTCAGGAGAATTTGCAGAAAGAGGCCATAGAGAACAAGTCAGCAGGGGATCCACATGAGATTGAGCATTGACAGTGTCTAAGGATGTGTATGGGGCAATGAAGTAACGGAAGTAGGATGCTGGGGGAAGAACCAGGGGTTCATCAGAGAATCTCCCAGACACACCCGGCCCAGGGAACCTCTGAAGACAGGAAAATCCCAGGCTTTGGGCATCTCCAAAAAGTGTGTCCGAAATAAAAGGAAAGGTCATTATTTTCTGTCTCCAAGTTGTAGTATCTCTATCCCTGAAAGAGAGCATGCAGGCTGTGGCCTGAGCAGAGAGCCGCGTGAAAGGAAATCTGAACACCGAGAGAGACATCTTAATCATAGTAATGAGCTCCAATCCGGGAAGAAGAAAGGGTTGGGGCAGGGAGGAGAGTATTGGTGGTTTATAACACCATGGGAGGTAGGACTAAAGCAAGCACAGAGTTGTCCACAAAAGGACCATATTGTTTGTCAGTAGAAGAAATCAGGACATATTTGAGTTCCTTGGTAAAGACCTGAAAAGGACCTGGGTGCTGCCATTTTACCAGGGATTCTTTTTAAGAACATTTCTGATAGATGGCTTTTTCTGACCCGGCTTGAAAATGCCCGGAAACAAGGTTCTTGCTGCTTTTCAAAGTATTTCTTGTCCTTTGCCAATTGAATTGTCAAAATTCAAACTTCCAACCCATTGGTCCTCCAGAAGATGCAAACCCTCCACCATAATGTCTCCCTCCACTCTGCCCTCTTCCACATCAAATAAACCCATTTCCTTCCAGCCTTCCTTGTTTAGGATGCACAGAATACTCACCAACCACGTTGTTCTTCACTGGGGAAAAGACAGTTCACAAATGTCCCATCATTTTGCCTATTGGATAGTAATGCAGCTACCTCTAAAGTGGGAATTCTGAGACACGCGACGGGGGTGATGAAAAGAATGAAGTCACCTGGCCGTACCTGACTCAGGTGAGAGTGGACTAGGGCAGGCCTGAGGAGGGGAATGAGAGAAGGCAGGGACAGAAAGAAGGAAAATGTGCCAGGGATGGGGCCAGGAAGACTAGATGAGCAGCACCACAGAGTCAAGAAACCGGCTGGTGGGCACAGGGAAAGGGTGGGAAGGAACTGTGGGAAATAGACTAAGAAGAACAGAGGATCAAGGGATGGGGGGTGGGGGCAGTGAGGGAGGAGTCTGATGTGAGAAGATGCTCTGATTATGGACAGGACACACGTATGTCATAGGCAAGAAAGGGAGGATCACAGATGACTAATCCTCTTGGTGCCATCTTAGCCACATGGAGGGAGACAGGCTGGTGCATGGTTTGGGCCTAAACCAAAGGGAATGTAATTCCTCCAGACAAGAGAAGAATGGGCTGTTGGATCCAGAAAGGTGGATGACAGGTATACACTTACCCCTGAGCTCTAGCCAGAAAATGCAGTGGGCTGTTTGGCCATTTCCAATCCTTCCCCAGCATGGGTGGAGGCATGGAAGTGTCTGAGGGACCCTGCTTTCCTCTGTATCACCTCCACACTACGGTGAAGCAGCGTCTGCTCCAAGCCCGAGGGTTTGTGCTTGCTCTGGGCTGTGGTGGCCAAGGCTGAGTCTACCAGAAAAATCCGGAAGAGCTTGGGGGTTGGAGGAGAAGCTGAACCAGGAAATCAGTTTTTCGTATCAGGAGCTCTGGCTTTTTTGTCTTCTCCAAGTGGCATTAGTGAAAGAAGGAACCATTCTGTGGTTAAATAATGAGATGGCTCAGGTAGGACCCCAAAGATTGTTTCAAAGAGAGTTAAGGAAAGAGAAGGCAGGGCACATCCTTGAAGTTTTGAAGAAGTACCTCGAAAGATGCCAGTCCCCCCCATCAAACACACATAGTGGTCCATCGGCAATGGGACGGTGGAGTGTGGGGACCAAGGTGGGAATCCATCCTCATATACTTTTGTGGGAAGTGTGTGACCACAATGGCCCTGCCAATCCTCGAATGCTCCTGCCATCTCCTGCAGTAACCAGAAACGTGAGGTGCTCTGCCAGCTGCCCAGCCAGCAGGCTTTGAGAGGGATGCCATCTGGCACCTGGAGAAGGATGCAGAGGCCAGCTGGCACCCTGGTCAGTGTCATTTGCCAGCTGGGCCCTGAGTAGAGCCTCTCGCCAACTGGTACCAAGGCACTGGGGATTCGCGGGACATCCTACTTACGGTCTCTTGGGAAACGGCTGGGTAAAGAAGCTGGCTGTGCCCCGCCTCCAGACCTGTGCTGACTGTATGGCAGATACCAGCTCCGTGTGACTATCACACGTGTGAAATGCAGCTGGTCAAAATTGGGATGTGCTGTGAGTGTAAAGCACACTGGATTTACAACTTAGTATGAAAAAAAAAAATACACACACCATAAAGCATCTCATTAATTTTGTGTATATCGATTATATATTAAAATGATAGTATTTGCCCTAACCGGTTTGGCTCAGTGGATAGAGCGTTAGCCTGCAGATTCAAGGGTCCCAGGTTCAATTCTGGTCAAGGGCATGAACCTTGGTTGCGGGGCCATACCCAGTGGGGAGTGTGCAGGAAGAAACTGATAGATGTTTCTCTCTCGTCGATGTTCTAACTCTCTATCCCTCTCCCTTCCTTTCTGTAAAAAAAAAAAAAAATCAATGAAATATATATATATTTTAAAATGATAGTATTTTTTGGTATATTGGGTAAAATAAATACATTAAAATTCATTTCATCTGTTTCTGTTTTTGCTTTGGTAAGGTGGCTAGCAAGTTTAAAATTACACAGATGGCTTGCATTTGTGATTGGCCTTTTGTATCCGTTGACAAGCAGAGCTCTAGACTGCAATCTCCATCTCATTCATCCTCAGGGGAACCCCAAAAGGTAGGTGGCAGATTACCCAACCCACAGTCTGAGCCTCACCCATTCATTCATTGCCCAGTAAGTATTTACTGAGGCCACCATGGACCAGGCACTGGGAATAGAGTGGAGAACAGAGCAGGTACGATCCGATCTCAGAAAGGAAATCTGGCTGCCGGAGAGTGGCTGGCTAGACACGAGTGCAGGATTCAAAACCGAACTTCCGATGCTAAACGCAGGGCCCTTCTCCCTATACTCCCATGGTATCCAGAAGGCAGAAAGGCCTCGGAGTGTCCGCATCAAATCACAAACATGAATGAAAAGCTCACGCTCCTTTACTTGCCTGTGGCTTTTGGCCTGTCGTGGGAAGAGAGAGTGCTGTCTGTGGAGTCCTGCGGGTCCAGGGTCTAGTTCTAGCTCTGCCTCCTGAGAACTCGCTTCCTCAGCTTGGAAAGGGGAGGAATGACAATGCCTACCAAGGGCTGTTCTGAAGATCAAGTGAAACAACTAAACGTCGTTTCTAGCACACTCAATACATGTCTTTTCTTTGCCCTTTAATAGGTTCCAGTGCGGTTTCTACCAGCTCTGGTTCAGGGTCAAGGTCATTCTCCTTGACATTAAAAAGATGTCAAGCTGGGCCCATGCACTGAGGTGGTGTAGTTGGGCCTCAATGAACACCTTCACGAGCATCTTAAAAGATGTTTGCAAACTGAAATGCCCTTGAAGTAGCTGGGTAACCTGCCCCCCACCCCCTGGCCTCCTCCCAGGTTCACACTTCTTTGACAATACCATTGCCCATTTGTTTGCCGTCTTTTTCACCACGTTAAGCTCTTGAGAACAAAGACTGTGTCCCTTTTTTTGTCCCCAACCCCTAGCACGGCGCCTGACACATTGTTTGATGACTGCTGGATGAATTGAGTGGGGAGGAGGAAGAAGATGGGGTCTTCTAACCAGCAAACGGAGCTGGTTATCATGGTTACTTGAAGCAGGCCAAAGTTCTCAACTCAGTCCTCACACACTCGCTTAGCATCACAGAGAGAAACACTTCTGTCTGTTGCCCTGACTGGCACCTCCAGTGGGGCTGCCACACAATAAGCAGGAGGTCAGTTACATTTGAATTGGGACATACTTCCAAAGAAATTCAGATTTCAGTGGAAATCCTGCTTTGTTCTGTTTTCTCTAAATCTGGCCACCCTCAACTCCAGCTTTGGCCGGTGCTCTCAGAAATGTGCGTCGCTGATTACCAGGAATGGGCGTGGGGGCAGTGCCCAGGTATCTCCCTGGAAAGAACCCCAATACCCAATGGATAGACCTGGGGATGTAAGTTAGGGGAGAAGAATGACAGGAGCATTAAAATAAGTAGAAACAGAATAAAACCTCATGATCATTCATGACATGTGGCAAACCAAATGAGGCCTCCCCAAACTGCCCATGACCTAGCCCCTGACACCTGTGAACCTGTTACCTTACGTGGCTAAAAGGACCTTGCAGGTATGATTGTATGAAAGATGTTGAAATAGAGGATTTTCTTGGATTATCTGGGCGGGACCAATGTAACTACAAGGAAAGTCAGGGTCAGAAAAAGATGCACCTGCGGAAGCACAGGTCTATGATGAGGTCTGCAGGAGAAAGACCGACCGGCCGTTGCTGGCTCAAAAGCTTTGAAAAGGGACGGGGGACATGAGCCAAGGAGACTGGGGCCTCCTCCAGAAGCTGGGAAAGGCAAGGAGACCTGACTTTCAGAACAGTGAGAGAATAGATTTGTGTTGCTCTCAGCCACCCAGTTTGTGATCATTTATTACAGCAGCAACAGGAAACTGACCCATGGCGACAGAAAGAAGAAATTGTCACTTTTTCCAGAGAGAGAAAAAAAAAACCATCTCAAACTCCTTCCTAAGCAAGAACAATGAATGGGACTAAACATTTTGCCCCCGGTATTCCCTCACACTGTGCCATTTTCTCCGGACAACAACTCTGCCATAACCTGGTCGTGTCATTTTTACGGATGGAGGGCCCGGGGCTCAGGGAGGTTGTGTAACTTGCTCAAGGCCACCCAGCCTGTGTGGCTGCTGCTAAGTCACATGCAGTCTGGGCAGAGTGGGGCCGCGATGGTGAGTTTCCAGGCACCTCAACTAATAATGTCATGTCTTCCTTCGCATTATAATCACTAGCATCTGAAATATGCTTACTGTGGCCTAGCTTTTTTGCTTGGGAAAGAATTAGTTTTGTCTCCAGTTATTGAAAGCATTCTGATCATTATGACTCTCTTTCTGCTTGGGCTCGAGATGGAAGAAAGGAACGCTCCCCGTGCTGTGTGGCACTGTCGGCTCTCAAAGGGCCTCCCAGTATCGCTGCGCTGGGCTCCACAACTGGTTCGGTAAAACAGGCAGGTTCCTGCCCCTGCTTTAGGGAGAGGGACACCGAGGCTTCTGCCTGGTCAGAGTCACATGGCTTACCGAGGGTTCTCCTGACACCCATCTCCTTCTGCAGGACCTGGGAAAAGGGGCTCAGAGGAGGCAGATGGGGAGACTGGCAGTAAGGGAGGACCAGGGTTTCTGAGAGAAGAAAGGAAGAGCAGCCTTCTCTTGGTGTGAGTGGCACCACTCATCAGAGGGCCACCGCTGCAGACTGGATCTCTCCATTCATTGCTATTGGCGGCGCCCAATCACAACACATTGGGGAGCGTCCAAGATGCCCTTAGAGGGTGTGGTCTGAGTGGCTTCTGGGTCGGAGAGCCGAGAAGGAAGACCTACCCATTCAAGGGAGTCCTGAGAAGCCTGCCCATACCATTCGGGGTCTGATTTCAACAAGACCCCGCAGAGCAGTTGGTCCCTGAGGCAACATAGAGGTTTGTTTCCCCGAGCACCCCCCCCCCAACCCCCTCACTCTCCATCCTTCCCCACCCCCTTGTAGGCTGGGGCTGATGCTTCAGGAGCGGAAGCCCTGGGTGGCCTCTCTGGCCCACACCAGGTAATGCGACGTAACGTCACACTCGCGGTGCTTGGATTCTCGATCTGCCACTTGACTCTCTGAGTGACCCTGAGCAGCCCCTCTCAACACTGATCGAACGTGATCCAAACCCTACTCAAAGGGTTATTTTGGAAATTAAATAAATCGTGTAAATCAGTACCTTACACAGTTCCTGGCACACAGTAAGTGCCCAATTAATGCTAGCAACTACACAAATGCGTATTGTTAGCAGGGCTCAGTTTCACCAAGGTTCACTGAGTTGACCTTGTAAACTTATTAAATCGAATTTCCAAGCACAGCAGCAGGACTTTCTGCCACGGAGACTGTGGCTGAGCCTGTTCCTGAGTTAGTCATGAACTCTGTTGGGGACTCTAGCACAGCCCTAACATGGGTCACTGGCTCCTCTCTATAGGGAGCCTTATTTATAAGGTGCTAAGGTTCTGTATGGGTTTTGTGATTCTTAAGCCGGGGGTGGGGGATGGGGGGGTAATACCTCTTTCTGTGACTAAAAATAGAAACAACTGCTAATTCATACCCTTGAAAAAATTGGCTGCAAAGCCCGCTTTATTGATAGAGCCATCGGACACAAACTTCATCCACATCTGGTTGGAGCTTGATTTCACGTCCTCCGGCTTCTCGTAGCCACAGAAGTGGCCAATCAGGGTGCTCTCCTCCGTGGGGCCATCGCGAATCTCCAGGTAGTCGTATGCACAGCTGTCATGCCTTTCGATCTGAATGGAGAAACAGAGGCAACATAGAAGATAGACGACGGCTTGGCCTTAAGGTTTCTAATGTAAGAAGGTTCCGGAACCTCAATATCACTCGGAAAAATCTAACCAAGTGGCCAAAGGACCCACATGTGCCCCTGGCTTCTCCGAGCCGCCTCCTACTCACGAAAACCAAGGGTGAATCAAGCTGCAAAGAGACTAAGAAATGGTAAACGGGGCAGGGTACTTCTACAACACTTTCCGGGATCCCACCCTAGACTTTCACTTGGATAACTCCCCACCCTCTCTAGAAGCTTCAGAAAGGAGACAGATACGATTTTAATGTCTGCAAAGCTTTGGATACCAGATATCTGGGTACAATACACCATGGGCTTGAAATGGCCTCTTAGGTTCCCATTTTCAACCCTACAATGGAAACCCATCTCCACAGAGCAGAGCGTGTCTAGCGAGAGTTAACATTTACTCCATCCTTGGAAAGACCATCTGAGCAGTGCTTACCTCAAACACCTGGAAGGTGAGCCCCACGTGAAATCCCTCTGACACCGTAATCCTCCAGACACATTCCTTGGACGGTCTGTAGTCATCCGGGTAGTTAGGAGACTGAATCTGGCCGGCGTCTTTGTTAATGTCTCCCCCACACGTAGCTTTAGGAGGAGAACCAGAGAACCAGCTTCAGAAAGAGAAAAAGGGTCCCTGGTTGGATCTTACGGAGGAAGTTGGCCACTTATCACCACTAGGTGACTCCACTTGCCAACGTTTTCATTCCCATCCAAATGAGACTGTGCCTCCCAGAAAGGCGTAATTTTGTTTGCGACTCAGAATTTTTTCCCTAGACAGAAAATAACCATGGGGAGCAGCAATGCGTGTCCACCTTTGCTGTGCATCAAAACCCCTGGGAGAGTGTTCAAGCCATAGGAGCCGGGGCCACAAGTTCTGAGGGAAGTGGGCCTGGGGAGCCCAGAGCAGCAGTGATGTCCGAGTTCCCCGGTGACTCTGAGGTGGACAGTAGAGGAGCGCTGGGACAGAGGGACAGGCCAGTGTGCACACACAGCTGTCCACATACGTTCTTTCTTTCGTAAACACAAAACGTTGGCCTCTCCAAAATGACCACTTAAAGCCAAAGGGGGCCTTACTAACCACCCCGTGGGCTCCTTTGGGGGAGGAGGTAACATGTGGAACAAATAGAAGCAGAATGGCGTGGTGGCAGCTGCCCAGAGCCCAGGCCCACGGTTCCCTCAGCTCGAACACCATGGTGCCCTCAGAGGCCCTCCCAAGAAATGAGTTTGCCAATTCCCTGGCATTGCCCCAAGTTTCTTTTCACCAGTGCAGCGGAACAAACAGAGGCTCCGACAGGTTCGATGCTTTTCTCCGGCTCACACAACCATTCAGAGCTGCTCCTTCCATGTCCACAGGGTCCCATACTTCCCCATACCCCGCAACACCATCGCGCTGGACAGAAATGGGGTTCAGCAGGGTGGTGACAGGTAGATGACGTCTGTCCTAAGTGAGCACAGATGGTCCCCTGCTTCCGGAATGTGGAGGAAGGGAACACTGGATCCCTCAGCCTGGCCCTCGCTGCGGCTGCCCCACCGTCAAGGTTCTGGCAGCTGCCACACCCGCCGGGGACAGCGGGCTGCATGGGAAGGACAGCGGCATATCGGGAGCTGCCCAGGTAGCATCGGGAACAAACCTTCATACACCGCGAAGAAACCCTTGCCCAGGATGTTGCTGCTGCTTCGGAACTCCACCCAGAGCCGGCTGTCTGTGGAGACGAGGGGCTCTGGGGCTTTATCGCCGCAAAACCTGCCTGGGAAGCGGAAAAGAACGGTGAGGCTGTGGCTGGACAGTAAGAAGGGGCTCGCTGCAGACAGAGAAGCAGGGCTCCCAATGGGGGTCAAGGTGATCAATAACCCTGCCAAGGTGATCAATAACCCCACCGGGGCAACTCATCCCATAGCACACACAGGATGCACATGTGGACGGGAACAGTCACCTGGCGTGTGCCTCCTGCAGACTGTCTCAGGGGAATTCCAACCCCAATCCAGCACAGTGCCCGGGGCGGAGCCCAAGCGCCACTCCCTCCTGCCAAACAAGTCTTGCTGAGGTGCTGACGGTGTGGGGGATAAGGTCTGAGGCAGTGCTGACTGTGCCCCCTGGTGTTTCCCATTGCACATACACCCTTCTCTTGAGGGCAGACATTCTGCCTCTTTGCCTATAGAAGGTATGCCACAGGTCCCAGGATGAAGAAAGCAGCTCTTCTTGGCTTTTGAATGTCACAGTCTAGTCACAATACCAAAGATTTAGAAGACTACACAGTGAATAAGAGCACACTTCCCATCCTTGGAGTCTTAGAAAGATTCCTAGGATGGAGGAGTGAGGGCACCAGGGAGAGAGGGGTTGGAGAGGCACCATGCACCCTGTCCCACCCTGAGCTGAGCTCTGTGTGGAAGGGATGATAGAGGCTCTCAGTAGGTTTAAGGATCTGGAAGAAGCAGAGGACTGTGCTCTAGTCCCTGGGCAGAGCCTGGGGGATGACAAATCCCTAGATTTCACTTGTCCTACTTGAGGTCAGCACAAACATGTCTGCGTGGTATGTTAGGACATGAGGTCAGAGATAGGCAGGTATGCAGAGTTCTTCAGGCAAAGCATAGCATGATGGGAGCAATAGGGTGCCAGGCTCCTGGGAGGGACATGGAAGTAACTTTCCCATTGTCTGAGGAACTGGGGAGCCATCCAATGCCTTCTAGGGAGACATGGACTTGGCTCGAGTGAGACGAGGAGGAGATACAGCAAACACTTGGGTGGACAGATGTCTGGAGACCAGACAGGGATGATATCCCAGCATGCCAGCCAGCATAGCGATATGGAGGCCTCCCTGCTGCCACGCCCTGACACAAAGTCTGTCCCCCACCAGCACCCCAACCCGGGGGGACGACACAAATGGACAGAAATTAAGTTCCCAATGCCGGATGGAGAGGGCTCAATATCTGATGGTAGAGGCTGTTACTGAACTTTTGTTACTGAGAATTATAAATAAACGTGTATTTCTTTGACTCTTGGGTATGAATCTAACCTGGACCCTCTGCAGAGGAAAAGGAGGAAGGCCATGCCTCCCCGGTGCATGGCCATCCCTGTCCATATTATTCTTAATGCAACGTAAGGTGGCTCGGGGCAAGGACAGGGGTGGGGCAGGTGGAAGACAGCTGTGTCGGACTGAGCAGTTCTCAGTGCAGACCAGTCCAGGACTACTTGGACTGGAGGTTAAGGTTCTGACAAATACTCACAGTGTGAGTCAGTCGGAAAATCCATTGAACACTGAGGGACCTGGGGAGTGACTGTTAATGGGTGTGATTTCTCTCGATTGTGGTGATGGTTGTACAACTCTGTGAGCAGGCAAGAAAACACTGATGTGGACACTTAAATGGTGAGCTGTGTGGCATGTGAATTATATCTTTCTCTCTATATAGTTTTTTGAAATCCACATTTAGCGAGCAAGCTCTTATTGCCATGTGAAGTTACACCTTGAAGCCGTAACCCTGCTTTGCCTTTCTGAGAAATGGGGGAGTAAGTCACTTCCTAGTGGCCAACTGGGGCACAAATTCCTCGGAGAGACACGGGGGCAGAGGCTGCTAATCTCCCTCTGCTTCCTTCCGATGCTGGCCACCTGCAGCCTTTTGGATCTGGTGAGCTTAACATTAGCGCGATGAGCTGAAACCGCTGCCAAGAATTCAGCGAGGAAAAAAATCTGTGAGAAGCCTATAAATTTTCGATAATGGCTCCTCTGCCATGGCCAATTAGTGTCAATTAGTTCTTGGAAAAGAATACGAGAGCGTGGGGAGTGCTGCTTACCAGTGAGGGGACGCAGCCGCTGCAGGGCCTCCGCTGGGCAGCGCGGGTTCACAAGGAATTCCTTCTGAGCCCTCGCCCAGGGGTCAAGTCCAAACTCTGCTTCTAAAGCCCCAGCTGTCACAGCCGCCGGGGACTGGTTCCAAAGGCGAGAGGGACTGCCACTGTCTCGCTGCCTAAGAACCCAACCGGACGTGATCAATCGCCCATGGCAGTCCACCGGACCAACCATCCCTGCTCAGTCCTCCGGGGGAGGCAGGGGTTACAGACCAAGGTGTGTTTTACGGCCGTGGCAGAGCTAGACTCAGTAGAATAAATGACAAATTATGTCTATGTCTCTCCTCAGGTCATTTGTGATGCTTAACCAGAACCCTCGACAGTGTCCCTGGACCGATGTCTCAGCATTCTCTTCTTCTCCAAAATGGTACTAAATAAAAAATCCCTTTTTGTTGAGCAGGTTTACACCAGGCACTGCACTGAGCATTTTACACGGATTAGCCTATTGCACGCTCTCTCCCCCCTGAATTAGGTACTCCTAGTAATCTCATTTATGGGAAAACGGAGGGTTGGAGAATTTAAGTTGGGTTACACTCTACGTTGTCATGTAAACACAGGGTTTGAACCGTGGCAGTTCTGAGACCTTGGCCTTCACCCTCAGGTTCACCGTTTTCACCATCATCACCATCGCCTCCATCACCACCATCCAAAGGAACTTCCCGGGTTAAAATACAATTCTAAATGCTGGCCATTTCTGACATCAACCTGCTCTGAGAATGTAAACATCGTCCCCACTTCCCAGTCTGGAGGCACATATGGGAGTGACGATGCAAGTCTCAACCATAAGGCAAGTCGGTGGCAATGCCAGGCTCGGCTGCTGGACGCGCTTCTGCTCGTTGGGGAGGCTGGCCCTGCCCAAGGAGCCCAGTCGTGGGGCCACGCGACACTGATTGGCCGGCCTGGCCTTTCTGAACTCCCCTCCCCACTTCAGGGGGAGGAGGAGAAAAGGCTTTTGTGTGCATTGTGGTGGCAGAGAATACTCAAGGACAGTGCTGCACACAGAGTACACTGTGAGAGTCACTCCTCGGCAGAAAGTAAGGGAGGGAATCCAATTAACAGGATGGCATTTCGGATGGGTGGGTGAGGGCCCCATGCGGCCACCTTCCTCCCCGCCTTAGGTGCCATCTCATAAGTGACCCCTGAAACTGAAAAGCCAATTCGATATCTTTAACCAGCCGTGAAATGTTCTCAATCTGCTTACATTTCCCTTTAATCACGCGGTGAAAACCTGGGTCCCAAACAGCCTCCTTCCAAGGAGACTTAACAGGCTGGGGAGAAATTGGACTGGAGAAGAGGTGTCAAATTCCTAAATCGCAATCTGGTTCCTGGCCTGGGAGGAGGAGTTTAATAAGGATATCAAGAGAGGAAATGCAGAGGAGTGCACGACAAGGAGGCTCCGCGGGGCGTCATAAAGGGTTCATTCATAAAAAGTTATGCACCCATTGTGCCCGGATTTTCACACACTGCCCTGGGAAAATATGCGGTGCACGGTTTTTCAGGGCGAGATGCATACTTTCACAATTCGCCCTAATCCGCTCTCCCTCCTGCCAAAGGGGCATTGACCTGCCTCCTCCCGGCAGATTTCATGGCACTGACCCCTCCCAGGGACCAGCGCAGCCCACACAATGCACTTGTTCCCAACACAAAAGTTCACTAACAACTGCATTTGGAAACATCAGAGCGGGCCACATAGTTGGCAAAGGAAGATTCCTGTGAATGAAGAATGGTTGCAGGCACCGGGCCATGTCTTGGCTGCAAGACACACACACACACACACACACACACACACACACACACACACACTGCAAAAGTGTGTAAAATATAAGCCCACTCAAAACAAAACAAACCATCACCAACAACATCAAAGGACAGAAAAAGCCCGGTTTAATCTGTGAAAGTGCGGCCAGAAAGACCGGGATCTGCAGTGAGAAAACTGTTATTTCAAGAGAAGGGAGTGAGTGGCTATCCCTCTGCCGTGCCCATGCTGGTGCGTGCCTGGGCCCTCTCTGGGGGACTTCAGTAGCAGAGAACTTCCTCCTGCTGAGCCCTTTCAGTCTGTCCCACTCCTGGGGGAGGATAGGGTTGCCAGTCTCAGCAAACAAAAATACAGGAAGCCCAGTTAAATTTGAATTTCAGATAGACAGTGAATGGTGCGTTTTATCTAGCAATCCTAGGGGGAGACCCTTCTCAGATACAGTCTCTCCCCATCACCAGGACATCTAAGTTCCTGTCTGACCTCAGCCATTAGCAGGTGATGTGGCCTTAGAGAGTTGGTCCACACTTGTGGAGCGCGGTTTTTCCCTAAGGATGCGGGATAAGTGACTCTAAGGTCCCTGCCGGGCTGAGGGATCTGTGTGTGATTCCATGTTCTCATGTAACTGCTCCTTTTACTATCTACCTATATAAAAGCCCAAGTGACCATCACCACCAAACAGACCACCAAACAGGCTGCAAGGGGCGACCAGGCCAGCAGGGGGGTTAGTGAGGGACGACCAAATGACTGCTGCTTGGGGTGACCAGGCCGGCAAGGAGGGCAGTTGGGGGCAACCAGGCTGGTGGGGCAGGCAGGGGGGCAGTTAGGGGTGATCAGGCAGACAGGCAGGTGAGAGGTTATGAGCCAGCAGTCTAGGATTGTGAGAGGGATGTCCAACTGCCAGTTTAGGCCAGATCCCCATGATCTGGCCTAAATCTGAGGAATCCCAGATTGGAAAGAGACACCCCCTACCCCCACCCCATGCATGAATTTTGTGCACCTGCCTCTAGTTTTAATTATAAAATAACTAGAGTTCGGTGCACAAATTCATGCACAAGGAGAGAGGGGCCACAGGCAGTTGGTTGGCCACCCCTGCCATCTGGTCAACTCCTGGTGGAACTCCTGATTGGACTCTCAGTCAAGGGGATGATTTGCATATTAGCCTTTTATACCGTAGGATGCCAAATGCATCTGGTGTACTTGGTACTAGACAAGCACATGTACGTGCATTTGTAGGTAAGTGGGGTCATTTCCCCCTGACCTGGCTCCTAGGAACTCTGATTCAATATTCTCCCAGGAATCTGTACTCAAATTCCTGGTGTGCAGCCTGGGTTAGGAGCCCCTGCCACCAGGAATGCAACCTCTGCTGTTTTGCCACATCCAGTCAGTGTGACGAGTAAAGCCGTGCCTCCCTAGGGCTGCTAACACATATCACATCTGCTCACAATGGACAGGAGGCAGGAACCCAGGGCAGACAGCCTCCAACCTGCCCTGGGGCGGCATGACCATGTGCCCTGCAGTGTACACACTGTGTATGCATGGCCTGGGGGTCCTTTTTTGGCTTGCTTACCTGGACTGCTAACTACCTGATTCCTCCTTGTGTTGGGAGCCTGGGACCCCCACTCAGAGCCTGCCTCTGCTCCTTGCTAGAGCACCTGTGGACCCCACTTCCTACCTATTTGTACCTCTAAGAATTTAAACTCTTTGGACTTGTGGGCTCTTCCAGATGGCAGCTGACCTGGCTGAGACCCCCTGGTCATACGAAGCCTACAATCTGCCAGGCCCCTTGGGATCCAGCCAAAGCATCCGACTTCATCTCTTCTGACCTGCTCCCAAATCGGACACAATGTTAGGCCCAGCCTGGCTGTGCAACTCCCCAGCTTAGCTCTGTTCTCTCTTTCCTGCTTCCACCTTAGTCAGCTGTCCCTGCAGCAGCTCACTCTCAGGCAGCTCACAGCATAAAACGGTGGCCTTTCTGTCCACGTGAACATAAGCCAAGGACCAAACTCTCACTGAGAACTTAGACCAACAGGCCGGAAGCCCACCCTACAGACCACTCTAAAACTGAGGACATTTGCGATCTGCTTCTCCGTCTCCACCACGACTGCCATTCCTGGGAGATTCCTCATGCATTGGTCCTCCTTGTGACGTGAATCTTCCCTGGTCACCCCTGAGGCAGTTCTCTTCTGGGGACCAATCCTGAGTGGACTGACACCCTGCCACTGCCTCTTACTTAGGGGTCCCAGCTGCCTTCCCATGGATGAGTTTGTGTACGTTCATCTCTCCAAACTACTATATGCTCATTAAAGAAAAATTGGAAAGTAGAGCTAACCCAGGAGCAACGACAGAGTAAATATTCCACCATCCTGAAATAACCACTCTGTGTAATTTATTTATATTTACAATCCTATTTGATACTCACATTGTAGACCACAGGATGACTTCTTCCAGGAGAATCCAGCCCACACAATGATTAGGCCAGTGGTCCTCAAACTCATTAGTCAACAGAGCCAAATATCAACAGTACAATGAATAAAATTTCTTTTGAGAGTCACATTTTTTAAACTTAAACTTCTTCTAACACCACTTCTTCAAAATAGACTTGCCCAGGCCGTGGTATTTTTGTGGAAGAGCCACACTCAAGGGGCCAAAGAGCTTCATGTGGCTCTCGAGCTACAGTTTGCCGACCACGGACTTAGGCCATTTTGGTCAGGATATCCGCTGTTCAGTTTGCCACACGCCCCTCCACGTTTTGTTTCATCATACCAACCCCACTTCCTTCTTTCACACTTAATTTCTGAAGGCATTTGAGTTTACAGTGCCAGCATAATGGACGTAGAAATGTACTTTTTGTTAGAATGGCATCCTACTGCACATTCTATTTTGTCATACCGCTTTTGGTGTAGCAATGCAAACGAACACCTTTCTGTACCAATAAAGGGTCACCTCCAACTTTATTTTTAATGGCTGGGTAGTTTTCCATTGAGGGGATGAATCATAAATTTATTCCGCTAGCCCCTGCTGTTGAACATGTAAATTGTTTTTAATTCTTCCTGCTTCAGTGAGCATCCCTGTAGCTAGGGCTTTGCACACTTCCTTAATTAGTTATCCAGGACAAATTCCAAGAAGTGGAATTGCTGGGTCAAAGGGTATTCACAGTTTTAAAAGCTTTTAACATGTGTGGCCAAATAGGATGTTCGGAGTTTTACAATGACACAGACCCCTGAGAGCTTCCTGTGACTCCGCCTGGATGGACCCTCGCAAACGTTAACAGCATCGCCCAGAACATCCGACTGCTCCTCTCCCAGGGCTTTCTTAAATCAACTCACCCAACAGGGGGGCCTTCCTCCAATAACCATCTCGGACCTCCACGTAATCGTACCAGCACAGGCGGCTTTTAAACAAATCCATGGACGTGAAGTTTAAGACGATCTGCAAAGAGTTACCATAAAGTTGAGTTTTGGCAACAAAGCCTGAGGCGTTTTGTGAAAGGCTCATCTCGCATACCGGCGTTCTCACGTTACCCCTTAGCATACGGAGCTCTCAGACCACAGTCAGAGCGTCCCCTCAGAAACACACTCACAGGAAGCGGCGTGACATTCAATAATAAACCTTAAGCAGGATGGGGGGTACACAGAGGAGATGGGTCCTTCGGTTCTGTCTGGGGAATCGGCCGAGCTTTTGAAGTCGCTAGGTGGTTTACAGAAAGCAAGATGCATTAAAGCTGTGCTGGGACGCACTGAGCCTGGGGATGCGGAAGGAGGGACGGGGTCAGTGAAGTTCAGAGATACGGAAAGATCTTATAACATCATCCATCATCCTAAAGGGCCTGGGGTTAGCCTGAGTGCATCGGAGCACCTCCGTGATCAATGTCCCCTCGGCCGTGACCTCATTCCTCCGGGGTGTGGTGTGTCTAATAGCCTCCCTACAGTTTGCTCGATTGTTCATTCATTCATTCATTCATTCATTCATTCATTCATTCCACCTACTGTGTGCCTGTCGGTGCTGGCCTATTACGACAAAGATTAGAAAGACAGGGTTCTTGCCTTTAGAGATCTCAGAGAGAGGGGGAGGGCAGGGGTGTCAAGCCCATTAGAACAGCATGAATAAATACTGCAGAGAGAGGAATAGGCAGGAAGGGTGTGGAGGAGGCCCAAGGAGGGAGAACTGAATTCTGCCCGGTGACCCTGGAGAAGGCTTCTCGGACGAGGTGTCATTAATCTAAGGGGAGCAAGGGTCCCGGGAGCCGAGGAATAGGGTGAAAGCATTCTGGTGAGAGGGATGACATGAGCGAAGGCAAGAAAGTGCCTGCAGACCTGCACTGCATTGTATGTGTACCCAGTCCAGTTGTGTGTGTGTGTGTGTGTGTGTGTGTGTCTGGAACGAGGAAGCAGAGGGGAAAGGATTAGGAGTGAAGGCTGGATGGTGGGGGTCAATTAGTCTGGAAAGGAAGGTTCCAGTTCTTCTGCCTATCCTGAGGCCATTCAGTGGACGCCCTGTCCCCACTGGTGCAGGGGGCTGGGTGACCCTGCACACAGGCGCTGCTCCCATGACCTGGCCCTGGTCTCCACCGCAGTCCTTCCAGCTCAGGGCTCTGCTGGCAGGTGGCCCGGAGTTCAGACTTCCCGGCTCCCATCACCCCCGTGGATCCCACCGTGCAGGCTGCCCGTGCCTTCTCCTGCACTGAGCTGTCTGGGCTCATCCAGCCCCGCCATCAATGTCCCCGCCTGTGCTCAGCTTGTCCCTGCTCCATCATTTCCCAGGTCTTCTTGCTCTGCAGGGTCCCACTGTGGGCAGCCCTGCTCCAACCCCCCACACCTCTGACCCTACCCCTTTTCCCACCTGAGGAACCTCTCTCTCCCTCAGTGCAACTCTCTCTCTAGCATCTTCCTCCTCCCACTTTTGTTTATAAACAATACTGGTGCCAAGCAAATGCTCCTCTTTCAATCACATCAGACTCCCCAGGGGTGTGGAGGAGCCTAACTGGATTCTAAGTCTCCTGAAGACAGAAATTGTACCTTGCACTCCCTTCGCATCACCCTTCAGTGCTTATACCCAAGGGGACTGGCTCGGGAGTGCTCTCTAGCTGGTTGCAATACAATTCCATAGCCTTTGTTGTTTTTTTAAAGTTTCAGAAAGGAAATGTTATTACAAATTCCTTGGTAACACATTCATGATCTGAATGAATGGGATAATTATTTGGGCTAATTACTTTAAGTATGTTAGTGAGCCATAAAGACCAGAGGGGAAGAGGTGACAAACAGGAGGTGATAATGAGAATCAATCAAGCTTGCTAATTACCAGCAGCTCTGGGGAAGGTTGGGTGAAGCAGAGATTGAAATAATTGGTGCAGGAATCTCAGTGATATCTATTCTCCCTGCCCCCAGTTAGCAATAACAATTAAGGCTGGGTGCAATCTTACACAGTTCAAACCCATCACAGAGCCTCGGCTACACAGGGGCAAGTCAACAATTTGGGGATTACAAGACCCCTTCCTCCTCCATCTCCTCCTCCTTCTGGCCTCCCTCCCACTGCCACCCCTCAGGCAGGGGGGATGGAGCATCCACCCAAGGCAGACAGGCCTAGAGTTTCTCAGGCTCTAGAGCCAGAGGAAAGGTGTGTGCGTGTGTGTGTGTGTGTGTGTGTGTGTGTGTGTGTGTGTGTGTGAGAGAGAGAGAGAGAGAGAGAGAGAGAGAGAGAGAGAGAGAGAGAAAGAGAGAGAATGTGTGAATGCATGTTCAAATGTCTTAGCCTGTCCCTTCTGTGGAATAATATAGTTAAGCATCCCGGCTCTCAGAGTCCAGTTGCCTGGGCTCCACTCTCAGCTCTGCCACAAACTGAGCAGCCTTGGGCAGGTCCATTCCCTCACCTGCAAAGGGAGTGTGGTATCAGCACTTTCCACATGAACTTGTGAGGATTAAACAAGGGTCTCTACATAAAATGCTAAGTACAGCACCCAGAAAATGCTGCCAATCATCCCGAGCCATCATTTCTCTCCAGTTTTCACACTCTCTTTATAGTGACGGTTGAATGAACATCTGTTAATGTTATGAATGTGGAATACTTGGAAGTTGGCTATGGCACCTGAAAAATCCCCAAGACCTCTCACTGCACCCCCAGCTGCAGGTTTTTCGCTTGGCCACTCCTCTATCCACACGTTCATTCAACAAACGCTGATTGTGTAACTCTGTATGATGGGTTATGTTGGGTGCTGGGCTATGTCAGGTGCTGGAGGTGAACAACCGCTGTCCTCGGTGAGTTTAGAAGGGAAAAGCCCCCCAAAAAAACCAGCATTATGATTTGTGAGACAAACTACGACAGGTGTGACAGAGCAACATTTCAAAGATAGCTGCATCTTGCCCTAACCGGTTTGGCTCAGTGGATAGAGTGTCGGCCTGCTGACTCAAGGGTCCCAGGTTGGGTTCCGGTCAAGGGCATGTACCTTGGTTGTGGACACATCCCCAGTGGGGGGTGTGCAGGAGGCAGCTGATCGATGTTTCTCTCTCATCGATGTTTCTCATTCTCTGTTCCTCTCCCATCCTCTCTGCAAAAAGTCAATAAAATACATTTTAAAAAAAATTAAACCAAAGATAGCCGCTTCTGTTTTTTAATAACTTGAACAGTAAAGAGGCGTCATGTGGAAAATCCGTTTTGAACTGCGGATGCCCAGTTCTCAGTTCTATATCTCACTGTGAACTTGGGTCATTTATAAAGGTCTGAGCCTCAGATGGCATGTCCATAGAAGTGGGTGTACGGAAATGCACATTGCATAGGATAGCGAACATACCCCCTTGGATGAGGGCAAAAGAGGCCCCTGCCCTGGACTTGGCCCTCAAGAGTCACGGTCTTCAGAGCTAAAGGAACATGCCCACCCAGAGCTTGTCGAGCTCCTAGGCCTCACACCAGGAGCCCAGGAACCCGGGGTGCCCTGTCCAAACAGCCCCTGAGTCCACTCGTCCACTTCCAGGACATACAAGGACCTCCGCCCCGGATCTACCCTTCTGGGGGAAGACAGCACACCTGGGCAGTCCATTCCCACTGGGAGGGCAGCCAAGCAATGGCTATTTGCAAGTCAGGAGGGAAGGGTGCTCAGGCGTGTGGGCTGAGGGCTCACTCTGGGTGCTCCTGAGATGGGACTGGGGCTGGGAGGAGGAGAGGGCAGCTGTGGGTTGGTGTCTAGCTCTCCCCATATTGCCACCTGCCACAGCAGCTCTTTGGGACATTCTCAATGGGCTCCTCACCTTCCAGGGCATTCTGATGGTGCGCTTATCAAGGGGAAAGGATAGGACTTACTTAGTTTTACACACTGTGGGCTTGGTTTACCACTCTTATGGACATTGAGTATATAGGCTTCCATCCCTGGGAGGGAGGCTGGCTGAAAAGCCCAGAAGGAAATAACATTAAGCAAGCTAGCACCTCGCCTGGCGCACAGTGGGTGCCCACAACACAGCAGCTGTTATTACTCGCGTTAATAATAACTCCTCACACGTCATCCAACTCAAAGACTGTTATGTCACCTCCTGAGGTTCCTACCTTTTCCCCTGGAGTAACCGATATCCTCCAGACGCAGTGGGAATAAGAAGGGTAGCCGTTTGGAAAGCCAGGTGCAGAGAAGTTCCCCGTGGTGTCCTGCAGAGTCTCCCCACAGGCTGCACAAGCAAAAGGACAGCCAGGGTTCAGGCTCTCTCTCTCACCCCTTACCCCCACCGCAGAGCGCCCTTTACAGGGCTGCAGGGCAGACACACCCCTTTCCTAGCCACAGCCTTCAGAACGCGTTGGCGAGAAGTGTGCCAGGCCCACTGGCATCTTCCTGGCAAATAAAAGTGAAAATAGAGTCTGGACACCAAGAAGGAACGCCCCAGGAATACCTCTGAGGCTCTCAGGGCTGAGTATGCCTAGAGCTGGGTTTGAATCCCAGCTTTCCAGCAGGATGTGTAGTGGTGGCCTTCGTTTTCTTATCTGTTAAATGGGTGTGGCCTGCCCCAAAAGTTAATGAACTCATCTGCATTAAGTGGACTGGATCAGCTTGGTGCTTGGCACATGGTGAGTGCTCCCCCCATAGCAGCCTTGCCATTACCCATGACAACGTCTGCGGCAGAAAGGATACGAAAGCCCAAGTAGGTAACACGAAAAGAAGAAGGGAAAAGCTTTGAGCCCTAACTGGTTTGGCTCAATAGATAGAGCGTCAGCCTGAAGAAAGAAAAAAAAAAGCTTTGAAACCTCATATCAGCTACTAGCTTCCACCTTGCCTTTTCTTTTCCTGCTAACCACCTCTAAATGAGCTACCAAATAGTCAAGAAAACAGAGAGGGGGGGGGCGGTGGTGAGGAATAACCCAAGGCCTGGGAAGTAGGAACACTCTACAAGAAGCCATCCGGGTCTTGAATGTTTGAGGGCCATGAGTCTAAAACCAAGTCCTTAGGTATGTGAAAATACTTCCCTAATCTGTCCTCAGACCCAGATGAGTACGAGGACACTGCAGGTTTCACATTCCCCTGACTCCCCCGGCACTCAGACCCCAAAGACATAGACACTGGGCTGCTGGGGGCCCCTGCTCTCATGGGGACACCCCCAAAACGTGGGAAAGAGCTCCTTGGGCACATTTTCCCGTGTGCAATTCAGACTCTGCACGGCAACCCCTCCCACTTCCAGCGACTACTTGAAACTCCTGGGAGCTGCCGTCTCTGGAGCTGCAGGAAGGGCTAGCTAGAGAGCGGCCTGTCCTCACCTCAGGAAGTCCTGGATATCGGGGCCTCGGTATCATGTTACCGAACAACTGCCAGGCATCACGAGGATTATGCCTGGCAGTCACCACCCCCGAGGGCTCCATGGAAATTATTTCAGAATAATCATCAACATTCTGCGGGAACAGATACGTTACTGTATGGCCCCGCGGTATTTACCAGCTGCCTCGAATCCTTTTGGGAAGCGAGAGGCATATACATTATAACTAAATAAATACGATGGCATTTCCCAGGGAATGCTATAAGGTTTCTCTTTCAATTCAGCAAGTACACATGATATGTGTGTCCTGTCCTACAGCCCTAATGCACCCCCAGAGGAGTAATAGCTGGCTGAACGTATTTCCTAGAGGTTCGTGATGGAGCAAAGCCCTGTGACCCTGCTGCTGAGGGCGGTGTGATAACCCAGGTAGTCTAAGAGGGCCCCTATTCAAATATCCTGTCCCAGGATCAACTGTGTGCCTGGTCCGGGGCTGGGTTGAAAAAGGTTCCTGGACCTGTTGGTAATGGAGTTTCCTTTTTCCACCCTAAAAGCTGCAATGCATTGTCCCATCCGTGGTAAAAACTTGGCCGTGGGAAGCAATGCTTTGTATTCAAGCTCAGCAGCTTAAAGGGGTCGACATGAGCTCACCCAGCTGAGGCAGCAGGGGGTGTGAGGATGCCAAAGTCACGGGGCCAACAAGAGGGCAAATTCAAGGGGGGCAGGCGTCTGCACTGGCAGAGGAGTGGGCATCTGCTCAGAACCCAGTGTACCGCCCAGACATCAGTGGCAGACTGGGGGCCATGGACCGGTCCCCTGGACAGCAAAGAGCCCCAAGACCATAGCAATGACCCCACTCACAGCACTGAGGACCCTCCGCCTTCCAGGGGTTGGGAAGCTGACTCCCACCTCCCCAAAGCATTCTCCTTCGTGCTCGGTCTTCCTGCAGCGCCCTCGCCTCTTGTTCTGCCAACACACACCCTTTCCTCCCATAGAAAGGAGAGGCGCCTTTGCCGTGACGGGGTGCACTGTGGTTCTCAGAAGCCTCCTTCCTCTTCTGAGCATCAGGGCTGTGCCAGAGCTCTGCACGTCCCACAAGCTGAGCCGTGGGCTCCGCGGCCTACTCTGCAGCTCCCTGCGGGCAACCGCCTCGCCGCCTGGGCTTTCCATGCCACCTCCCTTCTCCTCACAGCGGCTCATGAGGCATCCCAGCTGCCAGAGGTCCTCTCTCCAGTTCCCCCGAGCTGGGGAGCATTTGCAAAGGGCGGTGCTGTGGGGACGCTCTGGGGGCCCTGGGACGCAGGGGGTTCGGTTACCTGGGCACTTGTACAGCTTCCTGGCCTGAGCGATGTCTCCCTGGCTGAGCCGCACGCGCTGGCCAATGGTTGGCCTGACGCCGCTGTCGTCGCGGCGGGGGAGGATGGTGTCTAAGAAAACCCCTCTGCGGGAGGAAGAGAAGGCGAGGGAAAGGAGAGAGAAAAGTCAGGGCTGTCAGGCGTCCGCACTGGGATTTACAGCCTTCATTTCCTCGCCCATAACCCCAGCGACATTCCTCCTCCCTGCCCAGCTCTCCTGCTGGCGTTTGAGCATTCCATTTCATCAGCTGCCTGCGCCCTTTCCAATGGGAAAATGACTCTGCCAAGTTTAAAAATATGCCCTCGCCCAGCGGCCCGAGGGCTTCCCGTACTGATGTCTATGGAGCATGTCCACAAAGCTCTTGACAGGTGCAGGCCCAGGGCCACCGTGCCACAAAACTGCAGGGAACACCATTCAGAGAGATGACGGTGTGAATGGTGCCCCCTGGAGTTGTGCATGGTCAGTGCTGAGCATGGACAAGTCTTGGAGAGGCTGCAGAGAGCTCGTGGGAAACTGGACAATGTGAGCCGGCCAGGGGCTGGTCAGGAAGAGCTAGATGAGCTGGTAAAAGTGGGGGTTGGGGTTTGGGGAACTCGCTGGCATGAGGGGTAATCAGATAGAAAGTGAGATGAATGAAGAGAACTGGGGGTACTCGAGAGAGCCTGGGCCTAGAGATTTCTATGTAAGGCCTGGCTCTGCCACCTGAGTGAGCTCGGACAAGTCCCTTCCTCTCTCTGAGCCTCAGTTTACTTCTCTGAACAATAAGAGATGGCCTAGATCAGTGGTTGGCAAACCGCGGTGATGAACAGGAGGTGATAATGTGGCTCGTGAGCCACGGTTTGCTGCTCTGTTGATTAATGAGTTTGCCAACCAGTGGGATAGGGACTTGATCACAAGGAACAAAAATGGCCTGTAATTATTAGAATCAAGAGTCTAGGTCAGTAGTAGGCAAACTCATTAGTCAACAGAGCCACAGTTTGCCGACCACTGGCCTAGATGGTCTCTCCCTTTTAACATTATGTCTTCTTCTACTCCCACACGAATAAAGTCTAAAATGACCTAAACAGATAAGTGGATACACTTCATGCTTTGGGCCTGGTGTACCCCCTGCCTGAGCCCTTCTCTCTCCCATTCCTGTCCTATCCTCATCCCAGCACATCCTGAGCCGCCAGCAAGGTGGTAGGTTCTGGAAGATGTTTACAACAAGAGATGTCCCCTGTATAAACCACATAGTACTGCGCCCTCCCACCCCCTTTATGTAGGACAACTCTTAGCATTGACATTCTGCTAAACTAAGGGAGGGTTTGGCAGATGCCTTAGGGAATAAAACTGTCCGCTCAGAATTCTCCAAACAAAGACAACACTGTACCAGAGAACTGTCTCCTTATCTCCTGGGTCCTCGCCCAGCAAGTCCTCCAAAGACATCACTACCCACGCCCCGGTCCAACCAAGGGGAGGCGGGGGAGCTGCAATAAGCTCAAGGGAATGAAGTTGGAAGAAGACAGCTCAGTCGTAAAGACACACGAAGACTGGGTTTCCCATCGGCAGGAATAGCATCTGCCTCCTTGAGGAGTAAAGGTTCTATGGGCCATTTTCTGCTCTTTGACAGGGGACATGTGAGCAGACGTAATGACGGGGAGTTAGGGAGTGGGGAACTTTTGACAAAAAGTGGGCAGGAAAGTCCACCAGTAAGGACGCCATTGATAAACATCCCACTGAACAGAGGAGCTTTCTGAAGATCCACGCAGAAAACTGCAGACAGGGCAACGCAGGCAGCAGCTTGCTATGAAATGGATTTGCCAGAACCACTGTGAAGGCTGGGGCAGAGGTGAGAGGTAGTTGTGGTAGACACAACAATGAATCATGCCTCCTCATGTCCACATCCCTTTGCAACATGAAGTCGCCACTCCCCACAGGAAGATGTAGTATCTGTTTTTCCATCACTTGAATCCCAGCTGGCTCTGGCCATTGCTCTGGCCAATAAAATGTGACAGAAGGGATGTCGTGAGAGTTCTAGAGCCTGCGTCTCCAGATGCCAGCTGGTCCTTAAGGAACTCTAAGCTCCCGTGGAGGGGAAAGGCCAGCAGCCTCCTGGAGGATCAGAGGTCAGGGTGCGGGATGCTTGGGTGCTGGGCCCTGGGTGACCGGCAGGTTTGGGAAATGGAGCAAGGACTGGTTGGGCCACACCACATCAGCCCCAGGGGCTGCAGGCTGCCACGTGGAGACTTGGCCCTGATTTCAGGAGGGAACCAGTGTCAAGATGGTCCAAGTGAAAAGCTGGTTACTCGGGTCTTGTTTCCGTAACTGCCATAACTCTTCGTATTGCTTTATAACTTATCTGTTATTTATTATTAAACATTTATCTGCTACAGATGGGCGAAGGGACTGACAGATGGGGCTGCATTCATTGCCTTGTGGGAAGCTGAGGCTTCCTCCGCCTGGTTTGGGAACTGAGATTTTGAGGGACCTCCTCTGGGAGCAGGGAGCACTTCTCTATACAAAATAGTGGTACGGCCCGGAAGCCGGGGCAGTGTTGGAATATTTAACACCTGGTTCAGTGCAATACTAACTCATCAACACAGATCCTGCCCACCCTGCCCACAAATAACGGGTCTGGCTGCACTTGGGGATCTCAGCCACCATCGTGTGTGACCGGCAGCCAGGAGAGCTGGATCTTCGTTCTCACGCCAACCCCAGCTCCCCGTGTGCCCTCCAGCCGGCTGGAGCCTCACTTTCTTCACCTCTGAAATGAAGCCCTGATTTCGCACCCTCCCAGCTCTGACACGATCTAGCTTCCGGTAGACCTAGCCTTCTCAAGGAGAACCAGTAAACGCCACAGTACCCACTTCAACAGTGATTGCCAACCTTTCAGACCTCATGGACCACCAGTGGCCCATGGACCACCAGCTGGTGGCCGCTGCGTTAGAAGACCCCCCTCCAAGTGGACATGTGGCCCAGAGCCCCTCGGATATTACGGCCGCCGGTCTCTCAATAACGTCCCTTTTCCAGCTTGCTGCTTGTGACACTAGGCATGATGGAACACCCACTTCACAATGGGGTTCAATCTTATTAGCAGGAGCCTGATTAGATTATATTTCACTGCCGCCCAGAGGCCACTGTACTTCAAGGACAGACACGCCAACCGTGCTGGGAGCATGCAGAGACCCGCTCTCCTCAGACCTCCAGGAGTCCGACCCACGCCTGCGGCAGGCACAATAAAACAGACGAGGTGAAGCACAGGTTCCGACCTTGAGAAGGTGTTCCGGGCGTAGTGCATGATGCTGTCAAAGTCGTACGTCTCTCCGAGAGAGCTCACTTCCCCGGCTTCCATTTTTAAGAAATTATACTCCTGACCTGTGACACAACACTTGGTTAAGGCCTTTGAAAAGCAAGGTGGGCACCTGAAAGGAGGCAGGGGCGGGGGGGGGGGGGGGGGGGGCGAGGAGGGCCCATAGCGACTTCCAAAAGGTCAGTCGAATACCCGGCTTGGTGGAGGTTCTTGTAACTGCTTTTAAGAAATTTGAAACTTAGAATAAGCCCTACATCCCCCCAACCCACTCCCCAACACCTCTCCCCAAAGTGCCACCCAAACTCTTACACTAAGTCTGCAGACAGGTTAGTTATCAATCTGATTGGGGTGGGAGCAGGGGACTCTGCTTTTGCTACTGAAGGAACAAAAGAAAACAAGTCACAGTTCAGTTCAACCCCAAACAGCTCACAATTCAGACTCTCGGAAGCATTTTTCAGGCAACCGTATTCTTCAACCAGATAACGTTCACGGTTAATGTGAACGTCTATGTAAAATTATTTAACACAAGAAGGTATTTTTTTTTTTTCAAATCTAGACGTTTTATCTGCCTTGGGGAAGAATGTTTCCGGGCAGGAATGTTGTTTTTATTTGTACTCACATCCTAATGGTATTTCAGTTTCAAAAAGATGGGTTGCCTAAGTCAGCAAAAATGACTCTTGTAAAAGCAACCAGAACTCTTGGGTTTTTTTTGGCTTCGCTTTGATCCTGCAACAGTGTAGTGGTTGGTTCTGTTCCTCTTAGGAAACAAATTAGAGTTCGTTGTCATTCACAACACGGAAAGTCATTTGGCTTCTGCTCTGACCTACAAGCTAGGGTAGGTGACCTCCCAGGAAAGGCTACAGATGGACAGTGACAGGCTGGTGGCAAACGCCTGCCTCCGTATTTAGAAATGAGCACTGGTCAGCTCCCAGCAAACCCTCTCTCCTTCACTCCTGCCTGACCCCGGGGATACCACCTTCCTTGCCTTTAACTTCCAGACTCCATGCAGGGGCTTACCTGGCTGGATGTTTTCTCTGATGATGGTGACGTGCTGGTCTCTGTCTGGCCGGGTGTGTTCATGCCAGAACCCAACCACGTGGCCCAGCTCGTGAGCCACGATGCCAAACTTGTCACAGTTTTTCCCAATGGATATGGCTTGTGGGCCTCCTCCTCGGCGCCCAACATAGGAGCAGCAGCTGGACGGTGCAGAAATACCCAAATCAGCAGGTCAGGGAACAGCAAAGGTGTCATGTGTGCGTGTGCGTGTGAGTCTAAAAGAAACACAGTTTTAGAGCTGAATGTTCTCTCATTGTCCAACGCTCCTCCCAATACAGAAATAACCTCCAGAGGTTCTTGACCTTTCTACAGTAGAATACCCATAGAAATAACTCTATTAATTGCATTTTTTCTAGTTCTCTATAAATCTGTACTTATTTTTTATTTTTTATTTTTTGTCAACTTGACAGTGATCTATGTGCATTGACAGAAATGAAATAAAGTCCCGGGTTGGCCGTGTTTCCGTCAATCTCCCCTTGAATTCCCTGGGGTTTATTTTATGACTCTCAATGCTATGTTGTTTGGTACATAAAGATTTATGGCAGTTATATTCTCACCGGAGCTTGTACCCTTTCTCATTATAAAGTCTCACCTTTAAAAAAAAACAAAAAAAAAACACTTTAAAAACAAAACAAAAAATGCTTTGTCTATAACAAAACTTGTGATCCCAGCTTTCTTTTTTTGTTAGCATTTGCCCGTATGCTTTCTTTCTTTTATTGTTAAACCTTCCTGGGTCATTTTCTTCAGTAGTTAGCTCATATAGACAGCAGGTAGTTAGGTTTAAGTTTTTGAAGCCACTATGAGAAGCTTTTTCTGACAGTAACTGAGTATATCACACTTACATTTATCGGCATAACGGATAAATGTAGACATAATCCAGTTATCTTGTTATTTGTTGTGTTTTCCTGAGGAAATCTATAAGCTCACAAAGTTACATGTGGAATTTTACACATATTTACATCCATCAGATTCTCAAGGGGGTCACTGATGTCAAATTGGTTCAGAACCACTTCTCCAAATGAAGCACCCTCAATTCCTGTCACAATTGCTCCTGTGACAGGACAACCAGACCCCTGGTCTTTCTGGAGTCTCCCTCTTGACCCACCTGCTTTATCGTTGGATGGTGAGATCATTCAGAGCCAGGGGAGTTTCTGACAAACCCCGGGCTCCTACTAATTATTATTGCTCCTTGGAAATACTTGGTTTTATAGAGAAAATTCAAGACTCGTGAGCCATCAGTGTCGTTTGCCCCTCCTGATCCCACCAAGGTGGCCAAGCTTTCGTTTACTTACCCACAAGTTCTGTAACTGAAGACAATAAAGCTTTCTTCATCCGTCCTCTCTATGAAGGTCACACAAGTGTGCTTCTCCCAGTGTCTCATAGCCTGCTTAAAAATGGCCCTCTGGCTTCCTGAAATGACAAGGCCAGTGCCCATCTCTTCACTCATGGGCCCATGCTTTCTGCTTTAATGCAAGCTGGCTTACAACACAGCTTGTGCCAATGATAAAAAAAAACAAACAAACAAACAAAAAAAACACCTTGTTTTGGTGACTCAAAGTAGAAATGTACTAGGAATAAGGATTTATTCCCAGCCTTTCCTTTGTATTGAAAGTACTTTTCTAAACTTAGAAAAAATTATCTTACACAGGTTACCCAAATTGGAAAATTTAGGCTTCTGAAGTAGCTCGCCAGCACAACATTCCACACCCTCATTTTATTTTATAACCATCGGAGGGCATTCCCCTATGCTCTAAAAATTCTATTTGCATGTACATCCTTGCTACCTTAGCATGGGGTTCAGTGTTTTCCGTAGCAACCTTGAATCTGATTTTCTATAAAGCTTTTCAAAACAGGTGAATCTGATGCTTTCTCTGAATCTGTGTTCATATTTCCTTGATTAGAAATGTATTGAGAAATAAAACAATAAGTAAATTGTCTGGGAGTAAGAATAAAGTAGTTGTAAACTCCAGGCTGCTAATTAGAAATAAGGAATAACTATTCTTTTCAAAATCTACCAATCAGAGATGAAGAAGACTATTTTGATCTTACTAGAAGCGATGAGGGGCTAGACAAATAGTTTGGAAAGTACGGAGGTTGGTGGATCTGAATTCTAGAGTGACCTTGTTGCAAAAAAAAACAACAACAGCCAACCAACCAATGGCAGGCTCTCAGCCTAAAAGACGTGGGTCCTACTGTCCCTAGTAACATCCATATAGAACAGTGGTCAGCAAACTCATTAGTCAACAGAGTCAAATATCAACAGTTTGAAATTTCTTTTGAGAGCCTAATTTTTTAAACTTCTTCTAACGCCACTTCTTCAAAATAGACTCGCCCAGGCCGTGGTATTTTGTGGCAGAGCCACACTCAAGGGGCCAAAGAGCCGCATGTGGCTCGAGAGCCACAGTTTGCCGACCACTGATATAGAAAAAGAGTAGCTTAGCTGCCCCCCCCTTTTTTTTTTACATCTTTATACTTTAGGTTCAAATTGTCCATAGCTCAATTACTCACCGAAATAACGATCCCACTAATTACAAGATAACAAAAAATCTCTGTGTAAAGAAAGATCTCTATATAAAATCAGTTTATTTTGATGAAGGTTATAGAAATCCTTAATCAGAAAAGCACTCCAGGTCTAAAAGAACATAGTTAAGATACCAAATGTTAGAACGACTATATAAAGCAGGTGCTGGGAGAGGGCATCTGGTTGGGGAGTCAAAGAAGGCCTTTCTGTAGACATGACATTGGCCAGAGACTCCAGTGATCAAAGGAAGCCAGCCGGGAGAAGATGGGGGAAACAACATTCCAGGCAGACAGAGGGGCACGTGCAAGTGTGCGAAGGTGGCAATGAAGTGGGCACGTTCCGGAAAAGAAAGACAACAGGTGAGGCTAGTGCACAGCAACTAAGGAAAGAGGAGGACACAAAGTAGATCACTAGCTGGGAGGGCAAGGGCTGCCCGGAGGTCATGGCCGGGACTCTCCGTTGCATCAGTGGTGATGGGAGCCACTGAATGACTTACACATGTTAAGATAATAATACCAGTAACAGATAATTAATAGCTGCTACGTGTTAGGCACTATTCTAAGTGCTTTATCTAAATTAACTCATTTAATTCTCAAAACACCTATAGAGTGGAGAATATCGTCCCATTGGCAGAAGAGGGGTTAGCTAAGTAACGGGCCCCAGGGCACGCGGCTGGTAAGTGCTGCGGCCAGGATTGGACCCAGGTGGACTAACCATGTCTATTCCCTCTGGTTACCGTCTGGAGTACTTCTGGGGTTGGGAGTGATGCAGGGTGCTCAGGCAGAGAACAGGGGAGCCAAACTGTGTAACTGCTCACACTCTTCCTTCTGCCTGCAAACCCTGTCTAGCTTTCAAGACCAGGAACATATATCACTCCTGCATGAAGCCTCGGGGACCAGGGGGCCACCTTGGAGGGCATCACCCCAACAGAGACTGCAGTTTCCCCATTCCTAGTGCATGAGACCTTGTTTGCATGAGGGAGAGTTGGCAGGTAGGACTGCTGTGACCCCACAGCTGCTCCATCCCACCGAGTCCTCCCTGGGAAGACTATGTCAACCCAGGGAGACCGAACACCAGCCCCCAACGTAGGCCTCATCTGGGCTCCTGACCTGTGAAGTTCCCTCCAATGACGTAGGGGATGACCCCTCCGGGCCATATTCTCTCTGTCCTGGAGGTTGTGGCTCTTCGGACCCGGGAAGAGAAGGTTTCAGCTCTGGCACTCGAGGTCCCAGGGCTCTGCAGAAACATGGCATTCTCCTCGCCATCTGCAAAAGAGTCACACTGCCATTTGCTTTGCTTTTCATTCATCCTATGCATTATGGTTAAGATACAGTACCTATGAATCCACCAAAGATGTGTTCTAAAGGGAGCATTGAATCTGGTTAGGGTTTTGAACCCATGGATAGTAATTTTCCAGACAGGGCAAGCACGAGTGTGGAAAATGTACCAGGCGTATGACGAGAGTGAGTTTGGCTTGCTGGAGGCCTTGAATGAGACCATATGGGGCTTGAGGGCAGCCTATGGACCACAGAATTAAGTGGGCACAGACATCTCACAACCCTTTGGGTTGGAGCCAAGTTAGGCACATGCTCTATTCTCAAAGCCACCCATATTTGAGGGAACAAACTGAGTCATAATTTTGAAGTTCAATTTTTTCACTGTATATGACTTTGTTTTTGTAAATTGAAATTCTTATTGAGATAATTGTAGATTCACATGCAGTTGCAAGAAATAATAGTAAAGTATACTTTACTGTTTCCCCCAATAGAAACATCTTAAAAACTATAGTACAATTCCAACTGGATTATGGGCATTAACACAATCAACTGGTCTCACTCAGGTTTCTCCAGTACTATGTATACTCGTGTGTGTGTGTGTGTGTGTAGGGAGGTGGGGGTAGAGGGTGTGGGGAGAGTGAGTTTGATGCAGTTTTATCACATGTATAAATTTCTGTATCCACCATCACTTTCTAGATACTGAACAGCTCCATCCTAAGGATCCAGGGTCCTTCATGTTGCCATAATCACATCCACTTTCTCACTCCTTTCCCCGCCAACCCATCCCTAAACTCCCAACCACTAATCTGGTCTCAATTTCTAAAATGTTTATCATCTGAACACTATTATAAAATTTAAATCTTACACTATAAGACCTTTGGGAATTGGCTCTCCTTACTCAGTGCAATACCCGGAGACTCATCCAAGTTGTTGCATGTGTCAATAGTTTCTTTTTTATGCTAATGAGTATTCCCTGATATGTATGTCCTACAGTTTGTTTAACCGTTCACCTCTTGAAAGACTTCTATTACAAATAGAACTGTTATGAACATTCATGCACTGCAGTTTGTGTGAAGATAGTTTTTTATTTCTCTGAGATAAATATCCAAGAATGGAGTTGCTGAGTCATATAGCAATTGGGTTTATTTCTGGGTCCTCTATTCTGTGCTATTGATCTATATGTTTACTTCTCTGCTAATATGACACTGTCTTGATTACTACAGTTATATAGTGAGGTATTTAATATCAGATAGAGTGAGTACTCCTACTTCAGACTTCTTTTCCATGATTGTTTTAGCTATGTTTTCAAATAAATGTTTATGTGTCTTCCCCTGTAAATTTTAGAATAAGTTTCTCTATACCAACAATAAAACCATGCTGGGATTTTTATAGGAATTACATTAAACCTATAGATCAATTTGAAGAGAATTGGCATTTTTACACCTTAAACAGTCTCATTTTATCCTCAATGTTGCTATGCCTTTTTTTCACATTTTCTGTCTCCTTATCTCCGTGGTAAAATTTCCATGTTCACTTTCTAATTTTTCACCTAAAATTTCCTAGTTCACTTCACTAATTCTCTCTTCAATTGTGTTCAATATAATGTTTATCCCATTCCAGTTTCAATAAACATCGTTGTCATTTCCAGTGCCCTATTTAGGGGCTTCTAAATTTGCCTGTTCTTTTGTTTTGTTTTTCCCCACCAGGGTTCAGATTCTTCCAGTGGATCTTCAGTTAGTTTATGTATATTTATTTAATGTCATACAGATTGTTCTATTATTTCCATACCTTGGGGTATTAATTCTCCAACTTATTGTCTCTGCTGATTCTTCCTTACAGATTAATACCTTTTCTGTGTTTCTCACGTTTTTATTTAAAGTTTCTTTTAGGTGAGATGACTCCTATCCACAGGAGTCCTCTAGGTTCTCATCATGAGTGTGACCCCGTTTTTCATTTTTTCAGGGTTCTTGGAATGCTGTGGATCCTAGACCCATTACATTAATGTCTAAGTTTAGGGTTTCCATATATCCTATCTAATAAAAGGGTAATATGCAAATTAACCATCACTCCATCACAAAGATGGCAGCACCCATAGCCACAAGATGGCAGCACCCAGTCCTCTCAGCCTTGCAGGAGTCCCCCAGTCCCAGGGGTGGGGAAAGGCAATGGCTGAGAGCAGGCAGCGTGAGCGGCCTGGTGGAATGCTTGCTTCGTTGCCATGGCGATGAGGCAAGCATTCCGTGCCCAGCCGAGGATGGTCCTCTGGCCAGGCCAGGGCACGGATGGGCCTCTGGGCCATGGGCAGCCCCTGGCCAGCGGGTGCAGTGAGGCCAGGCCCCACAGAGAGCTCCTGGCGCACAGATTCGTGTGCAGGGCTACTAATAGGAAATATAATATGAGCGACAGGCTTTGGGATTCAGTTTCTCATAGAAGGTATTTTCCCCCACTTGGAGCCTAGGAAAGGCAGCAAGATTTGTTGCCATTCCTGTCAGTTTCAATGTCCTCTGCAATCTTGCCTCCATCCGAAGGTTCATTCCGTGTGTTTATGTTTCTCATTCTCTTCTGATCAGGGCAATTTCCCGTTCCTTCCTTTGAGCTTAACTCCGTATTTTTAATTTGGGGTGGAGAAGAGGTTCCATGTTTTTTCAGCAGGTCTCTGTTTGTATAAGAGGTCCCCACTTGTTCAACGGGTCATATCACCAGAACCAAAGAATTGGCATGTAATCCATTTTTGAACCTGAAAAGAATTGTTTCACCGCTAGAATTTCTAGATCAGAAGTCGTGCACTTGCAGCTCTTGGGATAAACCCAACCCACAGATGTGTTTTGTTTGGCCTGAACACTTTTGGCCCACACTGTGTTTTTTGTGGGTTTTTTGTTTTGTTTTGTTTTTTATCTTACTTTAGTAGCCAATTTTTTAAAAATCAAAATATTTCACATACACATGCAGATTTTCTAGTTTTTCTTTAAAAATGGTAAGACCTGGCAACAGTGAGCTCACCTTCTGTCATTTACAACCCACTGGAGCTAAGTAGCACCTCTTCCCCATAGTCAGTTTCCGGCATTTCTCTCTCCCGTCCCCCTGTCCCAGCCAGCCAATTTCACCCACTGACATTACCTGCTTGGCCTCTACATATATTCTCACTCGCCGTCTCAGCCCTAGACTACAAATTGCACCCAGATTTCCAATCTGAGTTGCCCCAGTAGACTGGAAGGTCCCCGGGGGCCAGGATCTGTCACTGGCTTGTTCACACTCTGTTCACACCCAGCACTTTGCCTGGTCTGGGTTTTCACATTTTGAATGAATTAATTAAAGAATGGGTGAGTTACGCTAAAAATAAACAGCCCCACAGTCCAAACCACCCTGTGGTGGAAACCTCTTCCGAATACTGGCAGCCCCCAAACCCCTAACGTTTAAATACTGAGAATCATCACATCTTAAGTAATCACAGGCAGCGCTGCAGCAAGTGGAAGTTTGTTATTCATTTCCCATATGGTTTTCAACAGTCTCTTAATTTTCCTCGGCCTCCAACTCTCCTCTGGAGGATGGACAAGAATACTTCTCTCTCTCGGAGGCGCTCACCCTAAGACAGAGCCTGTTCCCCCGACAGGCTGTGTTATACACGCATGTGACCCAGTACTGTCAGGGCCGGTATGCAGCCGAGTCAGCATGGGAAAGTCTTAAGTGCACCTGGAAAGAAACCAGGCTGTAATTTCTAGAGATGGGTTATTGAATGACAGCTTCCCCCTCGGTCCGGTGAGAAATTTAATTTGCCAAGGACTCAACACAGGAAGCATTTGTCGATTAAAAATATGTCTAAACAGATGTTCCGCTTAGCCTGGAAGAAGGATCTTAATGCAACTGTCATTATTGGATTTTCTTGGATTACTACTATCTGGAACCGGAGTGCAAATAGAAGGATGTAATTATGTGTTATGGCCAGGAGTCCTGCATTTAAAAAGGAGCTCAGGGGGTCTGAAAGGATTTAACACGCTGGGGGCGGGGGATGAAGTCTATTTAGATCCTCTGACCCTGGAGCGGACCCCGTCCTCGCCGAAGAAGCAGAGCAGCCATAACTATTCAATGCTCACAGCGGAAGGCACAGCCGTGTCATAAACAGAACCAGGCCTGACCTGGCCTTCTCAAGCGAGGAACTGTGAATTTTCAATTAGTCAACGGATCACTCCCACACTGGAAGTAAACACCCGGACGGTCCAGCCATCTGCATAACCCGCAGCCCACAGATGATGGGCAAATGTGCACCTGGCCAGAGCTGTGACAATCCTGAGCAATGAGAGAGCAGCTCCTCACTGTGTCAGTGGTTCTCAAACCTAGATGCCCATTTGAATCAACTAGGGAACTTTAAAAAATGCTGGCCTGGCTGGTGTGGCTCAGTGGTTGAGTGTTGACCTATGAACCTTTTCTTTCCTAGGTCAACACTGATTCCTGGTCAGGGCACATGCCCAGGTTGCGGGCTTGATCCCCAATAGGGGGAGTGCAGGAGGCAGCCGAACAATACTTCTCTCTCATCATTTATGTTTCTTTCTCTTTCTCCCTCTCCTTTCCTCTCTGAAATCAACAAAAAAATAAATAATAAATAAATTCTGGTGTTTGTCCCCTGCTCTGAGGTGCTGATTCAATGGGCCTCCAGTGGAGTAATGCATCTGTAGTTTCTGAAACTCTCCAGGTGATTTGCAAGGGCAGGTTAGTTTGAGGACCACCAAGATAGCCCCACGATTAAGAGCAAGGAGTGTAGGATGAGAGGGACTTAGGTGCAGGGTAAACACTACCATTTGCCACCTGTGTGGCCTTGGATAATCCACCCTCCCCTGAGCCTGCCTTCCTACTACATGGTGGTGGTGTGGGCAGGTAATAAACGTCAAATGCCCGCTGTGGTGGGGACTCAATGCGAGCTGCAGTGATGACTATCCAGGTCTGCATTGGGGGAGAAGCTGGAAAGAATTCGTAAGGTGAGGCTCAGCGGTTACACTCAGATACGCTGAGGTAAGTGACTTTCAGGGGTGTGGCACTGAGTGGTGCTTTGTGCCTAAGTTGGTGGGATTCCCTATTTTCTGGTGCAACCAGTTCCTCTTATTTGCTTGGGCACAAAGCCCATAGGGACTGTTCCCGGAAGTGACAGGTCTATCCTCTACTATGAATATGGTTCTGGAAATCAGGCCCAGCACAATCATGGCTTCGTTCAGGGAGCAGTCACATACCCACCCATTTCATTAATCCTATTATCAGCCCCGAAATGCAGGCAGGGCTCCCATTTCCTGGGAGAGAGAGGCTCCTGAGACTAGACCGTCTGTTCAGTGAGCAGTTCTCCCAACCCCTAGCCCTCCCCAGAGCTGGGAGCACAAATCCCACCGTCAGGGCTGAGGGGAGACACATAAAGCCAGGAAATAACCCAGCCACTGAAGCCAGCAAGCCCAGGGCTCCCCTCAGATCCTTTCTCCTGCCTGGGCGGTCTCTTTTTCCTGGAGTGGCGGGAGTGGGAATGGGGGTGCAGGTTGTGATGAAAGGAGAATCTGAGATTGACACAACTCGCCTTATCTTTAATTCCAACCAAACAAGAAGCACCTCCTGACAATGCCCAGGAGTGTCGATTGGAGGAGAAGGCTGAACGGACAGGCCAGCACAGCCTGCCCTCACCTCCCCTTTGGGGTCTGCTTTCCCCTCAGGATTGTCCCGGATGCTTAAAGAACTGCTCCTCTGAAGCTGTCCTACAGAGTGGAGGATCGGCCTGGCCTTGACATTATCCTCTTCAAACAAACCAGGGTCATTTGAGGAGCTGCAGACTATGGATTTAGCCAGCTTTAGGAGCTTGAGGCGTAGTAGCTGAGGGAAAGCTGTCATCATCCTCCTTAAAAAAAAAAAAAAAAAAAAAAAAAAAAAAAACTCAAGAAGGTCTCTTGTTGCAGTGTGGTATTGTGTACAACCCCTCCGGAGACAGAATTTTAATGGGCTGCAGCAGCCTTATTCCTTCCTGTCCCTCTTAATTGTGTTTCTCTGCAGCTGTTGAACAGCTGTGGGATTCCAGTCCAGAGGTGGACAATGCACTTGCAATGCTGGATAATATAATTCTTGGAGGTGGAGGTAGAGAAGAAGAAGCAGCGGAGGAGCTACATTCATGGAGTACCTTTTACACAACAGATATCTGGCTATGCACTTTGTACAAACATTCTTTCTAATTTTAAATCTCTTATGCGGAGTTAGATAACTTATCCAAGGTCATAGCTACAAGTGTGTCTGACTATCCCAGTTTACAATAAATTAGTAAATATTAAAAACCCTGACAATATCTATTGCTGATGAGCAGGTGAGAAACAATGAGGGAAGGTGGCAGATGGTCTCCAAACACAGCCACCAGCAAGTTCTGTCATCCCTGTGAGCTCCTGCCACTTATCATATTAGGGATGGAATCTTTTTTCTTCTCCTTGAACCTGGGCTGGACTTTGGCTTGTTGTGGCCATTAGAATGTGACTGTCAGGGAGTTCTGAGTCCAGGCCTTAAGTCAATTAATGGCTTCTGCTTCCTCCCACTAGGAAGCTAGCTGCCATTCTATAAAAAAGGTCTCTGGCTAGACAACTAAGTGGTGAAAGTCCACGTGGATAGAGGAGTCATGTGGGGAGGTACACTGAAGCACCAAGGCTGTGACTAAAGTTTCTTTTGGCCTCCCAGCTTCTAGCTGAATGTAGACAAGTGAGTGACCTCAGCCAATGTCAGCAGAAGAACCACACCACTGAGCCCAGTCAACCCACAGAACCATGGAAGATAACAAATCACTGTTTGAAGTCTCTAAGTTTGGGGGTAGTTTTTATGTGACAGTAAATCATTTAAATCAGGAAGGAAACATTGGTTTGGCATCTGTGTCACTGCATGTGATGGCAAGCCTCTCTGTTTTCATCCCCACACCTTATGCTCCATGGTCACCACTAAGTGCTGGTCATCCAAGGCCAAAATGAAGTGCCACTGAGTTTGTCAGGTGTCTTGGAGCCTGACAGTGTACAAGTCCAAATACCTCTGAGTAAGCAGAGCAGTTAAACACAGATGCTAAAGGGGGCCTGGCACATGGTTCCAGAAACAAACTGTATGACTGAGAAACGAGTGCACAATGTCAAATGGTGGTGGCGAGGAGTGAGAGCTAAAGTATCTCTGCCTCTCTCTGAAAGAGGTCACATTGACAAGACAGGCATCAGAAACCGAGTAAAAAAAATGGGCAAAGGGCCGAAACTGGTTTGGCTCAATGGATAGAGTGTCGGCCTGTGGACTGAAAGGTCCTGGGTTCGATTCCAGTCAAGGGCACGTAACTTGGTTGCGGGCACATCCCCAGTGTTGGGGGGAGAGGGGGTGTGTGCAAGAGGCAGCTGGTCGATGTTTCTCTCTAGTCGATGTTTCTAACTCTCTATTCCTCTCTGTGTAAAATCAATAAAAATATATTTTTTAAAAAATGGGTAAAAGACAGGACGAGCTGAGTCACAGAAGTGCACACCCACATCACTGGCAGAGGTAGAAAAAGATGCTCCAAGTCACCGGCAGTCAGAGAAACATAAATAAGTAACACTAAGCTACCATTCACATTACTGAAAATAACGATAATGCCTAGAGTTAGAAAGGATATGGGGAAAGGGACCCAGTTTTAAGTTGTCACAGAAATGTGAATGGTTACACCTTTTGAAACTCATTCTAGCAGCAGTATTCATGATGGCAAAAGCCTGAAGTGAATATTAATTGGTAAAGAAAGGATGAACAAATGATGGTCTAGTAATACCAGTAATATAGAAGAATAAATTGAAGTTATAACTAGTGTCTTACAGGGGTTTTCCATAAGGTATTGATGAATGAGAAAAGCATGTTACATAAAAAACATGTATCAAATATGATCCCATTTTTTTAAATGACAAAGTTTATAGCTATATATATGTTTGTATGTGTATATGTATAAATCTGTACATAAATATATATATGTGCATATATATGCATGGAAGAGTATATACAAAGTAATTTGCATGCATTACCTGGGAAAGGGTAGGAAAAAAGAAGAGAAGGAGGTAACCGAATTAAAAAGAAAAGAAAAAAGGAGACAATACTAAAAAAGTCTGTAATTATATCAGCACATTTACACATTTGTGTGAATTATACATATGCATTTGTGTGAAATTATGTATATATGCATGTGTATCTATGAAATATAAAATAACATTAAAGCAAAAACATAAAATAAAGCAAATAATAATTTCTACTTCATCCCTACATAGTCATCCCCCAAGCTTAGGATCCTGGCACTTTAAAATTATTCCCTTTGCTCTGTGTTAATCTTATGTAGATGAAATGCCATTGCTGGCAGTGAGCCCTTATTCCCACAGAAAGTAGGCCTCTGAACAGGAAAAGCTCTCCAAAAGGGAGACACCTTCCTATTACCTCCAGGCTAGAATCTTACAACCTGGAGAGCATTCGTAGGCCTGAGCATAATGCAGACAGGAAGTGGTGGTACTTCCAGGCAGGTACCTGCTGATCAGTGACCTTGCCCACAGATAGCCACAACCTCACCTGCTGCCTCCCCTACAGCCCAGGCTTCTCCAGCCTACACCCTCCCCGCCCCAGCCCCTAGCCCAGCTTTATTTTCCTTCCTTCCCTCCCATGCCCACTTGTTCTGTCAGACCCCAAACTTCATCATCCTTCCCCTCGGCCCTCAGGGGCTTCAACGCACAAGCCAAGTTCTAGAGAGAAAGGTCAAGTACAGATCGCAGAGTTTAACGAAAGAGTACAGTCTCTGAGCAACCGAGTGCCACACTCTATCCCTTTCTCTGGCAGCCAGCCCACCCCACTCAACAAAAGGACTCACTCCCTCATGCCCACAGACTCCAGGACTTCTTAGTCCACTAAGATAAAAGGAATATAAGAGGTTCCCAAAGCCAGGGCTGTGGAGAGGGGAAATGGGGAGCAGCTGCTTAGTTGGTATGGAGTTGGCTTTTCAGGTGTTGAAAGCAACATGGATCTAGACAATGGTGATGGCTGCACAGCATTGTGAATGCACGTAATGCTACTCAATGGTACACGTCAAAGTGGTAAATTTTATGTGAAATTTACTACAGGTTTTTGTGTTGTTGTTTTTAAGTACCCAAAGGCCTGGTGGGCTCACATTACCCTTTCCAGCTTCCTCGCTGCTGGCATTCGCGACTGTAGCATTAGGCCAGCTCTCGAATGACTGGTCTTCACGTCCACCTGAAGGAAAGGAGAAGAAAAATCCGTGAGGAACATCAGCCTTCTTTGCACCAGCACCGAGAGGAGGGAGACCTCTGGTCACCTGGGGGAGGATCAGAATCACCAGCAGAATGATCAAGATTTGTTCAACAAGAGTCTGCTGAGCCCCTACTGTGTGCCAGGACCTGTTCTAGACACTAAGGCAAAAGCAAAAACAAAAACCAACCTTGCTGCTTATTTTTAATAAGCATGCACATAATTTACAAATTATAAACTCTCCTGGATCAGCTCAAGGACCCTTGAAGTCAAATATACAAATAAGCAAATCCCAACGTCAGCTCCCTCACCCCCACCTCCACGAGAAAGCCCGAATGCGAACAGGACAGGCTCCTGGAGGCCCCCTGCCGTGGAGCCCACAGGAAGTCATCTGTGCTGCTCTGGCAGAAACAGGTATCTTGGTTCTTCTTCGAGGTGAGTCTCCTTTTAGAAGCCGCTCTGTTTGCTTTGTAAATCAGACTCTGAGGACACTGCCTCCGTGCAGGACAACGATGCTTGTCAGTAGCCATGATCCATGAGCCGGTTCATATCCCTCCCCATCAGGGACACGGTCAATCACCAATTCTTTTTAGACCCACTGCAAGTCACTAGGGATCCAGCAATGAACAAGACAGGCAGAGGTGACATTCTAAATGGGTGGGCTATTACCAGAAAGAAAATAAGTAAGATCCCCCATTGCAGGTTCAGAAAATGCTCTGAAGATCAGATTCAGGATGTGGGGAAGCATGATTGGAGCAGCTGCTTAGAAGGTGGTCGGAAAAGGCCCTTGCAGGGAGGTGACGCTCGGAGATCCAGGTCAGTGCCACCCCAGCAGAAGGCAAGGTGGTGAAAAAGCCTGGATCAGGAATAGACTTGGCCTATGGAAGCGCCAACATGGTGGCCGAGGTGGGTAGGGTAGAAAGCAGGAGAGGGACAGTGGGCAGTGCTATTATGTTTTACCAAGATCTCTCTGGCAGGCAAAAGAGAAAGCCAGGCGACCAGTAAGGAGCCTTGTGAAGGTCCAGAGGAGACACAGCAGTGGATGGGCTGGACAGTGCAATGGAGATGTTGGGCACCTGTCATACTAGAGGTGGAGTTGGAGGTGGAGCAATGAGAGAGGCTGATGGGGCTGAGGAGGGCCACCAAGGACTCCTATAGTTGAGGTTGGAAAAACTGAATGGGTAGTGACACCAGCAAGCAGATTTGAGGGCAAAACCTGGGTCAATGAGAGACTATCATACACATGAATCCACACCAGGCCCATTGGAAGACAATCTGTTTACTAATGCAAGATCATTTCTTATCTTCATTTAGAAACTTGCAACTTCCAAAGCAGTTTCCCCACATCCCCTTTGACTCTTGGGCACCATACTCAGTGGCAGACAGAGTGGCATCCTATTTTATGGAGGAGGAAACTGCAACACCAGATCATTATCCAAGGGTTGTGGATCCCACCCGGGAAGCTGAGGGTTCAGGACAGCCTGACGACCTTCCCCACGTCCCACAGCTAGAAAGGGTCCCAAACACAGAAGCACGGTCTGGCCCCAGACAACCCCTGGAGACAGCCCTGCGGTCCCACATCCCAACTCTGATGTGCAGACTACCTCTTCCTCTCTGGTGACTGACACTGGCGGTGGCCCAGGCGCATGCTGACATTCTTGTATGCCTTCATCCTGCTCGTTCCGATGCCTTTCTGGCCAACTCAGAATCCACTCACACACTCCCTGCAGCTGCCGGGGCGTTCGCTGCCAGCTCCCAGCCCTCTGGGTATTCTCCCAGTTGCGATATCATTTCCTCTCGGGCTAAAGGTTGGGGGAAATCCTGATGGTATGAGAATCACGGGCCGGCAGAGGAATGTGCCATGTGTGGAGTGGAGGCGAGCCCAAGGCCGAGGCTCTGGGACTCGCTTCGTCTCCCCTCCGCCATGGAACTGTGGGCAAGACCCCGGGTATCAGTATTTTTCCATCTGTCAAATGGGCTGTTGTGAGGACCGAATGAGGTAATGAGTTTGTTCAGGAACTCACTCATTCAAAAAATATTTATCCGGCACCTGCAACATGCCAGATGCTGTGTCTGCTGTGCAGGATGTGACACTGAACAAAGTCTACCCTGACCTCATGGAAATCCTATTCTGATGGAGGGGGCAGGAGAGAAAACAATAAACAAATAGACAACCAAGTATCTAAGTCGGCTGTGAATAAGCACCATGAAGAAAATAAACGGAGGTGAAAGAAACAGTGACTGCGAGGCATGAGAGTGTGTGATTTCGGTGAGGTAGAAAAGCAAAAGCCCAAAGAAAGTGAGGGCGACAGTCTGCAGTTAAATGAGAGCATTCCAAAGGGAGGGAGTAGCAGGTGCAAAGGCCCTGGGGTGGGTGTGTCCTTGGCGGGAGGGAAGCGGATATGACTGGGCTGGAATGAGCGAGGGAGACAGAAGTAGGCAGTGAGGTCAGTGGGCAGTGAAGGGTCCGGAGAGTCAGCTCATGTGAGGCCTCACAGGCTATTCTCCGCCTTGGGGGATTGATTCTGAGAGACCTAGAGGGGACCCAAAGGACATGAAAGAGTTTTGTAACTGCACCTCTGAATATGACCCAGGTCAGTGGTCGGCAAACTCATTAGTCAACAGAGCCAAGTATCAACAGTACAACGACTGCAATTTCTTTTGAGAGCCACATGTTTTAAACTTAAACTTCTTCTAATGCCACTTCTTCAAAATAGACTCGCCCAGGCCGTGGTATTTTGTGGAAGAGCCACACTCAAGGGGCCAAAGAGCCACATGTGGTTCGAGAGCCGCAGTTTGCCGACCACGGACCCAGGTCGGCATAGATAGGAGGGAGACGTAGGAGCTTGGATTTGAAAGAAGATTCCATATAGCACTTGGCCTGGAGGGTTGTTAAGTCAGACCTGCTTGGCTCCTGCACAAGAGGCAGAAACATAAGAAACAGACCTGTAAGGGTACATGGGCAAAGACTGGTTCAGGTTGGCTGGAGGCTGTGGTTGAGAACTGAGTGGAGTGAAAGAGGGGTTGGCAGGCAGAGGAGGGGATGGGTTGAGGACTTCTGATTCCCTTCCCCTCCTAGTGCTCAGGGTCATAAAGCTCTGGGTTGAAGGAAGACAGAGTGCCCCCAGAAGATGGAGCGGGAAAAGAATCAGTGTTCACTAAGTGTCAATCATGGTGCTGACCATGCATTAAGAACAATGCCAAATATATTCCCGGCCTTGAATTGTATAATTCTAGCCTCATAAAAACCAATGACAAAAGGGCCAAAAATATCCCCATTGTATAGATGGAGAAACAAGGCCAAGGGATTTGCCTGACTTGAGAGAACAGAGATTATTATTAATGGTGACAACTGGAGGTGGGTCCTGTCTGATACCCACACCTGTACTCCTTCTCCTCAGCCTCCTCCCCACAAAAAACAAGGGGTACCTGGGAGAGGCTGGTTACTCCCAAGGGACCCGTGGCATTTTCAGGGTCTGTGGGGGGACATCCAATGTCAGTGATGAGGTTGAGGCCATGGGCACAGATCCCTCATCTGTCATCCTTACCTGCAAGAGACGGAAGGCTCTGTCTTTTCTTAGAAGGGCTTTCTCAGAAGCTCACATCTCATGTTCCAGTACAGCTGAGCCTGGAATCTACTTAGAGTTCATGTGGTCTGGCCACTCCCCTGATGAAAACCCTCGCCAGGCTCCCTACTGCTGTTGGGATGAGTTCCAACTCCTAACATAACCACTGAGGCCCCATGATCTGGGCCCACTGGCCTCCTCCACCTGTGCTTCGGGGCTTCCTGCCACATTCCCACTCCCATCCTCTGCTTGGCCCCCCTCAGCCATTTACAGCACGTGCGTGGATTTCCACTTCTCTCTTAGTGATGCGCCTGCCTGGGCCATTCCCACCTCTTCACCTGCCCAACATCTACTGGCCCTTCAAGTGTCAGCCTGGATACCACTTCCTCTGGGAAGCTGCCCCGTTGGCCCTCGGAGGTTAGAGGAGCACCTCCGTGCCCTATCACCCCCTCGATTTACATCACTCAGCACAAGGGACTGTGACTTCCTATTCACCCACCTCCCAGTCTGGTTTCTACATTTTTAGCATTTTGAAGACATTGACTTTGTTTTGTCCTAACACAAACAGCCAGCACTGTGTCTGGCACAGAGCAGACACTCAATAAAATATGGGATGCATAAATGGACAGACAAACAAACGGAGGGACAGAGGGATGGATGGCAGTTGCTTGAAAAGAGAACTCAGTCATTTTTAACGCAGAGGAACTGATGGAAAATTTTGTCTTGATCCGTTTTGGAGGGAGGAAAGCAGATATTCTCGTAGCGATGGTTCTCAGCCTTGGCTGCACTTTAGGATCACCTGGGAAGCTTTTTAGAAAAACACTGATGCCTGGGTCCCCAGAGGTTCTTGTTTAACTGCCCTGGGCCTTGGGATTTTTTTAAAGCTCCCAGGTGATACTAAAACGCAGCCAAGGCTGAGATTTAATACTCAGAGAATCCTGGCAGAGGAAGCCCCATCTCAGGATTATTTTCTTACAACCAACCTCTCTCCTTCCAAGCTCACCAGGAGTGGAAGATGTGGGACTGGAGACAGATAGCCAATGCTAAGAAAAGTCATTTCTCACGTCTACACGCGCGTGTGGACAGTGTTGCTCTGTTTCACTAAAAACAGGTGTGGCTGTGGCTAAAACTGCGGCACTAGGCACACAGAACGAGGAACAGAGAAATACAGCCTGATGCAGACAGATTCCGGGGCCATGGGGGCGGGACTCAGAGTGTCGGGATATGTTGTTTTCCTTGGATGGGATTTCAAGAGAAAAATATTTGGAAAAATAAAGCATATATACCCTTATATTTGATCTTTGGTTAATTACCTCTTCAGTCAGAGGATATGCAAAGATCTTGTAGATTTCATTAGTCACAGGGGTTTATTCAAACATCTCCTTTGCATAAGAAACCCAGGCTTACAGCTGGTCTCTG